TTCTTATATTTTTTCCACAGGAAGAACACTAACAGCCCCTAAGGGAGACCCAGTGGGAGGTTCATTAACCGATACGGCTAACGAGGTAAATTTGGTTTCTTAGACTGTAACTTATGGGGATGAAGTATACTTGTCTGCTATTGGAGGATGGATATGTATATAAAAACGACAACACGTACATCCAATGTGAAAAAATTATCATGTAATTTATAAATGAAAATCAATTTGAATTCTAATTTATTGGCAATATTAAAGTCAGGGAAAACAAAAGCAAACAAAAACAAAAACTAAAATGAATTAAGAATGTTAAACAATTTAAGATAACCATATTTTATTTGAATTATTAGATTGAGAACAGAGGCGGGAAATGTATTCCAGTGCAATGTGATCATTCCAAAGACAGTGACATTGAGGAATTATTTAATCGTGTGTCTAAAGAACAAAATGGTCATTTAGATCTTCTAGTCAACAATGCATATGCTGCTGTAAAAGTACGTTCAAATGTTGTTATATATTTTTTCGCTCACCTGAACTTTTTGAGCTAAAAAACGGTATTAATTACGATTCAAGGCTCTGTTACTATATAAATAGATTATAACAGTAAAATGGTTCTGACATGCGCACTGTAACTTTAAATAACTTTTGATTAGTCTCTCATAATTCTATTAAAATGAAATTAATATTTTTTAAGATGTTTTTATTTTATTGTCTAACGGTAATGCATCATTAATGGTGATACGTAAATAAACTATCATGTATGTTTTAAAACAACTTTACAGCATATTAAGTTTCGATTGAATGAACGGTGGATGTTCAAGCATAAAAACATTGATAAGTTATGCTTAACTTAGAAAGCCTACAATTGGTTGTTAAGTGCGTTTATGATTTGTTATAGAGGTTATATTTGGTGATCATGAAGCAATTTGTTGTCTTTGCTTGATATGACATGCTCTATAAAATATAAAAATAAGGAGATGAGGTATGATTGCCAATGAGACAACTATATACCAACGTTCAAATAAAGTGGATGTAAGCAATTATAGGCAACCTTATGGCCTTCAACAATGAGAAGAATCCATACAATATAGTCTGCTATAAAAGGCCTCGACATGAAAAATATGAAAAAATTAAATTGAGAAAACTAACGGCCTAATTTATAACAAAACAATTAACGAAAAACTGATATGACAGACATGAACCAACGACAACCACTGAACTACAGGCTCCTGACTTTTGATGGTTCTTTTGATTCTGTTCCAGTTTTTACTTTTCAACTCTTTACACTACACTTCCACACAATCTTACCTATCAAACAAAAGTTTTCCTATTTAATAAAATGGTCGTTTGGTAAATTTCAATGCAAATATATTTGCTGCAACTCATTTAAAGCCTTCTTCTCTAATGAGAAAGGTATATATGCTAGATATACTTACTGGAGGGGTGAAGGGATGATTGGTGCTGTTAATTTTCTCCTTGATAATATTTATGTACGTTTCGGCAATAAAGTTCATCGACAGGTTGTAGGTATTTCTATGCGCACCAATTGCGCCCCTTTAATAGTAAACTTGTTCTTGTACTGTTATGAATCACAGTTTCTGACCGAACTTAGTAATGACCCGTCTAAATTGCATTTAATTGATAAATTCAACAACACTTATCTTGATGATATTTTTTCGGTAAATAATCTGAACTAGCTGTTAGCAACTGCAATTACTCTGAGATCTGTACTTAGTGTCTTTTTGTTGTGGGATTGTATAAGTACCCTGCCACGTCCACTCTGCGTTTTTGTTAGATGTATTTCTATTTGTATCCATCTGATGAGTTAAGCCTTTTTCAACTGATTTTTATAGTTTGTTCTTATGCTGTATTGTTACACCGCTGTCCCAGGTTAGGGGAGGGTTGGTACCTTCAAACGAGTTTAACCCCGCCACATTCTGTATTAGCCTGTCCCAAATCAGGGGCCTGTGGTTCAGCATATATTTGTTTTTCGTTCATTATTTTGTACATAAATTTGGCCGTTGTATTGGTTTCAATCGAGTATTTGTATTTGTATATCTTATTAATACTTCACTCATATCATAGCAGCAATTAAGCTTTTTGATTGTCATTTTAGTCTGTGTATAGGGGTAAATTCAGTAAAAAATCTCCCATTGACTTTAATGCAAATCTATGTCTTGAATTAAATTTATACCTGATTTACCTTTAGAAATCAGAAGCTTTCATATATTATTCATTTAAGTACAAGTATAGCCCCATCTTTTGCAACAATAAAAACATAGGGTCATGCTGCATTTTGGGGCATTCACATGGCCTTGTTTACAAACACTGTAGATTCGCACTTAATTCCTATACTGACCCTCATTACTTTTCAACCCTGTAGTAAAAAAAAATTAAGTGCCTCCGGCATTCATTTTAATTTTTTGTTGTAACTCTAGTTTTGATCCATCTATCAAAAAATATTTATTACAAACATTATCTACCAATCAGAAGAGCACAGGACTTCAGTGTTATACAGAAAGCTTTACCCCTAAAGGGCGGTCCCTGGTGACGTATATGTATTTACCCCTATAGTTTGAGCTGCTTGATGTGGTAGATGGGCAAAAACAAATTTGTGACTGCTAATCACTTTACTATGTATTTTATATCAATTAGGCAATCTCAGATAACTACGACAAGCCATTCTGGGAACAGCCTATCACACTGTGGGATACGGTTAATATCGTAGGACTAAGGTGGGCAAATTAAATCAATGTTTTCATAATGAAAAACTTAACAGTAATATAGATATGAAACAGACACATCAATTCAAAATTAGTCGTGTAACGAATGCTGTAAAACGTGTTAGCTCTAAGCTGTTTATAAATCTTCAATTCCATTTATGATTACTAATATTCATAACAGGACATGTGGGGTACAAATACGTCAACAAGACGGCAACCAAACAACAAACAAAAACGATAAAACCTTTAGAGGTTAACTTTCGGTCTTCGACTAAAAACAGATGCTTGTATAATTTATCAAGTGTTTTTTTTATATATAAATATTATGTACGATTTAGTGAGAGTAAAACCAATGGGGTTTTTCCTGAAATAAAGATATTTGATTCCATTTATTACAAGCAACACCAGTTTATTACGAACAATTTGGTTTTTTTATAAGTAAATGCTAACAAGGTTTTTTTGTAGAAACCATTATCTGTGTTCTGTGCATGCAGTAAAACTAATGATAACAAGGAAAACTGGTTTAATTGTTAATGTGTCGTCACCTGGTGGTCTTAGATACATCTTTAATGTACCTTACGGCGTCGGTAAAGAAGCAGTATGTTATTTTCTACACAATCTACACAATTATGCAATTATTTAATACTCCGCTCTGTCCCAACTTTTAGCACCTCTCAGTCCAATACCAATAATCTGAAACTCTATTAGTGTGACAATCTATTGTTTCGATACCCCAGTAGCCCGACACCTCATTGAAAATATGTAAACAAGTGTTCCTATATGTCATACGAGTCAGCGATTGGATAGATGGAATAGACAGTCCTGCTCGAATTCTGAAAATATATTATGTAATTCAAACTGGACATTGTCATTCAGTAAACGCATGGAGGAATGTTGAACAGATTCTTTCGGACATTTGACATTGTAACTTTAATCGTAAGATTTTTGATGAAACTGACTCCAGCTCCTTTGAAAGATTATATATGTAGACCGTGTACAGCACACTGAATGTTTATCAAGTATTAAATGATACACTGAAACTTAGATTTTTTGTGACTACTCTGGAATGTATAAACTATGCTTTTATTTATTGTAGAATGATAGAATGGCAGCAGATTGCGCTGTAGAATTGAGAAAAATGAACGTAGCTATTGTCAGTTTATGGCCTGGTGCTGTTAGGACAGAAAACTTAAAGGAGTTATTGAAAACAGGTGGTTTTGCATCAGGCAATGTAAGAAACATACCATTTTTTGATTTATTAATTTGTATTTTGTTTGGGTTTTTTTTTTTTTTTTTTTTTTTTTTTTCTTAATCGAAAATAGTAAGCTTGGAAGGCTATAAATATTATAGTAAAAGCAAAAGTTACGACGCCAGTACAAATATTTACATCTGAATAGATCGATTCAAATGTTGTGTGTCACAACAAAAGCACTGTTAACTACTAAATAGAAAAACACTAACAGCTCCTTAGGGAGACCCGATGGGAGGTTAATTAACCGATACGCCTAACGAAGTAAATTTGGTTTCTTTGTAACTTATGGGAATGAAGTATACTTGTTTGATATTGGAGGATGGATATGTCTGAATAAAGCATCACATTATCATAATATATCTCAAACTGCAAGCATGAAAACAAAAACGACAACACTTAGATCTAATGTGAAAAAAATACCATGTAATTCATCAATGAAAATCAACATGAATTCTAATTTATTGGCAATATTAATTGTGTTACATAATGTTTTCATAACAATTTGTACAGAAGGTTACTTAGTCACCATTCTAAAATCGTTTTCGGTACATTTCTATGTGGTTTACAGGAGCGTTTGAACTAATAAAAAATATAATTTATGGATCGTGTTATGTCAAATGATCTGGACATTACCAGAAAAATTAGATGATTTTCTACAGAAAAAAGTAAAATAACAAAAAATACCGAACTCCAAGGGAAATTCAAAACGGTAAATCTTTTATCAATATTTCTTCATTTGTATGAATTGTCTAAAAAAGGATATTTATATAGCACTTAAATAGAACAACGATAAAAATATACAATTAACACCAATACATCAAATTGAAAAAAGACTGCGAACTTGTGCATGTACAAGATGAAGTGATAATGAAATTAAAAAAATAGACTTTAAGAATGAATTCATGGAAATGGGGTAGTGATAATAGACACATGGCAAAATTATTTCAATTTATGCAAATTTCATAACTATAATTTACCCCTTTAAAAAGAAATGATTTAATTCTTTTTATTTTTACATTTACTTTCAGATGCCAAAAGTTGATGTTGCTAAATTATTTGTCAATGGAGAGACACCGGAGTATGCAGGAAAGGCAATTGTAGCCTTAGCAACAGGTTTGTATCATGGAGCATCGATATTTACCAATTTGTCTTGGTCTGACTGTTCTATAACAATAGTTTGGGGTTTTTTTCAAGAAAGCTACATCATATAGATTTTTATTTATAAATATCTGTTATAGCTTATGTTACATTAATGTTATTTTAATTGTGGATTCCGATATTTTAGATCCAAACATTATGAAGAAGTCTGGTAAAATTTTAATTACAGCAGATCTTGGTTATGAGTATGGATTCAAGGATATCGATGGTACATATTTAATATTATATCTTAAGACAATGCACTTTTTAAGTAGCAAACATTAAATAGATTCGTTTTAACTATCTAGAAAAAAACATTTTAAGATTGAAAATGAAACCAAATAGATGCAGAGAGATTTCATTCCCACATTCAAATGTAGAGTGGAAATAAAAAAGCAGATTTGACAAAGTAAAGATTACCCTTATAGCCAAGGGCAATAATTAGAATTGAAAGGACAACAAACTTGCTATTACCCTCATAACCAGTCATTTAGTGTTTTATTATACCAAACAAAACAAATTTCTAAAAAATTTACTTACACCACCTGGAAAAACAAATAGTCACGTTTACATGTACAAGATGAAAAATAAAAGTATTTTTTTTGCCCTTATTGTACTAAATATATTCTATGTACTGTAACTTAAACCAGGGATCCTTTGAAAATTCCCATGCATATAATAACCGTTTACTGGAATGTATTACTTTACACAAATACAATCACAGATTATGAAGATGACGACATTTGTAACGTTGTAGTTTCATAAAATGTTGCGTAGAATTTCTTTTTTCTTTTAAATTGCTCCAGGTCAGTAATATATTAATTAAATATTATCAAAACATACACATACAAATTATATCATTTTCAATATTTCAGAGTTTTACGTTACCATGTCTAAAAGTAACTCAAATAGTCATTGACGTCATTGTTATCCAATAAAAAACTAGTATGAAATAGTCTGGGAAATATGATTATAAAACTATTTTACAGGGTAATAGTCTTTGAAACTATTGACTGGCAAATAGTCTGTAGAATGAAATAGCACGAATATTTCATTCCTTTTTATATAGAAAAAACATACTGAGGAATGATAATAATGTTTAAAACTTCAAAAGTTGTATACTCAAAAGAATATCAAAACATTTCTGTTAAAATCCAAACTATATAATAAATAACAGTTAGAAGATACTTAATGAAATGTGTTAAAAAGGGAAATCATCAGGGTAAATATAGAGGTCAATACACCGACTACACCAATCAAAAGCAACGTAACAGACAATCACTAAAAAGGCGTATCTTCTAATACCTGCCAAAACCGGAAGTGGTATTTGATTACCAGGATTGTTAACATATGCTTTGCATGTGATAGCCGGTGCAAAGAAGTCTTACCAACCCAGTGATGTGTCAAGTACAGTTATGGTCAGCATTAGTAAAGGAGTATAAAGCGTTCGAAAGCTACAAAAAATGATCGTTGATGACATCCCCACCAAATAACGATTGACCAATTCCTGATGGCTTCTATAAATTTGTGTCTTTGGTTATATCAGCAAAGGCTGACTTAACAATATGTATGACAAAGTATATAAAACCTGTTTGATTTTTTAAGTAAACTTAACGTCAATTGAAATATTAATGTAACGGTTTTACAGAGAGTGAACATTCTGTCAACAATGGGCATCAGATTAAACATCGAGTGTCGAGCGATCTTGGCTGTGTATTTATCCAGTCTGCATGTCCACACGAACTTAGCAGTTGTCTATGCATAACTGAAAAATAGGATGCATTTGAACTCATTACACTTATCTTTTTTGGGTCACCATCTATATTTTTGAGTTCTATAATTTGAAGTTAGCAAAATATTCATAACGGGAAACAACGATTTATATCTTACTCTTACATTCAACAAATTATGAATGCATTTTTAATGTTTATTTATACATACACAATAGCTATATTATTTATTTTATATTTCATACATTTTTTAGGAAAAGATCCATCTAATATAAGACAAGTGAATGAACTCCTCAAAATGAACCCAAAGACAAATTGGATTGCTAACTTTGTTCCAAATTTTGTATACATTCCAAAATGGATGTTGGCTTTAGCTGGAAATAAACTTTAGTTTAAACAATATTTATTTAGATAAATCATCACATGACGATATGATACAATTGAAATAAATATTTAGGATTCAGAAACAAGCAAATTTGCTTTTACAAATCTGTCTCCTATAAGTAAACTCTGATTTATTGCATTTATTATGTATAGTGCCACCTCCGGGTGCACAGTCAAGGAAGACTTTCTACCTACATATGGATTCTTGATTAGAATAAAAGTACCTTGGATAAGTGTTTATTAACAAATTTGTATTGTACGTTAAAATGATAAGGATAGTAAAGAATGTGCATGGTTTGTTTGATTGGTCATTTTATAGAAATTTCAGCAAAATAATGTATATATCAAACAGTTTTAATCACAATAAATTCATTTACCAGTTGCATGAACTGTTACTCATTCTGATTAAGTTGATTTAAGGAATTAATGTTTCCTTCAAAAGAGAAGGTTCAATCAATTCCTATTTGGTCCCAAAATACTAAAGTCATACTCTGACAGTAGAATAAGAAATCGTGCTTAATTTATTTAGGGTTAATTTCATTTACTAGCAATAGGTTGGTACTGTTGCTGGTGAATTGCTAGTACCAAAGGGTATCATCAGCTCAGTAGTCAGTGTTAATTTCATTTACTAGCAATGGGTTGGTACTGCTGCTGGTGAATTGCTAGTACCAAAGGGTTTCATCAGCTCAGTAGTCAGTGTTTTGGTTCTGACATAATTTATAATATACTTTTATGACATTCTCCAATAATGAAAGAGAGGTAGAAATACAAAAGGGATATTCAAACTCACCAGTCGAAAACAAACTGGCAATGCCATGACAAAAAACAAAAAAAAAACGACCAATAGACAAACAACAGTCTACAAAATACAGCAAATAAAACTAAAGACTGATCAAAACGAACCACACAAAAAAACGAGAGTGGTCCAAGGTTCTCCGGAATTGTAAGCAGAACTTGCTCCACATGTTGCACCCGTCGTGTTTTTCATGCAAGTACATCATTTGGGATACGTCTAATTCGGGGATGTTACATTCGAAGAAAAGAAGACGGGGTCGTTGTAACAACAATTGAAAAATATCAGTCGTTATCTGTAAAACAGATATCCCAAATCTGTTAAAAAAAACTCGTGATGGCGTACGCTAAATATTCGGAACACTTGGTTAAAAAACTTCCTTGTAAGTAGCAACCTCAGAAACTATGGGACCGAACTCCTTCAGGAAAAGTGGCTATTCTTTTTCGGTCATTTAGCTCCTGGCGTATTTAAGGGCATACGATACAGTTACAGGGGAGGTAATGATGTTGCTAACGTAATATGTTATTTTGGCGACGTCAAACTGTGACGTATTGGGAAAAGATGTATTTTTCGACTGATTTTTATCATTCAAACTGATTTAACTTGAAAACGAGTTCATGGACCCCTCCTTTTTAAAATGACATTCGGTTTGATTACGTATGAAGATTAATTGTATCAACTTTCATGAAAAGTCAATAATGCAATTTTTTGTAATTTGATAAATATACAGCAAAAAATGACGTTTTTTTCTACATTCATGAACATTTGATAAATTTGAGTTATTTCTAAACAAAAGATTTCATAAATTTATAGGATACTTATATAAAACAGAAATTACAAATAATTTAACAAAAAACAGCTTGTGTTTATCTTTTAAAACAAAAAAGTTATGCATTTCTGTCGGAAGGAAAAATACGTCCACAAATCCGAATTTTGAGGAAATATCTGAAATTTCGAACTCATTTTACTCAAAAAGTAGCACATGAAGGTATATTTTTTATTACATATTTGATTTAATCAGGTAAAAAATAGCCGATTTGCAAATTTTCATCAAATTTTCATTATGGGATCAAAACTGTATCGTATGCCCTTAAGTATGTTTATCCCTGGTTTATAAATGTTTGGGTTTGATCGTTCCTGATAAAGGTAAATCTATAAAAGCGCTTTCGACGAACGAAATGTATTAAGTTTTATGTTATTTAATCATAAGGAACATTTACAGTATTTTACTCTTTTGACATAAGCGTCATTGATATGAACATTTACCTGAATTCTTAGTTTAAACAATATTTTATTTTCAAAAATTGCACAAATTACAATTATAAAATAGAAATACAGGGATTCTTAAATTAGACTTTAACATTTCCAAATGTTCCTCGAAGAAATATGGTTCGAAAAGAATAATGACATTAATCCAGAGATAATTTGTATATTTGTAGTCACAGAAGTCATAATATGTGAATACTTTATGATTGTACAAAATGCTTGTGTTCTATAGCAGTAGTCACGCATTCTCAACATGCATCGAGTTTTCGCCGCGATATAGCCTTTTTGTGCTGATGCGGCGTAAAACAATCGCCAATCAATCAACATCGTGTTTCCCTTTGCCCTATGGCTGCTTGAAATTCTAATTTACAAATGACTAAAAAAACAATGGCGCAGAAGGAACCAAAAGTGACAGTTTTAGCTATTTCCTTCCAATGTCATGCATCGTCTGTTCTTATTTTCCGGGAATATCTTAAATCAACGGGACTGATAGATCAAAACTAAGCCTTTATGTTCACTGTTTGGATTAACAACAAAATTTATTTCCGAAATTTGGATGTTCTTTTTTTTTTTAAGATGTAAGATTTCAAGTTCTAAAAATTCAATCATCATCTTCAAACATAATATCTTAAAAAAAGAAACTTGGAAAACTGAATTTGCTGTACAATTTTATCACAATTGAAATTATAATACGGATCCCGTGTCTACGGTTCACTTACATTCTTACAACGCTCAGTTCTTCTCTCTGTTCCCTTTAGAAAAGAGAAAAAAGACTTACCACAACCAACGACGTTTTGTCCTAAAATTTTGCAGATGTTTATCAATACGACAAATCTCGAGTAATCGGGAAAAGTCTTCAGTGTAGACGAGAGTACGTAGTTAACCAACTTTAAAATCTCATAAATCAATTTAAGGGGACACAAATCAAAGTAACAAACGAAAAGTGAGGGAATCGCATGAACTTTAAATGGAGCGAGACCGGCCTGATGGTAAGTGTTTCCTGTTATGCATACATTATAACATAAGGCGAAGCAGGACAGTGTCAGATTGTCGTTAGCGTAGCATGGACAGGGGATATGCAATCGGATTAAATTTACCACAAACAATGTACATTCAGATATTAGTAGACACCCCTATTTTATTGTGTATCGGAAAGTGTTTCCTGTTTTGCACACATTATAACATAAGGCGAAGCAGGAGAGTGTCAGATTGTCGTTAGTGTAGCATGGACAGGGGATATGCAATCGGATTAAATTTACAACAAACAATATACATTCAGATACTAGTAAACACCCCTATTTTATTGTGAATCGGAAATGTAAACTTATTTGGCAGAAAAATTCATAAAAGATACTAGTTTCATTATTAGATATAACTTTTATTGCAATTATCATTTCATCTCGTAATGTTTTAAAGTGTCAAAATATAATTTTGCTTCGTTCATGGAAGATCGTCAAAAGCCATGTTTTAAACAACTTTAGACATTTGCGTACGTTTACTTACTTGTATTGCAATGCTGTATAGTTTCGACCTGGTTTAAGCCTAAGACAAATGGACAAAGCAGATACAAATATTTACTTTGAAAAAAACCCACATTGATTCAAATAAAAATGTTGTCTTAAGCTGACATCATCAATGTTATTGACAACATATGAGTTTTGTTAAAAGGACTTGTTATTCAACATACAATCGGCATTCCTATGTTCTTGTCAACTTGCTCCTGTGTTTTTTTAACGTGACAGCCTTAAGCTTTGAACAGGAGTTTCTAATGAAAAACAAAAATAATCTAGCATTATCTTTATAACTGTATGTTTCGCTACACAGATGATGCATTGTCACTGAAAAATTCGAAGTCTGGTAGATATGCTGATCGCGCATCTATCCCATTGAACTAAAATGGCAAATAAATTTTACCACAAATACATTTAAATCTGTTTCATATCTGAAACTTTCATACTAGTATAGAAAATGACAATGAGTGTCGGTTGAGAAATAATCTTTACGACGAATGAGATGATGTCACTTTTCCCAATGTGAACTTTCATTTTATTTGTTGCAAATTTCCAGCAGCGCATGCTTATAAATAAAAATAAGAAGATGTGGTAGTATTGCCAATGAGACAACTCTCCACTAGAAAGCAAATGACAAATTAGTAAACAACTATATGTCACCGAACGACCTTCGACAATGAGCAAAACCCATGTCGCATAAGTAAGCTAGTTTATTTTTCGCAGTTAATACGTTATTCCAATATCACTGGGGCTGCGTTTCCTTTCATGCTCTCTGTGAAAAAGGGTTGCTTACAGGAATGTTGTTGACCCAATCCTTTGTAACGTTGGAGTCATGCCTTCGAAAGTAAGTTTTACTGACGATGGTGACATCATTGAAGGCAACTTGTCATTGCATATTTACTTGCCATGAGCAAATTTTAGTTTCCTTAGCATGTGCTTTCTTATACTCTTCAATATATTGAAGTTAAGAAGTATCTTGTAAATAAATAATATCCTGTATATAGATAGATGAACGTAAGAGTGTTTAGTTTTTGGAGTCGGGCGCACCTGTAACGTGCGGGATTCGAACTCATAGCCTCAGTGTTGACAGGATAGTGATACAGTAGATGGACTACTTTTACCATTCGTCCACCGATGCCCCTGAAAGAAAGAACAGAAAACTGTTACGGCTAGATGACTCAAAAACAACTTTTTATTGTGTATACGCAACGGATAAGACATTCATAATTTGAATGACAAACTATATATGGACTAAGAAGCGAAACTAAACCAGTAAGAGTTGACTCATGTCGTGCGCTCTGCAAGTAACACCCTTTTCTTTAGTAAAATGGTCATTTGAATTATGACAGTGCTGTCTTTTATAACCGTTTAATGCCAAACTAGATTTACTGATGACAATAATCCTACTATGTCTAATCGAGTTACTGATTTCAATAATCCGTGTTTGTCTAATCGAGTTACTGATTTCAATATCCTTGTTTTTGTCAATGATCCTAGTTTGTCTTGCTATTTTCTGATTTGTCTCTTACGGATCTGCTGATTTTTAAAAGGTGAATGATGGTACAAACCCCCATCGCCCAAATAATGTCAATGCTGTTATTGAAAGCGGCAACATTGTTAGAATTGAACAGTTGTTTTATTTTCCACCAAAGATATTGCTATTTCTTTTTTAATAAAACATTGTAAATGTCTTACCACTATTTGTAATTAATTTCAAGAGAAAACTCTGATATATAAGGTTATCAGATAGTTATAACATTTGTATAGTTAAAGTGATAAGTTATGAACACCCTCGAACGTGTTGAATTTAACTGTAGCGGTTGGTGAAATCTAGATAGGATACTCGTGTAGTATTTGTTGGAGTCTATTTTTAGAACATTAACGATAGGACTAACTGATTTGATTATATCTGTTATCTCCCATTGTGGTAAGTAAATAATACACTTATAATATCGTGTTGCGAATATACACAACAGTTAAAAATGAATTTCTTTTAGACCTCAGGTATATGTCACTTTAACGGGGTTCACCAACAATTTGTATATACCATTTCATTTTATAATTGAGAATGGAAACGGGGAATGCGTCAAAGAAACAACAACCCGACCAAAGAGCAGAAAACAGCCCAAGGCCACCAATAGGTCTGCAACACAGCGAGAAAATTCCGCACCCGGAGGCGGGCTTCAACTGGCCCCTAAACAATAATTTATACTAGTTCAGCGAAAATGGACGTCACACTAAAAACTGCTCACAATACACTTTATAACTGTTCCTATCAATTCCTATTTTAACAAAGTTTATGTCTTAAAATATCCTCAAAATAAAATACAAACAAAACATAGCAAACAAATTATTTTCAACCTTTTCTATTCCGTTTCCAGTTAAAGAAAATGTCAAAGCCTATGTCTGGAAAAGTGTGTTTGGTGACAGGAGCAACACGAGGAATTGGTAAAGGTATAGCGTTACAGCTAGGACAAGCTGGTGCAACAGTCTACATAACTGGTGAGTAGAATGTATTGTTACACGAGCAAAAAGGGGGATCGCTAAAGGTGTCGCATTACAGCTAGGACAAGCTGGTGCAACAGTCTACATAACTGGTGAGTACAATGTATTGTGACAGGAGCAACAAGGGGGATCGGTAAAGGTATAGCATTACAGCTAGGACAAGCTGGTGCAACAGTCTACTTAACTGGTGAGTACAATGTATTGTTACAGGAGCAACACGAGGAATCGGTAAAGGTATAAGCGTTACAGCTAGGACAAGCTGGTGCAACAGTCTACATAACTGGTGAGTACGATGTATTGTGACAGGAGCAACAAGAGCGATCGGTAAAGGTATAGCATTACAGCTAGGACAAACTGGTGCAACAGTCTACATAAATGGTGAGTACAATGTATTGTGACAGGAGCAACAAGGGGAATCGGTAAAGGTAGAGCGTTACAGCTAGGACAAGCTGGTGCAACAGTCTACATAACAGGTAAGTACAATGTATTGTGACAGGAGCGACAAGAGGTATCGATAAAGGTATAGCATTACAGCTAGGACAAGCTGGTGCAACAGTCTACATAACTGGTGAGTACAATGTATTGTTACAGGAGCAACAAGGGTCATCGCTAAAGGTGTAGCATGACAGCTATGACAAGCTAGTGCAACAGTCTACATAACTGGTGAGTACAATGTATTGTGACAGGAGCAACAAGGGGAATCGGTAAAGGTATAGCGTTACAGCTAGGACAAGCTGGTGCAACAGTCTACATAACAGGTAAGTACAATGTATTGTGACAGGAGCAACAAGGGGGGTCGGTAAAGGAATAGCATTACAACTAGGACAAGCTAGTGCAACAGTCTACATAACAGGTAAGTACAATGTTCTGATAAAAGCCTTATATCTACCAGCAGGAGATTACATAGATTCTTCCAATAATGGAAAGGTCGATTTGCAACTGAACTTGGGCTGAATTAGACTACCTTGTAAATGACGAGTGTATTGTCATTGTTCAGTTGTATTCCTGTGATAAGCAGGTATTGTTTACATACCTTGTATTCATACTGCTAGATAAAATCGGACAACGTTTAGATTAATAAGTATTGTCGATAAAATCTTTATAAATAAGATGTTTTACATGTATGGCGGTAACATACCTTACGATAGACCGTTCTGCTATGAGTGCCTTGATGGGGTTGACAGAATATAGAAAAATGGCCAGAAAAAATAATGATTTGAGAAAAATGAGCAAATAATGTAAGAAAAGAGAATAACGGGTTGCAAAAGTATAAAGAATAGATGTAAAACATAAAAGAATTAGGTAATACAATATTGATTAAAGAAATGAACTATGTAAAGATTAGAGAAATCATCTAATTACAGAAAAAAATGATAGTAAGTGAGCTTTTCTCATCACTTTGCGTCCGTCGTCCTGCGTCCGTCGTCCGTCGTCCGTCGTCCGTCGTCCGTAAACTTTTACAAAAATCTTCTCCTCTGAAACTACTGGGCCAAATTTAACCAAACTTGGCCACAATCATCATTGGGGTATCTAGTTTTAAAAATGTGTGGCGTGACCCTGTCAACCAACCAAGATGGCCGCCACGGCTAAAAATAGAACATAGGGGTAAAATGCAGTTTTTAGCTTATAACTCAAAAACCAAAGCATTAAGAGCAAATCTGACATGGGGTAAAATTGTTCATCAGGTCAAGATCTATCTGCCCTGAAATTTTCAGATGAATCGGACAACCCGTTATTGGGTTGCTGCCCCTGAATTGGTAATTTTAAGGAAATTTTGCTGTTTTTGGTTATTATCTTGAATATTATTATAGATAGAGATAAACTGTAAACAGCAATAATGTTCAGCAAAGTAAGATTTACAAATAAGTCAATATAACCGAAATGGTCAGTTGACCCCTTTAGGAGAAATTGCCCTTTATAGTCAATTTTTAACCATTTTTCGTAAATCTTAGTAATCTTTTACAAAAATCTTCTCCTCTGAAACAACTGGGCCAAATTAAACCAAACTTGGCCACAATCATCATTGGGGTATCTAGTTTAAAAAATGTGTGGCGTGACCCGGCCAACCAACCAAGATGGCCGCCACAGCTAAAAATAAAACATAGGGGTAAAATGCAGTTTTTGGCTTATAACTCAAAAACCAAAGCATTTAGAGCAAATCTGACATGAAGTAAAATTGTTTATCGGGTCAAGATCTATCTGCCCTAAAATTTTCAGATGAATCGAACAACCTGTTGTTGGGTTGCTGCCCCTGAATTGGTAATTTTAAGGAAATTTTGCTGTTTTTGGTTATTATCTTGAATATTATTATAGATAGAGATAAACTGTAAACAGCAATAATGTTCAGCAAAGTAAGATTAACAAATAAGTCAACATGACTGAAATGGTCAGTTGACCCCTTTAGGAGTTATTGCCCTTTATAGTCAATTTTTAACAATTTTTCGTAAATCTTAGTAATCTTTTACAAAAATCTTCTCCTCTGAAACTACGTGGCCAAATTAAACCAAACTTGGCAACAATCATCATTTGGTTATCTAGTTTTAAAAATGTGTGGCGTGACCTGGTCAACCAACCAAGATGGCCGCCACGGCTAAAAATAGAACATAGGGGTAAAATTCAGTTTTTGGCTTTTAACTCAAAAACCAAAGCATTTAAAGCAAATCTGACATGGGGTAAAATTGTTCATCAGGTCAAGATCTATCTGCCCTGAAATTTTCAGATGAATCGGACAACCCGTTATTGGGTTGCTGCCCCTGAATTGGTAATTTTAAGGAAATTTTGCTGTTTTTGGTTATTATCTTGAATATTATTATAGATAGAGATAAACTGTAAACAGCAATAATGTTCAGCAAAGTAAGATTTACAAATAAGTCAATATAACCGAAATGGTCAGTTGACCCCTTTAGGAGTAATTGCCCTTTATAGTCAATTTTTAACCATTTTTCGTAAATCTTAGTAATCTTTTACAAAAATCTTCTCCTCTGAAACAACTGGGCCAAATTAAACCAAACTTGGCCACAATCATCATTTGGTTATTTAGTTTTAAAAATGTGTGGCGTGACCTGGTCAACCAACCAAGATGGCCGCCACGGCTAAAAATAGAACATAGGGGTAAAATTCAGTTTTTGGCTTTTAACTCAAAAACCAAAGCATTTAAAGCAAATCTGACATGAAGTAAAATTGTTTATCAGGTCAAGATCTATCTGCCCTGAAATTTTCAGATGAATCGGACAACCCGTTGTTGGGTTGCTGCCCCTGAATTGGTAATTTTAAGGTAATTTTGCTGTTTTTGGTTATTATCTTGAATATTATTATAGATAGAGATAAACTGTAAAAAACGATAAATGTCGGCAAAGTAAGATCAACAAATAAGTCAACATGACCGAAATTGTCAGTTGACCCCTTTAGGAGTTATTGCCCTTTATAGTCAATTTTAACCATTTTTTCGTAAATCTTAGTAATCTTTTACAAAAATCTTCTCCTCTGAAACTACTGGGCCAAGTTAATTATAGATAGAGATAATTGTAAGCAGGAAAAATGTTCAGTAAATTAAGATGTACAAACACATCACCATCACCAAAACACAATTTTGTCATGAATCCATCTGCGTCCTTTGTTTAATATTCACATAGACCAAGGTGAGCGACACAGGCTCTTTAGAGCCTCTAGTTTTAAATAAAGAAAAATGCATTTTTTTTTGTTAAATAAAATTAAGGAACCAACCATCTAGACCCTCTGCTTTATGTGATGTATTTAAGTATGTGTTTTACTAGTATCTATCAAAACTGTGTACTGGTGATTTCTTGTATATTTAAATAGTACTATAATTGTGGAAACAACGACTTTAGTTTTTGTCTATATAAGATAGTGTTGTTTTGATTTACAAATTTGTTCTTGCCGTGACATAACCTTTGTGTGCTGACGTTATGTTAAACCTCCATCAATCAATCAACCACAGACCGTATTACATTGTGAAGTGTTGGTGTTTTACAAAGTCTGTTGTCATTTAGTGTGCATTTGACTGAAAGACCAATGAAGAGTAAAGAGCATTACAGATTTTTTTAGAGAGATTTTGTATACAACTAGGTCATGTTGGATAAAATAATTCACTCAGTTAAACATAAATTTTGTTGAATATGTTTTATGAAAATAAGTGATCATTTGAATAAAATGCATATAATTCGTGCAAAACATTCTTAAAGTTATCATTAAAGCCTCATTCCTCTATAAAATAGTCTGCACACTTTTTCTTAAAAATCGTCGTTGGCTGATAAACAGTCGTTTTAATGATGCATACTAATCATATGGTCACTGATTTTGTTCCAATTGCATTTTCTACAAAACAATTACAAGTAATATATTTTCTTCACATTGTTGAGTAAAAAGTTGTTATGACCAAAAATATCATATAATATTTCTTCTAATTATATTATAGGCAGGACACTAATATTTCTTCTAATTATATTATAGGCAGGACTCTGACTACAAATAAAGCTGATCCTATAGGAGGTTCCTTGACAGACACTGCGAATGAGTTAAGTAATATATTTCAAAATGGAGCAACTAGCTTATTGTGATCACTAAATGTATTGATGTTTTCTGTATTTCGACAAAAAAAACATTTAAAAGAAGATGAGCAAATTTAGAATAATTGCCAATGAGACAACTATCCACCGGAGACCTAAGGACGAGAATAGTAAATAACTATAGATCATCATACATCCTTCAGCAAAGAACAAAACACATAATATATAGTATGCTTTAAAAGTCACCGTCTTACCAAAATGTGAAACAAATCAAAAGGGAAACTTACTGCTTGATTCACGTTATAACAAAGAACGAAAAACAAATATGGCAGACAGCAACCGGATCAACCACTGAAACACAGGCGCTTGACTTGGGATAGGCACATTAAAAATATTGGCAGAATTAGATATACTTGTATTTGTCAGTACTCAACTATCCCCCTTACCTGGACAGTACTGTAACAAAACAACAAAATAACAAAATAAGTTGAAAAAGAAATGACTCATCAGATCGACACTTAGCACACATAAAGACTTAAACACTTAAACACGGGGTTAATGAAAGATAGTTCAAAGCCAATTCCAGCTAATAGACAAACCATGTCTTCTTAAACTAAAATTTTAATCAGTACACATCCAATCGATTTAGTGTTAAGACGTCAAATATAGTCCGAGAAAAGCAAAGCCTTGTGCAAGTATCGACAGATTATATGACCAAAAGTGTTCATAACTATGAATCAATAATATAAAGTTAAGTTTTATTTCATTAAAAAACAAAATCAATGTTAGTAGCGATGAAGACAATATTCAAAGATCTTTTTAACAGTTTTGAATTGCAAACCTTTCAGAATACACTTATTCAAAAGATCATGAAGTTTACATAGATCTTGTCTGTTATTTAGCTTGAAAAATATGTTATTGAATATTATTGTACCATACGAAATCAGTGTTTTTCGTAAAGTCTGAACTCTATAAAATTAAGGAGATGTGGTATGATTGCCAATGAAACAACTATCCACCCAAGTTCAAATGAAGTGTTTGTTTTATCGTGTATCTAAAAGCATGTCATATTTTTCCACCAGTGAAAGTACTGTCCATGATTCATTGAACTATTTACTTCATACATGGTCACTCAAATATGCAAGTAAAGTATGATATCAGTTCTTTCGCAGAAAACTGGCGCCCTATGGAATTCATAAGTATTCAGACACTATTAATTTGTCATTTTGTGAAATTATAGATTGAGAAAAGAGGAGGATCATGTATTCCAGTACAGTGTGATCATGCAAAGGACGGTGACATCCAAGCATTGTTTAATCGTATTTCAAAAGAACAAGATGGTAGGCTAGATGTGCTGGTAAACAATGCATTTAATACCGCTCAGGTATATTCATTTAAGTTTTTTAATGTTGCTTTGTTGCTTTCAAAGTGTTGTTTACCACTTACGCACTAACAATATATTCTCATGACACACACGAATGTCAATGTATTAGGGGATTTGATGAAAATTGTGTGCATTATAATACAAGCTCAATGAATGTAAACCGACATTCATATTTGCTATCCTATAAGGCTGTATCCTTGCATTACAATCCTACTCTTCTGCCGTCGTTAAATCTTCTGCTTTAGTAATTGATGGTCCAAAATTATTTCTAAATCAAAAAACGTATTATTTTCTCTGCCAATTTACTAGTAGTTGATTTTATACTTACGAATCCAATGAAAAATGCGTTGTTTTAATATTGAAAAGTGGTGGTTTCCAGAATTTTCCATGTATTTCTTGTCACCTCTTCCAGAGATATATAATACAATTGTACTATATGGCTCTGCCCCTTTGTATTATCAATATAGTAGACCAACTCCGAGCAACATTGTTCTTATTTCATGAAGACATTATTCAGTTGCATGTTTTTATTTATTTAATAAAAATATACAGAAATGGAAAATGAGAGCTTCTTAGTTTTTTGTGTCCTATAGAATACTACTAGTATATTGATTAATTTATGAGAAAACTATACTGAGAAGGTTCTTGTATCAATATTCGTTTCTTCATCTTACTCTCAACATACTTGATTTTTAAAATGAAGTCATTAATTCATTATGAATCCCAAACGAGAAACTTGTTCAGCGAAAACATCGAATAATTAAACATCAGACGACTTAACAGTGAGCGTTTGTTATAAAGACTGGTTCCCGGTCCTTTATCTATTTGGCTCAAACATAAAGAATGACTAATCAGATACCCGTATGTTGCAAGAGAGGGAACCACCTAGTTTGTTATACTTTTTAAAGCTGTTTTCTTCTTTGATGTTATTTATTACTGATTGTTAGGGATTTTGGATCTTTGATGTCTCTGTTATATCTTGATACTGTTATAGACTGGCTCCTTTCGATTTAGAGCCGGACAAATCATATGGACACTTGTAAAATATCATAGTTTGTCCTCTAGATATCTTTTGATTGTTTGTGTCGTTAGTCTGTTGTTTCTTAAACGTAAAATCCAACATCAACTACGGACGCGTCTTATGTCTTTTTGTTGGTCAATTAGATTTTTTTGTGTGAAATGATTGATTGAGTATCAACTCGATATAATATCTATACTACAGGGTTTGAAAGAAAACATGGGACAACCATTTTGGGAGCAACCTATTACAATGTGGGATGCTGTTAATAACGTTGGACTCAGGTGAGTTCACCAATGGTTTATACGCGCTGCCATATATTCATTCTTATTAAAAAGTTTTACTTATTACATATTTACATGGTCTTTCGAAAAATCAAACAACTGTACAGCTATATTGTTAACTTTTAATTATCTGTGACAATGTATAATATTATAATTTGCCTTGTGATAAATTAAAATTAAGCTTAAACAGTTTTGTTTCCATGGATTCGATATATTCAAGATGTTTTGAATAAATTGAAAGCAAAAATATTTTTCAGTTGTAGTTAAAACAGACAATGTTTTGAACAGTTGTAGAACATATTTTGCGTTTCTTTCATTGATATATAGTGTGCGTATGTAATTAATGATGTGTTATTTTATTGCTTATGAGACAACTACATCCTCGATACAAATTCCATACTTTTTTAATATACATAAGTAATTATCTATTTATGATTGATTGATTGATTGATTGATTGATTGATTGATTGTTGATTTTAAACGCCACTTTCACTATTCTTGTCTATATCCTGGCGGGTTTTTTTGGTGGAGGAAGCAGTTTTACCCTGAGAAAACAACCGATCTTCGACAGGAAAACAAAAACTGACAAACATAGCCAATTTAGGTCGGAGATGGACGCACTTGCCACGAGCGGGTTTCAAACTCACAATTTCAGTGTTGGTAGGCTAGTGAACACGGACGGTAGAAGAGCTACTTAGACCTCTCGGCCACCGAGGCCCTATATAATCATAAGTCATGTGATAGTTTACAATGGATTGTGTTTTTGTTTAGGAATCACTACATATGTTCCGTGCATGCAGCAAAACTAATGACAGCAAGAAAGAAGGGTCTGATTGTTAATATATCGTCCATGGGAGGACTTCAGTACACGTTTAGTGTCCCATATGGAGTAGGTAAAGAGGCTGTGAGTACATTTTTTTTCTCTCTAACTTTATCCATGGGACAATGAACTCATTTTACCATCATGATTTTATTTGGCGTCAATCTGTCTTACATTTCAACATTTCACAAATATATTTTATTGCACGTCATTCAACTAAAAGCTATGGATATCTTAATGTCAATTTTTATCCCGTCAAATTTTCGTCTACGTTACAATGAAAAATTTGACTAGAACTTTACTGACAAATTACAAATGAGGGTCTGGATGGGGTTGACATATATAAATAGAATAATGGACTAAGAGTTAAAGAATAGAGAAAATTTAATAAAATAAAGAATAGAGGAAAATATGTTAAAAATAAAGAAAAGAGAATTGTGAAGTGCCTAAATATACATATATATAGAGAGAGAATAGTGGCGGAAATGAATAAAGAATAGAAAAAAAAAACGATGAAAAATTAAAGAATACAAAAATAACCAAAATGCATCTATAGCTAGCGATCACTATACGTGTTTGTATGTTGTGTTTTACATTTACCACATGTTGTAGAAACTGGATTTCGATAAATAGAAAGCTAGATAAACTCCAACCAAATTTCTTTTCCATTAAAAGTCATATTTTCTTAAAAGTTAACCACGACATGTTAGCATTAATATCATGATCAGAAATTGTATTGTTAAAGTGGCAGAATGTGCATCATTTCTTGTTTAGTTGGACAGAATGGCAGCAGATTGTGCTGTTGAATTGAGAGCTAGTAATGTTGCCTTTGTTAGTTTATGGCCTGGTGCGGTAAGGACTGAATTCTTTACACATATGGTTAAAACGCAAACAGCTGATGGATTTTTTAATGCGGGACGAGCTGAAAATGTAGGTATAGTGTTACAGTGTCGCTCGGTTTTATTCGGGGGTTGATTAACACCAATTTTTCTAAAATTGTTAATATGTGGACATGGAAAAAGGCTATATAAATCTTCATTTGCTTTTTGGGGGTGATTATTAGATAAGGCAGGCTGTTAGCTGAAGCACTATTTTTATCAACGAAACATGCTGATAGAATGACTGGAAAGGAAATTATATATATATATGTACAAATTTTGGCACCTCATGTTTGCGGTATACCATCTTTTCCGCAAGTTTATTGTTTTCTGTTTTGTATTTAATTAGAAAATTAAGATCCATTTTTACATCTGGTGATCCGTTTATTTGGCAATCGCCATGGCAGTCAGCAGGGTTTAAGAACATCCGTTGTTCGACCTGCTAGTCAAATGCGTTTTGTTAAAATATACTTTTTCACTTTTTGGTCTTTTGGAAAATGTTGTTTGTGCTGTATTTAGACCACTCTACCAAGAAATCTGTTTTGCATGCACACGTATAAAAATTGCGGTTTTTAAAATAAACTTGCGGAAAAGATGGTATACCGCAAACATGAGGTGCAAAAATTTGTACACCATATCCGGATTTCGACAATTAATGTCTCTTCAGTGATGTTAGGAATCGAAACGGTATTTGGAAGGCCATATAATTTACCTCAATTTAGGATAGACTCTTGAATTTTGAAAGAGTCAAAATAGGATGAACGGATCATATAAACCCGAAGGCAAATATAATACAAGCCCAAACGAAAAAATATAAACACGTCTAAATTGAAAACAACGTTCAAACCTATGATTGCGTTGGATAAAAACCGCAATTTTTATACGTGTGCATGCAAAACAAATTTCTTGGTAGAGGGGTCTAAATACAGCACAAACAACATTTTCCAAAAGACCAAATGAGTGAAAAGGTATATTTAAACAATACGCATTTGACTAGCAGGTCGAACAACTGATGTTCTTAAACCCTGCTGACTGCCATTGGCGATTGCCAAATAAACGGATCACAAGATGTAACAAAATAGATCTTATTATTAATTCATTTCCAAACAGAAAAAAAATAAACTTGCGGAAAATATGGTATACCGCAAACATGAGGTGCAAAAAATTTGTACACCATATCCGGATTTCGACAATTAATGTCTCTTCAGTGATGTTAGGAATCGAAACGGTATTTGGAAGGCCATATAATTTACCTCAATTTGGGATTGACTCTTGAATTTTGAAGAGTCAAAATAGGATGAACGGATCATATAAGCCCGAAGGCAAATATAATACAAGCCCAATCAAAAAATATAAACAAGTCTAAATTGAAAACAACGTTCAAACCTATGATTGCGTTGGATAAAAACCGCAATTTATATATATATATATATATATTTGCTTACACCCACGGCATTTGGAGTCTGGTGGATAGATTTCTCATTGGCAATCAAATCACATTTCCTTATCTATAAGTGTGTTCGACTTCGATCTTAAATGACTAGGATTGCTAATTTTCTTGCCAAAGGTCGGTGATTCTCTCGGGTTACTCCGAATTCCTCCACCAACAAAAACTGGACTCCACGATAAAGCCAGTAGTGCTGAAATCGGCGTTAAACACAAATAATCAATTAACTAATCCTTATTTATAGATATTAAGGTACCGATTTATCTTTAAATACACTGCATGTGTCATTAGATATCACTCATAAACACACCCACACACACATGCGTTCTTATCAACGGCAATGGTAATAAGAGTTATAGTAACAATGTTTAAATAAAAGTTATATTACTAGTATTATATATTTATTAATTAGGAGCCCAAGCTTGACTGTTCTGCAATTTATAGCATAGCACTGAGTACTGAGTATGAAGGAAAAGCAGTTTTAGCCTTAGCTTCGGGTATGTAGAGTGTTTTTTATAATCCATTTTAATATACAACAGTAAACTTTACACAAAAAAGGAACATGCCAAAATCAATTTTTAGGAAAAGATGGTAGCACGAATTTTCGAAACAATGGCAACTGTAGAGTGAAACCATTCAGCAAATACTGTTTCTCCTTCATTGCTTCATCGCGTACATATCTTTGTCGTTGCATTTCACTTTCAAAGGGAAAATAAGCAACTTATGTTGAATATGGAGTGGTTCAATGCTTTATACGAAAAATCCTGGCAAACCTTCAACAACCAATGTATCGAATTGAACATAAGCAATATTTATTTTGGATTGTCTAAAGGGTATACTTTTTAGAGCAGTACAAAATTATATGATTAAGCGATTTGTTTAGCTCTACCCTTTTCAAAAATTTTTCTTCCTCCGGCAGTAAACACCCTCATTTCACTACCGTGTTGTTTTATATTGTGTCAATTATTTTCCTTTAAAATATCATACATTGCTATATTAATTGTATTATGCTATATACTTTGAAATGTAATGATTATTTGATATAGGAAAAAACCTCACACGTTTAAAACTTGTGTTCTTTCCATGGTGATTTTTATTGTTTCGACAATGAAAATATGTTTAAAGTAAAGTATCTTGTAATATTAACAATTGTATTTTCATACAAATATTTACAATAATTTAATGTTTCATAGTCGGATAATTGTGGCTTAAAATAATAACCTGTGTTTGTTTAATTTTTCTAAATATTTTGGAATTTTTGTTTTTGATTTTGTAGATCATCAGAAATATGTAATCATGGTTATCGAATTAATTGAAATATGTTATTGCAGGTACTTAAAATTAAACGTTCTTCAAATCATTAGTTCTTTATTTAACCAAAGTATAAATTCCTTTTCAGATATAAACATAATGAAAAAATCCGGTAAAGTTTTAATGACTGCAGACCTTGGATATGAATACGGATTTAAGGATATAGATGGTAATTGCAACAATATTATACCAAATATAGAACAGTATTCAAAATACAATATGCTTGTCTCTTTCACATTTTATTTTGTCCCTGTAGTTGTTTTGCCTTACGATTTCCTTGTACACTTCGGCAATCTAGATATTATTTTATGAATTCCTCTGGTCTCAGTGATTCCGTCTCTTTTTTAGTTATTTAGTACTTTATCACAACTTTTACTGATTTGTTTCATTCAAGATCTTGTGTAACCGCAATTACGAAGGAAAACACCGCAGTTTATTCGAATCAGCGAATATTTACCTTGAAGTTCTTAACGAGACTAAAAATAATTACAGAACTGAATCTAGAATGTTATCACAAAATGATAGCTTTTAAAAAAATAATATCCTGATTTGATTGTGTCTTTTGATAAATTTAAGATAAGAAGTCTTTATTTATCATAAATAACTTTGATTTGGAAATGCATAAAACAATGAAACATGAAATACAAATTCTATTGAGCTTTTGTCAAAATATAAATATTACGAGGGCAATTAGTATTTGACCAAAAGTATTAGATTTTTATGTATGGTTTTTCGTAAAGTAGCATGGCTTATTTTATTTATGCGTATTAAATTTCTGATTTTAGGTAGAGAACCGATGAATATCAGACAACTGAGTACACTTATACAAATGAACCCAAAGACAAGATGGCTGGCTAATATAATTCCAAATTTTATTTACCTTCCAAAATGGATGTTGGCTTTATCTGGAAATAAGTTTTAGTAGTCATAGTGCAATTTTGTTATACTTATATCATGTGCAATAGGATTTTTGTTGCGTATTGTTATGTACATTCATGTTCCAACAGTATTAGTACATGTTCAGTCTGATAAAAAGAAGTTTATGTTGGGTTTCCATCGCAATTAAGACGATTAACTCTTTTAACATTATTCGATGTGTGTAAAAGTCGACGACATTTGCGATGCGATGATTAGATATGCGACTTATATAATAATATATCAATTGAATAATCTAGAATTATATTATAATTCATTTGCAGCAACTAATTGAACTTAAATAAAATGAAACACATAATTTCAATACATTCATTGAACATTATATAGAGTAAAGCCAAGGACATTCAATTGAAAGATATGAAAAATAAGGAGGAATACCAAGGATCAATCATAAACAACGCCGAAAAATAGTTTCTCGTTTCTCGTTTTTTATATAGATTAGACCCTTGGTTTTCCTGTTTGAATGGTTTTACACTAGTCATTTTTAGGGACCCTTTATAGCTTGCTGTTCGGTGTGAGCCAAGGCTCCGTGTTGAAGGCGTACTTTGACCTATAATGGTTTACTTTTACATATTGTGACTTGGATGGAGGGTTGTCTCATTGGCACTCATACCACATATTTTTATATCTAAAAACCATGGCCAAAAGAAAAGTCTTGGAGATAAAAAAAAAACAAAAAAAACAACAAAACAGTGTTGTTTCCTTGCTTTATACTCAACCATGTGGTTCTTTTCTTTTACATGAAGTATCATGTTTTGAAATACATAATGCTAAAATTCTGATGCCACTGGTCAACCTTTCTTTCGCTGATTTGAGAAATTTTTAATGACTTTTATCACTTCAATTTTGAACATCGTAAAATATCATACCTTATTAGAATATTTTTTATGCCCCACCTACGATAGTAGTAGGGGCATTATCCTTACTGGTCTGTGCGTCCGTTCGTTCGTCCGTCCGTCCGTTCGTTCGTCCGTCCGTCCGTCCGTTCGTTTGTTCGTTCGTCCGTCCCGCTTCAGGTTAAAGTTTTTGGTCACGGTAGTTTTTGATGAAGTTGAAGTCCAATCAACTTGAAACTTAGTACACATGTTCCCTATGATATGATCTTTCTAATTTTAATGCCAAATTAGAGTTTTAACCCCAATTGCATGGTCAACTGAGCATAGAAAATGCGTCTGTCCCGCTTCAGGTTAAAGTTTTTGGTTAAGGTAGTTTTTGATGAAGTTGAATTCCAATCAACTTGAAACTTAGTACACATGTTCCCTATGATATGATCTTTCTAATCTTAATGCCAAATTCGAGTTTTGACCCCAATTTCACGGTCCACTGAACATAGAAAATGATAGTGCGAGTGGGGCATCCGTGTACTATGGACACATTCTTGTTCTATTCGAAGTTGTATTGATTATTATTCTCAACTGGAAAGTATGAACCATCAGTATCTCTTAGATGGGGTTACTTGTGACTTAATGTCGTGTTGCTTCTCTGCTAGGACGACCAAATTTAAAGTTTATAACAGAGTCTAGGGGGTTAGGAATAAAGAAAGGCGTGTACGAATAGGATAATTATTCCGCAAATTTGTCGCCAAACTATCCGCTCAGTACTTCGGTAAATTTGAGGCAACAGTAGTTTACCGATGTTTAATTCTTATGAATTATTTAAAAAGATAAAAATCATGGTAACAAACAAAAACTGAGAGAATCGAAAGAACACCAAAAGAAGCAAGACCGGTTGTATCGATAGGGTAAGCGTCTCCAGTTACTCATGCATCACATTCGAATCAACACTAAGGAAAAATGTAAAAAGTAAAACAACAAAAATACCGAACTCCAAGGAAAATTCAAAACGGAAAGTCCCTTATCAAATGGCAAAATCAAAAGCTCAAACATATTAAACGAATGGAAAACAACTGTCATATTCCTGACTTGGTACAGGCATTTCCTTTTGTTGAAAATGGTAGATTAAACCTGGTTTTATAGCTATCTCAACCTCTCACTTGTATGACAGTCGCATGTAATTCCATTATATTGACAACAATGTGTGAACAAAACAAACAGACATAATAGGAAAAAATGTCAAAAATTGGGGTACAGCAGTAAACATTGTGTTATAATCTTAATCACTATAAAAACAAACAAATATGTCAACAAAGAAAAACAAAATGGGATATAGACAAAGCACATAAGCAAAAATGAAATACAAGAATACAAAAAATTACCATAGCATAATAACACAATGGCGGGATGTATAAGTACCGAGTCACATCAAAGGATATTACCAAAAATGGACTAAACAGTAAAGGTTAATAATTTACAAAGACAAATAAAAGAACACCATAACACGTAATTAAGGTAATAAACAACGTCAGTACCTAGAATCTATACTTCAAGACCATCATGTATTATTTGTAAGTTCATACGGAATATTTATCAGCAAGGTCTTGGTATCTCCCGATGAACTTTTTAAGAAAAATGACGAGACGCTCTTTGACATTAACCTGGTTCATCAACTTTCTGCTCAGACACTGGTGACGTTTTATAAAGTCTGAGTAGCAGCTGCAAGCTCTTGAATACCAAATGAGTTGGGAAATGTATATCCCATATGCAGGTGAAGTTGGCATATTACTACTAAGGTGGGGAAATAGATAATTTCTAAATTAAAATCGTCTCCTCGTTTGTCATAGATTCTGGTACTGTAAGACCGTGACACCGGTCACTAGTGCATTGAGACATAGACACATCGCAGAATTCAACCAATTTGTGATGGTGACCGTAAAACTTATGTAGTGTCGAGTTCAGTCGTTCTTCCTGATAACTCTGTTGGATTCAAGTAGTCACTGAAATGTAGGTCATTGAGTGACGGACATCATCAATACATCTGAAAGCAAAATTAAAAACTTTGTCAGGTGCTTTTTCTTTTTGTCTTGGAGAAGGTTCTGTATTAATTCTACTTCAATTGAGTACGAAAACAAATCGGACAGTAAGGGTGCATATTTAGTACCCATTGAAATACCCACTATATTTTGAACTATCAATCAACGAAACTCAACAAATGTGTTGTCGATCAAAAAGTCAAACATTTTGATGATATCATCTTCTATGTATTTGTAGTTGGACTCAGTGCGGTTCTTCTCAAAGCAAGGTTTTTATGACCTAAAACAAGGACTTCTATCTACAATTTGCCAATTTTTTTTAATTTTTGGACGACATAGTTGATCCTTCAATTGAGCATGGTGAATAGTAGTGTAAAGGGTTGACTAATCAAAAGTTTTGATATGACTGCAAAATTGAAGGTTTTTGAGTTGATCTGTAGAATTTTTAAGACTTCAGATCTGACTGACATTGCTGGTTAAATATAAGACGAAAGTAGTTTACCAATGTTAACGTTCAAATCTCGTAAACCGATTACGATGAGACAAATTAAGGTACCTTAACAGAAACTGATGGAATCGCATGAATTACAACGACGCTAGATCGGTTGCGTAGACGGGGTACGCATCTCCAGCTATGCTACCGTCGAAATGAATGTAAGACTTTAAGAAAGATGTTTAGTGGAACATCTTGACGACTTGGTTATACATCGTTCTTTCTAAAGATTTTTATGATATTAAGGATCCGCATGTCTACTCATCCGGTATCGATTCTTTTGGAGTTCATGCAATGCCCTCAGTTTTATTATTAAGATTACCTCTGTTAATCGATTTACTACATTTATACATCGGTAAACTACTGTCGGTTAATTTAGGTTTTCAGTATAAAGACTGCGATTTGCATCGTCCTCTTGTATGTTAATACCAAATGAGAGAAGGAAAGAAAATATGGATTTTTTGTTGTTGAAATTTGCTGTTCAAAATGTTGAAATCCTTTTGTAAGGAATTTATCTCTCTCGTGCAGAACTTTGAGTCCTTATCCAGATTTGCTCTGTTCGTGTTCTTTTCGGATATCAGCTCTTCAAAGGTTTGTATTGGGTTTTGGATTTTCAATTAGTTTGGCATTGAGCATCAACGAAGAGACTAAAATTATTGAAATGCGCATCTGTTACAGTAAAGGTTACCAGAACCAACATAGGTTGATTTATGTATTGAAAACTGTATCCACATTTCGATAGTTGCATTTCGAAGAGTTTGTCATTTTTAATGTGTGCGTTTTGATCAGTTTTCGTATGAAAGGAAAATAAATAGATCACGAGTTAGGCAAAGCCGCAAAAACGAGCAATTCATGTATGCAATGACCTTTCTAGTAATGCAATACGATGTGTCTTGAACCTCAAAATGTTAGTTTTTCGAGAAAGGTTTTGAGGAAATGAATTAGAAAATTAATCTAAAAGTTAAAAGTACATAATAAAAATATAGGTGCTGTTTTATTTTTGGAGGGCTGAATACATTATTCATATTTTGTTATTGAAACCGCTATCATCGAATTTGTTTAGAACGATATGGCTTGTTTATGGTAACAATAATTAGAATGAATCAATTTCATTAATGTCGTCCGTCACCTTGATGTGTTTGTTTTTGATAATAGTTTGAAAGATTATGGGATACAGTAGTAACTAGTAAGGATTTGCTATGTGAACAGTAAATTTCAGTTAATTGACACATAGATAAAGAACTTGATTGCTAATAGAAGTTGCCAAGGTGAGTGCTTTTGCATTAAAGTAATAACTTTTCGTTTACACTAATATTTTTTAAAATCTTTACCTGTTATCCGACCCATATAAAGTAGCCATTGAATACGATAAGTAACCTGTCGACAAGTACAAAGTTCAAGCTAATTGTTTAGTTTGTAGTCCGGTTAATGTCATCTTAGCGCCAAATTGCAGGGCAATATGTGACCAAAATGTGCTTCTTTTCAGAATTCCCCTGTTGATCACTTTAAACAAGCTTAAATTTTCAAGAAATTGATGATTGCTTCTTCTATATCCTTGTCCCTTAGGACCAAATCATCTTTGTATCCCATGATCTATACGTCTATCAGTAAATTACATTTTTCATAATTGTATTTCTACCTTGGCCTAAAATGTGAACATAAATTGGAACTTAAATGAAATGTTATGGAAGTTGAAGGTTTTGATCGCCAAAAATATAAAAAAAAAAGAAGATGTGATATGATTGCTAATGTGATACATATCTACTAAAGCCAAATGACGTAGTTGTTAGCGACTATAGGTCACAATACGGTATTCAACAATGAGCAAACCCCATTCCGTAGTTCAAACCCACTGCTTTTACCTACCACTTACATTGATAAAAGAGCCTTTATCAAGTCCAAAATATGACAGACAATCACCAATTGCTCCTAAAATGATTTTTAAACAGATTTTTTAGACAGGCGAATACATATGGATAATTTTTGTTTATAAATAAAAAACGGAGATTAGTCCATTTGTTATTCCATATTCTTTTATAATAGTACATAGATGAAATAGTGGATGCCATAAGATCCTGGCAATTAATTATGAATGTACTTTTATTCATCAATAACATGTCTTGGCAATGAACCTCTAAATGTACAATTGATGACTAAACATAAATCATATTATATTTGTTTTTCGTTTATTATTTTGTACATAAATCAGGCCGTTACAGAGGGAAGTTTAGTGACAAAATATTACCTCCCCTGTACACGCTGAAAACTTTATCTTTTCAATGTGTTTCCCGTTTTAGCAAGGACCCTATCAATTATAAATTCAAGAGAAAGCGTTCCGGTAAATAGTAAAAATAGAAATGAATTGAAATAAAAACAAAATTTCAATTTAATGTTATCATTTTCCTCCTTAAATAGCAAACGACGAGTACAGCAGGCCATATGAGCTTGGTGTAAAATTGATTTAAAATGTTGCTATGCGACTGAATTCCTGGAGTACTCTCTAATTTATTTTTCTACTGGCTGTATAACTCTCTTGAACCTGCCAATTATCCGTATATGTATGCAGCTAGATCAGAGAAGTTCAGGGGAAAAATTTCCAAAGGAATCGATTGATATGCAGCAAAGATTAACACCTTTGAAATTAAGTTGCTAAGCAAATTGAATGTGAATAGATGGACAAGACTGCAAATAGATGTACAGCAATTGAGACGACCTTTAAAACAATTTCTAAAAATTGTATAAAAATAATGGTAAAAATCTTTTAACGCTTAAACTATTTTATATAGATATTTATCTTTAAATTTTGAACCTGCACAGACAGACTTTTAAATTGTTATATTCACGAAAAGACAATATTTTTTTATATTTAATGGTCACGTGACAAGAGCAGACCGGTGTATTCGAAAACTTAGATGTGAAAAATATGTATAAATTTTGGAAATTGTAACATGCTAAACACTTTGTGAATCACTCCGAAATTGGTGACCAAAAAGATCTTTAGATTTTGTATGTACATGATTTTTTTCAATTTTTTATCAATATGCAGGAAAGATAAACATTTTTTAGATTTCAGTTTCACAAGCTTCTAATGCAATTATCTCAATAAATACTGAACATAAAATATCGTGTATTTGCATGTATATTTATAATAACACAGTCTTAACAAATAATTTCTTTAAAATCTACGATTGTTGTTCAGGAATAAATTTTGATCAGTATCGTCACCGGCATTGTTTTATTATGGATGTTTTCGACTTTTTCATAAGAAGAGTGAATTTTCTATTGTTCCCAGTCACTAGATTTCCCACAAGTTAGTTTTCTCTTTTGAATTGTTTTACATTTGTCATTTTGGGGCCTTTTATAGCTTGCTATGCGGTATGGGTTTTGCTCATTGATGAAGGCAGTACGGTGACCTATAGTTGTTAAATTCTACGTTATTTCGTCTCTGGTGGAGAGTTGCCTCATTGACAATCATGCCACATCTTCTCATTTTAACACAGAACAAACAGAGAATTATAAATGGGCCGCCTCCATCAAGACAAGAAAAAAGAAAAAAAAAGTGTTTATTTAAAATCAATTCTGGTGTGACCCGTGTACTGAACAATGAAAGAGGGATAGTATAGTCAGCCACAAAAGGCCAAAAGCATGACAAAATGCGAATCAATCCAAAGAAAAGAACAACGGCTTGATTTATGATAAACACAATAAACAAAAATATTAATTATGACAGACAGCAACCATCAATGTTATTTTATACATAATTAACCTCTTTACAGAATAAATAAAATGGCTAGACCTATGTCTGGAAAAGTATGTATTGTTACAGGAGCGACAAGAGGTATCGGTAAAGGTATAGCATTACAGCTAGGACAAGCTGGTGCAACAGTCTACATAACAGGTGAGTGCAATGTATGATGTATTGTGACAGGAGCGACAATAGGTATTGGTAACGGTATAGCATTACAGCTAGGACAAGCTGGTACTACTGTATACATAACAGGTGAGTACAATATATTTTGACAGGAGCAGCGACAAGAGGTATCGATAAAGGTAAAGCATTTCAGCTAAGACAAGCTGGTGCTACTGTATACATGGGAGGTGAGTTCAACATATTGTGACAGGAGCGACAAGAGGTATCGATAAAGGTATAGCATTACAGGTAGGACACGCTGGTGCTACTGTATACATAACAGGTGAGTACAATGTTTTGTGACATCAGCGATAGGAGGTATCGGTAAAGGAATAGCATTACAGCTAGGACAAGCTGGTTCTACAGTACACGTGACAGGTGAGTACAATCTATTGTGACAGGAGCGATAAGATGTGTCGGTTAATGTATAGCATTACAGCTAGGACAAACTGGTGCTACTGTATACTGAGAAGGTGAGTTCAATGTACTGTGACAGGAGCGATAACTGGTGTCGGTTAATGTATAGCATTACAGCTAGGACGAACTGGTGCTACAGTATACATAACAGGTGAGTACAATCTATTGTGACAGGAGCGGTAAGAGGTTTCGGTTAATGTATAGCATTACAGCTATGACAAACTGATGCTACTATATACATAACAGGTTAGTTCAATGTACTGTGACAGGAGCGATATGAGGTATCGCTAAAGGTATATCATTACAGCTTGGTCACGCTGGAGCTATTGTGTATATAACAAGTTCGCATGACGTCTGAATAAAGATGCAACTGTAGATAGATTTGTGTTTATGAAAGCAGTCAAAACATAATTACTTGATGCTCAACATAAAAGAATTAATTTCGCCAATAAAATATTACTATTAAACAAAATAATTATAATTGCCATAAATATTTATGACTTATTTTTCGCTTAGTTTGTCGTTTAAAAAAAAATACAAAGATAACATATTTCACGATATTCAGTTATGATCAGAATTGGCATAGAAAACGTCTTATAGTACTATTCAAAAATATAGCCACAAAACACTGCCACTGTAAAAAGAAATTCTAGAGAAATCGCATGTGACTAAAACATGAAATGTTTTTAAATAACATCCAACACGAGACTCAAACATATAGTCATTTTTTTTAATTTTCAGGGCACATGGTTGTTTTAGAGTGTGTTTTGATTGACTTGATGACTGTTTTTTTATGAATTAGTATTATATTAAAACATTCTCTTTATAAGTGTGTTTTGTATCACTTAATAGGTAGAACACTAACTTCACCAAAAGATGATCCTGTTGGAGGTTCATTAACAGAAACAGCAGAGGAGGTAATTCAAGTTCCAACAAAATATTATGTCAAGCAAATGTTCAATCCTTCAGGTCTATCTACACAATTATCCTTAGAAGTATTTAGCTAGACCCTTAAGACACATTTCGTTGTATAGTTCCTAATAAGTTTATTATCGTTTGTTTTCTTAACTTTGTCTTTGAATCATAATGATAGATAGTAATGAACATCGAATGCATCAAGAATGGTAAACGTTATTTTAATAAGTGCGGACCTTAAATAGAAACTACTGGGAAATTTAATTGAATCAAAGCCTTCTTTCTTTAGAAATACATAATACTGACTTATCTAATCTAAGCATTTTTATTTGTTTCTTTAAAATGAACAAACTTTTAGATTGAGAAGAGAGGAGGAAAATGTATTCCAGTGCAGTGTGATCACACCAAAGACAGTGATATCGAAGAGTTGTTCGGTCGGGTTTCAAAGGAACAAGATGGTTGCCTAGATCTTCTCGTCAACAATGCATACGCTGCTGTCAAGGTAATTTTAACAGATTTAAAAAATAGCTAACTTAGTAACACTGATGTTAGACTGAATATGCTTCTTAGCTGTATTGAAATTCTGCACAGTACTTTGATCTTGTTTTTGTCGTAATTATCGCGTAATTTAAGTAAGGTGTTTTCTTCTGAATAGAAGAAAGTATATTGTGTAATAAGTCATGAAATAAACGCCCTTGATTAAAACGGAATGGATATATTATTGTACTTATTGTCATTGTGTGTTGTCTTCGTCACGTTTTTTACAAAAATATACCTGTTCCAAGTCTAGAACTTAGCCAATGTCGTTCTTTTAGGAATTTGGTGTTGATGATAGATCTTTTGTATTCTCTTTTGCTTTGTGTTCAATATTTAGGGCGTTTAAGAGTTTGACATCATATAAAGGACACTTGTTAAGACAGACGCTGACCTATATATTGTGTTGTATTGTTTGGTTGCGTCTCATTGACATTACCTCACATTCAGTGTTATTGATTGGCAGCTTGTTTTAAAAAGAGAAATTTCAAGAATCTGCGTACAATTATATTGTTAATTTTTTACACATAGGCTATAGCGGAGAATGTAGGAATACCATTTTGGGAACAACCTATCTCAATGTGGGATACCGTCAATAATGTTGGTCTAAGGTAAGTACATAATATTACGTATTCTGCATGTACCTATGGATAGAACTAGATGGTATTGTAATTGAATGGCGCTAAATACAGAAAAATGCTTTGGACGCTCGCAATTTATTTTCATATCCTCATGTATGTTTTCATTAATTTAACTAGAGATTATATGCCCATTTAATAGTAGAAACATTACAACAAAGAATCAAAATGACACATGCGTTGTTAATTTATTAAAAAGTAGCATTTTGTTTTCTCGTTAGTTTCAATTAATGTTTTGAAAACCTTATTTGTAAACATAATTGATTTTAGATACATGACTGAAAATAGACATCTTTTCGTAGGAATAACTATTTATGTTCGGTTCATGCAGCAAAATTGATGACAGTAAGAAAGTCTGGTCTCATCGTCAACATATCATCCATAGGAGGGCTTCGGTATTTGTTTAATGTACCATATGGTGTTGGCAAAGAGGCCGTGAGTAATTGCTGTCTTATTATAATTTGCAGTCTTTTTATTCTTTTGATGTAATCTTGATTCTACAGATTACCCTCATCCATACTAAAAAGGTGAAATTCACTGTTTGAACTAGCGACCTCGGAAAAGTATCATAAACAATAGGAAATTTAGAAAACAAAATTTAAAAACAATGTTGCAATAGTGTTCCACATGTAATTAAGTGCATGCACCATAAATTATAAAGAAGTTAAAGAACGGTAGAATCTGACATGAGCTCGTTGCTTATGGGAGTTCTCATTTCCTTGTTTTAATTTTCATTATTTGAATGTTTTTTGTGATTAATTCTCTAAATTATGTGCTATATTGTTTAATTTGAGGTCTATGTTGTTAATTTTTTGACCGGGGAAAGGGGGTTTCAGCAGTTCAATGATACGTGTATAATAAGGGTTTGAATTCTTGTAGCCAATGTAAAAATTACTTTTCAGATGGATAGAATGGCTGCAGATTGTGCTGTTGAACTTAAGAAAATGAACGTATCGTTTGTCAGTTTATGGCCTGGTCTTGTACGGACAGAACATATGGAAAATATGATTGAGACAGACGTCATAAAAAAATTTGATAAAGCGGTACCCGAAGATGTAAGAACATAATTCGTATAGGTTAATTTATGGCAATAATAGTTTACCCGATGTTCAGCATGAATCTGTGACAAATTGATGATTGCAACCTTCCAACTGTTATTAGTTAATTTGGTTTATGACAGTAAAATCTCTCATGAAAATACGGATACTTCCTATTTCTCAGCAGTCACATACCATCGTATGGTGTTTACATATCTCAGTTAATACGTTACGCTCGGCATGTTCACATTATACGTACGGAATTAGGGTGTGCTCCTTACACAAAAACTGCTCCAACAGAGTTATGAGGAAGAACGACTGAAATTGACACTGCATAAGTTTTACGGTTATTATTACAAATTGGTTGACATTTACGATATGTCGGTTTCTCAACTAACTAATTTATAATAACTAAATTTCGCAGTCCTGAATTTTTAGATGCTAGTATAGTCTAGTCATCTGATCTGTTCTTTAACCGACTGTGTCAAATTCCCGATTGTGACGTTTTGGATGAGTGTGAATTCGCATGGCGGCTGATACACGTATAACAGTAGACGCTGTCTCTGTAGACTCACCTGGTCGCTCTCGTTTTTAAGTTCTTACGATTCCCTCAGTTTTCGTTTGTTATCTTAATTTGTCTTTTTCAAATGATAGATTTTTTCTGTCATAAACCAAATTATCTACAATTGGATGGTTGAAATCATCAATTTGTCATAGATTTATGTTTGAAGTCAATCTGTGCCAATATCGAGGAAAAGATCTACTTTTGGTAGAATCCTTAATGTCAGGTTCACTGGTTTGTATTAGTAAAGGAGAGACTAAGGATACCAAAGGGACATTCAAGCTCACAAGTCGAAAATAAACTGACAACGCCATGGCTTAAATGAAATAGACAAACAAACAACAGTACACGACACACAACATAGAAAACCAAAGACTGAGCAACACGAACCCCACCAAAAAACTGGGGGTGATCTCAGGTGCTCCAGAAGGGTGCGCAGATCCTGCTCCACATGTGGCACCCGTCGTGTTGCTCGTGCTAGTACAAAAAAGGGGACGGGATTGTAGTTACGACAATTGGACCGTAAAATTTACGAAGGGACGATTTCAACTTCGCCACTTGGAACATTTGGTTTAACAGCTTCCTTGTGAGCAGCAACCCTCTATCAAGGAAATCATGATAGGAAATACAAGCCCTGGAATATCGCATCAACTGGGAGATATATACTCCGTATGCAGGTGCTACTGGAATGTTGCTACATAGAAATGAGAAGTTCACAATTGGGAAGCTGAAATCATCTCTTTTGGCATAAAGTTTTGATTTCAACCGACCATCATTGTCAATTTCTGGATGTAATAAAATTGAGAACGGAAATGGGGAATGTGTCAAAGACACAACCCGACCAAAGAGCAGAAAACAGCACAAGGCCACAAATGGGTCTTCAACACAGCGAGAAAATCCCGCACCCGGAGGCGGGCTTCAGCTGGCCCCATATTAAGTCAAGATATGAGGCCGACTTAATTTCATATTATCTGTATCGGCAGGTTTGTTTAGACTATATTTTTCCATGCTTTATTTTGTAGACTTTTACTTATCTTTTCTTCGTTTTTCGTTTTTGGCCATGACGTTGTCAGTTTGTCTTTGACTTGGGATCTTAAGCATCTCTTTTAAGAACTTTGAGCTTGATTTTAATAACGGCAAGCCATCTTAGTCTGATTCGATATTGTTTAGTATTGTTGTACATAAAGTAGTGTTCCTGTTGTTTATTGGTTTTTTTTTCTAGTCTGATTTTTACCGTATTGTTTGTTCTCAAACGGTTGCAGGCAAAAAAAAACTATTTTAGCCCCTTTACTTGTTCATGTGTCTATATCCCTAATCAAGAACCTTGTCTGTGGTTACTTTTGGTTAGAACATAAGGGTTTTTTTTTTTTGTTCTTGCGTGTATTTTATATGTATTAGATCTTTAACAACCTCTGTTAATTTATTTTCAACTTTTCTAAACTCGGACGGTTTAGAGCATGCCACATTGTACAAACACTCGTCTTTTGCTAAAGATCGTTTGTTTATCGATAGATTTTTAATGTGTTTATCGTTGGTTTGCTGTCTAATTAATGTATAGTCCACATCTATTTTATTCATTTTCCAATTATTTTTTTAAAAGGTTTCAATAAAAACCATACATTGATTAGAATCTCTTTTCAGATAGTAGACCAACAAAAAAAATCAGATTAAGTAGAAAAGTAAATAGTGAGCATAAATAACAAATTGAATCATCTCTTTTTAGATGCCAAAAATTGATACGGGTGCCGTGGTCGAAAAAGCAGAGAGCACTGAATTTGCAGGCAAAGCAATTGTGGCCTTAGCAACAGGTATACGATCTTGTTGCTTTATTAAAATTATCACCCGTAGTACTTATAACAGTCAGGATTCTACTTCGTCAAAATTATCTCCCCATTACGCCACCTAATTTTTATAATCGTAAAAATGGAAGCCATTGTAGTGATGACGCGCTGTCAATTTAGCTCTTGAAAACCGATAAATTTATCCACATAGTATCATTACGATCCTTATATGCCAGTTATATTTTAAAAGACAAATGTATCGCTACTAACTACTGAGCATCATTTAATGTACTTTTAGGCATTTGGTCAACTTAAAACTATTGTCTGACCGGTTGTCAGGGGGAATTTTCGAAAGATCAAAAATATTAAAAAAAATTCTAATTAAATATTTCGTGGAAGGGCCGACTAAACATTTTCAGAGGCTGAAGAATAATTACCCTTGATAACAAACACAAAAAAACGGAAGTTTTTTTTTAAGTTATGCATTTTAAGATCCACTTGAAAAGTCTTTCGTCAGTACTTTTGGTAAAAATGTGTTATTCGACGACACCTACTCTATTGTTATGACTCATTAGAAAGGTATCACTTGACCCATATTTCATTTTTTAGTACTGTAAATTTTGAATGTTATTATATCAACCTAGAGCCTAAATATATAAAAATAATAGAATCTGAAGCGAGATGATGTTTCAAATATTTTTCTTTTATACGTTTTCAAGACAGAATAGTCAACTCAAACACGCCTGAACATAAAAAGGTGTACTCGACGTTCTCTTTTCGATGAAATTATTGCCCATTTTGGGGATTTTTTCCCAAAAAACTGTCACCGGGGACATAGATGCAAATTAATGCTTTAAAAAGATCAATCTATTATCTTTCTTTGGAATTTTTTTCGGCGGAATTTATGCTTATGCACAAAAAAGTTCCACATGTATTTGCACCTACCACAATCGACTTTTTTGTGAAAATTAGTCTATAATTTAAAAAGTTTACAAATATCTCGAAGATCCATACTATAATTTAAGTACAAACACATACACAAGACGCATAAAATCCTAAATTAGGCGCATCATTTAACTTTTAAAGCCCATAGAAACAGATGTAAACAATTCAAATTTACCAACTTGGCCTTTTTTGCCTTCTCTAACAAAGAGTTCCATTTCCTTTGTTTAATTTCAACCGGGTTTCCGCCTGTAATACACAATGTACCTTCAACTGTCCACAGGATTCGAAAATTTAAATTCATTATATTATCCTAGTTAATTATCACAACACGTCTACTTTTTAAAAAAAAACTAATGAGCTTATACTAAAACAGAAATTAGAAAAACATTTGAGGCATAAAGAATTTAAATACTAGTGCGTGAAGCCTTGTGGATACATCAGGCACTTCTCTAAAATTGTATCCATGTTTTAACTGTTACTAAATTACTATCATAAATGAAAACAGTATTATGTAGCTTTTGTGTTTCTTTGCAGTTGGGCAACGTCCTGATTGGAAGTGATGTGTCGTCCACATCTTACCATTAGATATAATCTTCGTCAAAAACGAAAGAAATTATAAAATAACACTGGAGCCTATAGTCGACTTGGAGAAATTATTATTGGCTATTATACCTCACAGTATAAGTGAATAAATTTATTGGTTAATAAAAGATCACGTGGTTGAATTAATTCGGAAATTTCGTCCAAATCGACAGGGCCGGTGAATAGCCTCGACAATTGTACCATCCTTTGAATAACCATATTATTCACCGCCGTTGAGGCCAAATTGTACTGTCCAGTGAATAATCCTATTATTCACCGTCGGTGAGGTCAATATTTGTTTGGTTTAATAAAACAGTTACGGCCATATGAGTTGGGAGATATCCAAAATTATCAACCATGCTTAGGGTTATTCCCCCTCGGCCTTAAGCCGTTGGGGAAATGACACTTAGCAGGATTTACTATTTTGGATACCCCCATCCTCAGAGGGCCGTAATTCTATATCATACTATAATCAAAATTAAAATTTTGTTTATTTAAATTCTTTGTGCAAAGAAAATTTAATTTTTCCCCTTGATCTGAATTTTGCAGTTGATTGTCTGAATCAACTTTCCCAGTTAATCCTTATTTTAAGCGTAAAACTTATCTTTTTCTTGATTTGGGGTGTGAATTGATAAATAGTCACAAAAAGTCTTTATTTTTGGAAAGCGTATGGCAGAGTATAATTTAATAAATAATAAAAACTACACAATGAAATAAAAATAGCATAAAAAACAATATCAATAAATCAAATATCATATCATTTTCATTTACATGAGGTAACTTTGTAAAATCAGGAAAAATAATTTCAATAAAATTCTTTGTTCATTTCAGATCCAAATATAATGAAAAAATCTGGCAGAATTTTAACAACTGCAGACCTTGGAAAAGAATATGGATTTAAAGACATTGACGGTAGATACAATATATATGTGCCCCCCTCGGTCATATCGTGATATCATGCTCGGTTTAGCTGTAGAAGGTCTTGTTTTTAATCACCGTCTGTGTAAAACCATTGACTTTTGAATTGAAATTTGCTGTTTCTTCGTTAAGCATACTGGTACCACAATAGGTAAGAGTAATAGAAAATGACACATCTGGACTATTACCCTGACCGTTTGCATGTTAAGCATTTCGACAGAGAGACTTGGTCTGGAACAAAGAAAATTTTCAGTCAATATCACATTTACATGTGGTCATGTAGCATGATCTACTTACCCTTCCGGAGCACCTGAGATCACTCCCGATGTTGGGGCTCGTGTTGCTCTGTTTTTAGTTTTCTAAATTGTGTTTTGTAAACTGTTGTTTGTCGTTTCGTCGCTTTCATGTTTTTTGTCATGGCGTTGTCAGATTGTTTTCGACTTTTGAGTTTCAATGTCCCTTTGGTATTTCCGACTCTCTTCTCAAACTTTTTGTTGTCAAAAATTGCCACTTAAAACAGATATGCATTCATCCTTTTTCAATCAATTTCAGCTTTGCTCTTGAGAATTAATTAAAAAACTTTATTTCCAGTCCGTGCGAAATAAAAATAAATAAAACTAAAAATAGTTAATGGCATCGTCTAATGCAAGCGAAATTTGGAGGGATTTTTTTTTATTTACAGTCTCCTTTTGAATCTAACTAACCTAGGGCATTACATAATTTTGATGTTCCTCCATTCATTAATTTGTCCGTCTTTGTTTCTGCATTTCCACTTAAGCTTGCTACTGAATTTCATTTTGTATCCTGCTCTTATTTTATATCAAAGGGTTTTCTTTAAATTATTGACTTAGTCATATTTTGCCCAAAATATGATCTAACAAAAAGATATAGATATTCAAAATCAATAACTGCACGTAACCCACTAAGTCAGTGAGTGGAATTAATAACGCTTTCAAAGATACTTCAGTATCTATAACGACATTGTGTATATTTTTATTTTGTTTGTATCAGTACGATTTGAGTTTCCCCTAGAATTAAAGAACTTAACTGCAACGCCTAGCTGATGATTGCTTTGCTTACAATGTTAAATTCCGTTTGAGTATTAAAGGAACCGTTTAAAACAGTGATGAATTGGCTGAATTGTTGTAAAAGATGATGTATAAGTAAGTTAGCTTATCCTATATATACCAATTGTTTTCCATATCATTTTAGGAAAAGATCCTCAAAACATCAGACAGGTAAAGTCCATTTTAAAACTGAGTCCAAGTACAAGACGGCTTGCCAGTGTTGTTCCAGGTTTTGTTTACATTCCCAAATGGATGTTGGCTGTAGCAGGAAACAAATTTTAAGTCATTTCATTGTTTATGGATCATTTGTTTTAATATTACAACAACAACTGTCAATATTTTTCTGTAACGTATAAACACTATTCATCCTCTCAACACTGTACTTGTCCAAATAGATATTACAGCTATACAATAATGCATCATTTATAGAAATCAAAATTAAAATGTACATGTAAATATTATCTTTATTAGAACTATCATTTTGTATTCATAATATGCATAAACATGTTTTCAGCAATCAAATTATTTTTTGTCTTCATTACTTTCTGCCGTCTCTGTTTACAAGTATTGAATTTTGTTTTTGTTTATGCATGCTGTTCATTTTTTTAGAATCAAATAAAGAAAGCAAACGTTTATGAATGAATAGATAGCTTTGTCCACTTGTTTATTGAACAAAAAATAAAATTAAACAGAACATATAGTCTGCATACTAGAATCTTTAAACTCAGAAGTGACCTGTCAAAATATTCATTTAACTGCAGTTAAATTAATGTTGATTCCCCCCACTTCCACCAAAAAGAAGGTTTAAAAAATTTAGGGTCACCATTAGTTGATCAATTTATGCGACATAAACATAGTTGTCTACAAAGAAAAGATTTGTTGTTATGTATAAGAGAGGCGAAATATATCAAAGGGATATTCAAACTCATAAATCGAAAATAAACTAACTGACAATGTCATGGCAAATAAAGAAAAACGACAAAGAGACAAACAACCTTTAAAAACACAACATAGAAAACCAAAGACTGAGCAACGAGAACCCCACCAAAAACCGGGGTGATCTCAGATGCTCCGGAAGGAGTAAGCAGATCTTGCTCCACATCATAAACTGTATAATTTCCTGTATTTTTACTTGATTAGTCAAAACCGATGTAAAACCGTAATGAAAAGTGGTGTATATTTTACTTGGAAAAAGTCTAAACAGTCTGAACATTACTTAACTCTGTCTTTGACTAAGTCAGAACTATACTTGAACAAGTCTGAACAGTAAATGAGTGTGTAAGAACTGTCATCGCCAAAGTCTGAAACATACTTGAACAAGTCTATACTTTACCTTACTGTGTATGTTCCCTCCTCGACGAAATCTGAACTATACTTGAAGACGTCTGAATATAGTGCTTGTACTCGATAGATCTCTCGTGCGATATAGCTGATCACTGGATATAACGAATGCTTTTGTTAACGACTGTCGGCGAATATTAGAGTACGGAAAGACATTAATTCAATAGCAGTACATGTCCTGAAGATTTGTATAAAATGAAGGATTTTCTGTTAAAATAAAGTATATGTTCACGAGATTAATAATAAAAATTAGCCATTCAGTTGTATAAAACAAATGTTCAAATGATTGTCTACTATTTGATTTTCTGTGGCGCGCACGGCCTTAAATGTAGAAAAAAATATAATACCATTCTCAAAAACCTCCGTTCCACATTGTTGGCTGCTTAGTCGGTCGGTACGAACACAAAACACTTTGCAAGGGACTTGAAGTTTGTATCTAATGCTAGAAAAAATAAGCGTTTCTGTTATTCGCACAGTAATAATGTATATATATTATAATTGATTATATGAAATAGACAAAAATAAAAATAAGGCTAAAGTAATTGTACCAATCCAAATTTCGATTGTTTGGCTTCAACAAAATATAAATTGACATCCGAGATTTCATTAGTTGAAAACTAAAAAGAAGGATCATATTATTCAAAATTTTAATCTGATATTAAAATTGCTTATCTAAAAATACACACAATCTATTATTAGATGTACTATATATTTATGAATTTCTATTTGTACACATAACACAGGTAACACACATGATATCTCTGGTGAATATTTGGGAAGTTTAATTAGTGTTTCTTATATAAAGCATATGCCAAATGACAATTCTGCATCCAGTTTATACTGATATGAAATCATAAATGCATGTAATGGTAAGAAATTATGTCGTTACGTAACCTAGGGATGTTGTTGTTGTTGATATAAAAATACATAGAAACTCATTGTAAGCCTGTATGGTAGGACTAATACATATAAGCTCATTGTAAGCCTGTATGGTAGGACTAATACATATAAACTCATTGTAAGCCCGTATGGTAGGACTAATACATATAAACTCATTGTAAGCCTATATGCTAGCTATAGGACTAATGCATATAAACTCATAAGCCTGTATGGTAGGACTAATACATATATTAAACTCATTGTAAGCCTGTATGGTAGGACTAATACATATAAACTCGTTGTAAGCCTGTATGGTAGGACTAATACATATTAACTCATTGTAAGCCTGTATGGTAGGTCTAATACATATAAACTCATTGTAAGCCTGTATGGTAGGACTAATACATATAAACTCATTGTAAGCCTGTATGGTAGGACTAATACATATAAACTCATTGTAAGCCTGTATGGTAGGACTAATACATATAAACTCATTGTAAGCCTGTATGGTAGGACTAATACATATTAACTCGTTGTAAGCCTGTATGGTAGGACTAATACATATTAACTCGTTGTAAGCCTGTATGGTAGGACTAATACATATAAACTCGTTGTAAGCCTGTATGGTAGGACTAATACATATAAACTCGTAGTAAGCCTGTATGGTAGGACTAATACATATAAACTCATTGTAAGCCTGTATGCTAGGACTAATACATAAGTGTAATTATCCCATCAGTAAATGATGGTACCAAAAAAAATCTGTAAGAGCACTTAAACTTTAATTTATTTCACACTGTTCTTTTCGAATCAAGGCGATAATACACTATATCTTTCGGAATGATATATTAATTAGTTTCCCTCTCCGCATCTAATTATTTTCATCCACTATTTGCATTAACGTCAAACCTTAGGCAACAACTGTAATGAAACCCTCCCGATGCAGCTTGATTTGTTTACCTTTAATGAAGATTTTCTAAGGACATTTCCTTACTAGCTCAAGATCGTTGGAATGAAAAAGAGGATGAAAATAAGTTGATTCTTCCAATGGGCCATGTCAGACCTTTTTGAAGATATCTAGTGTTTGGTGTATTATTATTTGAGTAGTTAAAAATAAAAAAAAAAAATAAAAAGTAGTTAAAAATCACATAAGAGTTACTCTGTGTGACATACAGACTACTTTTTACACTTGAACTTCCAAAATTTAAAAAAAAAAACTTTCAAACTTATGAAAAGATTTTTGATATATAATACACCCTGGTATTGTACTAAATATTACACAGATTTAAACGATACATGAAAGCTTTTTGGAACTTTAGCTTCCACTATGTTGTATATCTACTTGAAGATAAGGACTGACCAAAATATAAAATCTTTTATTCCAGATAGAAAGTTTTTGAAAACATTGGTTACCTTGAAACTTTGATACGCCTGTACAAATAAATCAAAATGTCTAAGCCTTTGTCTGGAAAAGTATGTATCGTAACTGGAGCAACTAGAGGTATTGGTAAGGGGATAGCTCTACAACTGGGTGAGGCTGGAGCTACAGTATATATAACTGGTAGGTTTACATCTAAAATAACACGGGTAACAAACAGTACTAAACTAAATATGTTTAAAAGAAATATATATTTCGTTAGCAAAGTCTGAAAATGTGCGGTATCATTTTTTTTGGTTCTTCCCTCAGTGGGATTCGAACCCCTTCATCTGAGATATCGTGACAACACCACCTGCACTGTGTCCTGCGCCCTAGACCACGCAACCAACTAGGCTACATAAAAGTATAGCTTTCGTTAGCGTTAGTATTAGGTTTTGTATTTTCAAATATTTCGGCCTCGATCATCACTGAAGAGACATTGATTGTCAAAATGCGATTCTGAGCCAGTAAATTGGTATTTTTAATGTTATTCATAAAACGAATGCCCAGTGTAGATCCATATCTATCAAATTGTATAAGCTATATACGTTAAAATCGTTTTTTGTCTTTCGTAAACTACTTCGATACCGTTATCGATATACCACAAACTCATCACAAGTCTATTAATCCAAGACAGGAATGTAGCTTCTTGATGATAATGATAAATGATGAGAAATATAGGGGGTCGTTATCATAAGTTAAGCGCGATTGAGAAAAAGGTACAACCAATGTCATTGTAACCTGGCGTGTCATTTTTGCAGGAAGGACACTTACCTCACCTAAAGATGATCCTGTTGGTGGCTCCCTAACAGAAACAGCTAAAGAAGTAAGTGCATTGTATTCAATATATAAATCCAATTTAAAAAATATTTAAGAATTATTGTTCTTAGTGGAAAAAGTAGTACTATAAATTTATATGGAACGTTTTGTCAAGCGTAAGGGTATTTCTATAGCCTAAGTTTATACGACTGGTACTCTTTGTTTGTAGATTGAGACTCGAGGTGGTAAATGTATTCCAGTACAGTGTGATCATTCTAAAGACAGCGATGTTGAGGAATTGTTTAGTCGTGTTGCAAAGGAACAAGATGGACGCCTTGATGTTCTTGTTAATAACGCATATTCGGCTGTCAAGGTAATGTATAGTCATGTAGTTTATACTATAATAAACAGAATGAACATCAGGATTAGGATTATGATACTGAACTCGATGTAAACTATACAAGAAATACAAAGACTAAACAAATACTCATTTGTTGTTTCAACATTTTATTGAAAGATTTGTTAAGTTGCTTTTCGTTAAAATTTGTTGTGGATCTTGAACAGATTACTAACACTTTTAACTCTTGATCATTCAAATGTACTGAAAATTCCCTGTTGACTCAATCACAATAACAGTTTTTTTTACAGTTAACATTTCTTAAATTATTATAACCCAAGTCAACAGGTAGCGCATGTCCTAATCATTGTGCTTCACGAAGAAAACCCAAAATGTTGCGTTGGTGGAGACGATTTTATCAATTGCATTAATTATTGATCGCTGTTTAGTCACTTTTCAATTTAATTTAAGCTGGTGTATCATATCTGTGACTCGTAAATTGCTTACATCCACTTCATTTGAACTTTGGTGGATAGTTGTCTCATTGGCAATCATACCACATCTCCTTATGTTTATATTGTATTGGGTCCAATTTATGTCTCGCTATTTTTGTGTGCAACGTTTATTTTTCTTCAGACTTTGATGCAGTTTTTTTAATTTCATTTTCTTTCACTACAAAAATTGCTTGAATTGGTAAAAAGACGCAGCCCTCACTAATTTATTATTTGTAAGATTATGGAAATGTAAGAGGCACAATGGGAATCAATAAAAAAGTTCAATGGTGATGCATTTTTTTTTAGTTTAGTTCTAACATATTTTATTTGCTGAAAACGTAGCAAACATGATTAGACACCAGCTTATGTCGTCTTCTCCTTAGATACAATTTCAACCAATAAATTGTAGTAGAATGCAAATACTTGAGTACATTTTTACATACTCTATACAGACACCTGTATTCGAGACATATTGACAAGTGCAAGTCCGGGTTTTAAATTCTTTATGAATATTGCATTGGTTTTGTTAATCAGGTTTCTGATTAAAGACCAAATTGTAAAGAAAAAAAAAAACTTTTCACATGATCATGATTCATAGAATTCTATTTTGCAATCAATTTGGATAGGATAGAGGTACTGTACCTCTTGGTGAAAACGTTTAGTATTGTGACTGTATGACGAAAAATCGTGCATAGCTCATAAAATTTCAAAGGCATAATCCCAACACCTCTAAAAAAAAGAATTATAAAGTACATAAAATTAAATTATTGTGCCCAGCCTGTCGCTGTGTCCCAAAAAAAATGTTTAAACAGTTGCCTTTGATGAACACGTTTTAGTGGAAATTAAAAAACGTTTAATGTTTTATTTTACATAGGCTTTATCTGATAACTTTAACAAACCGTTTTGGGAACAGCCTATAACAATGTGGGATACTGTTAATAATGTAGGACTAAGGTATGTATTGTAATATTGTAATATAATAAGTCTTAAACACGTTGTACATCATGAGGTATAATAAGTCTTAAACACGTTGTACAGCATGAGGTATAATAAGTCTTAAACACGTTGTACAGCATGAGGTATGATAAGTCTTAAACACGTTGTACAGCCTGCATGAGGTATGATAAGTCTTAAACACGTTGTACATCATGAGGTATGATAAGTCTTAAACACGTTGTACATCATGAGGTATAATAAGTCTTAAACACGTTGTACATCATGAGATATAATAAGTCTTAAACATGTTGTATATCATGAGGTATAATAAGTCTTAAACACGTTGTACATCATGAGGTATAATAAGTCTTAAACACGTTGTACATCATGAGGTATAATAAGTCTTAATCACGTTAATATGTACATCATGAGATATAATAAGTCTTAAACACGTTGTACATCATGAGGTATAATAAGTGCTGTGTTGAGAAGTGAATTGAAGGAGCGTTTTGGGGAAAATCTGCAATTGTTAATTCCATGCAGAAAGACCAATATATTACTACATGTATTACCTAATATAACATGCAAATCACCAGGTTATGTTTACTTCTTTAACCATACGCAGCATTACAGAGGAAAAGTGCTATTTTTGGGGATTTTTTTAAGAGATGAACCTATATTTAAATATAATTTAGAATTATGCATTTAAGTAATGCCTTATTCAAAAGAGATAGGAGGACAGACAGTTTATACGAATTAATGACTATTAATTGCAGGAATCATTACATATGTTCTGTACATGCAGCAAGGTTAATGACTGCATGGAAATCAGGTCTAATTGTCAACATATCATCTGCTGCTGGACTTAAATACACGTTTAATGTACCTTATGGCATTGGAAAAGAAGCTGTAAGTATTTTAAATGTTTTTTTAAATATTAAGTTTTGTTTCTCCTTTTCTTTTCCGGACATTGATATAAAAAACTTAATAGTTGGAAGAAATGTTTTCGTTCTGTGTAGATAGACCAATTAAGAAGCCACTTTCTTAGTCATCTATATTTTTATGCAATTTCTTGTCTGTTTTTCGTAGTAGCTTGTCTGTTTGTCATAGTAAAGCAAAAAGCAAACTAAAGAGTATTGGATAAACCATTACAATCTTTGAATAAATAACTATATTTATATTGGTTTAAATGATGTTGGAAAACACGAGGAAGGTGTCTCATCGGTGTCATGAATATAAAAAATAAAAAAATGCTACATGTGTACGGGAGTCGATTGAAAAGTGAAAGCAGGAGGCAAACTTCTTAAAGTTACAAGCATGTAGAAAAAAAGCTTTTCTATAGTGTAATAGCCTAGAGATTAGTCAGCCCTATTTCATTTTATTTGTTTTTCTTTCAAACTTTTATTGGCCAAAAATATGAGCAGGGGATGGGAGGGAGCATAAACAGTTTTGCTCCTGAATTTTGAAAGTAGGGAAGCAATGCCCCATGCTTCCCATATATTTCTATATGTGAATATTATGAAGAAGAAAAAACATGTTTTAAGATCTTATAAGAATCAACATTTCTGTCTCATGGCTGAAATACATTTCTACTTTTTTGCTACATGTAAATCTGTTTTACTTTTTTGCTACATGCATTATGCTATATGCCTCGCATATATGCTTACAATAGTCCTTTCTGCTTATTTTGTGAATTGACTATAACCTCCAAGTTTTGTTTTAAAACAGTATGTATGTGCTTATGTGACATTTTAAAGTGCTTTTGATACATATGCATCTTCATTTCAATTTGATGCTTATGTGTCCTTATTTTATTTGATAATTATGTGTTCTTATTTTATTTGATAATTATGTGTTCTTATTTTATTTGATAATTATGTGTTCTTATTTTTGTCTCACCTTGACGGAGTCAAAAAGCGAGACATAGGAATGCTGTTTCCGGCGGCGGCGGCGGCGGCGGCGGCGGCGGCGGCGTCAACAATGTATTAGTTTGTGATTAGGTCTAGTTCATGGTGAACCACTAGTGGTAGGTCAATGATATTTGATATGCAGTTGTATTAGCATTGGCACATCTCATTACCATGGAGATTATTTGGCCCCACCCCCTCAGTCAAGGTCTATTGACTTTGAAACTTTTCATAGTTTACATGTATCAGTTTGTGATAAGGTCAATTTATGGGGAACCACTAGTGGTAGGTCAATGATATTTGGTATGCAGTTGTATAAGCATTGGCATATCTCATTTCCATGGAGATTATTTGGCTCCGCCCCCTTAGTCATGGTCTATAGACTTTGAAAATTTTGCTAAGTTAACATGTATTAGTTTGTGATTAGGTCAGTTCAAGGGGAACCATTAGTGGTAGGCCAATGTTAATTGGTGTTCAGTTGTATAAGCATTAGCACATCTCATTTCCATGGAGAATATTTGGCCCTGCCCCCTCAGTCATGGTCTATTTACTTTGAAACTTTTGCTTAGTTTACATGTATTAGTTTGTGATTAGATCAGTTTAAGATGAACTGCTAATGTTAAGTCAATGATATTTGGTGTGCAAATTTATTGGCATTTGCAAGTATCGTTTCCATGGAGATTATATAGCCCCACCCCTGATCATGGTTCATTGACTTTGAAACTTGTACATAGTTTACAAGTTAATGTTTGTGTTTAGGTTTGTTTAAAGGGAACGACTTATAATAAGTCAATGGTATTTGGTATGCAGTTGTATTAGCATTGGCACATCTCATTCCATGGAGATTATATAGCCCCACCCCTGATCATGGTTCATTGACTTTGAAACTTGTACATAGTTTACAAGTTAATGTTTGTGTTTAGGTTTGTTTAAAGGGAACGACTTATAATAAGTCAATGGTATTTGGTATGCAGTTGTATTAGCATTGGCACATCTCATTCCATGGAGATTGTTTAGCCATGTACCTTCAGTCATGGTTCATCGACTTTGAATATTTGCATAACTTACATGTTAAAGTATTGCTATTTTAATTTCAACATTTGCATTATCAAAATTACAAAAAGGCGAGACATATCTCTGTGATAACAGTTTATATTTGATAATTATGTGTTCTTATTTTATGCTTATGTGTGTTTGTCTAAGCTGAATCTGTGTTTATTGTGATGTTTTGTATATTTGTTGTAGTCCTAATTAAGCTCATGTTTATTGGGGCTCCAACATGGTCAAATGTCACTTGCAACCATATGAGTTTGGTGGAGACCTTACAACCATAGGAGTTTGGCAGAGACCTGACAATCTGACTTTAAAAGGATGTGTGATCTATATATTTCAAGTGGTTTAAGAACAAATGGGTTGCTGATGTCTGTTTTAATTTGCTTAAAAGTGACGTGGTGATCAGAGACAATTTTTTAACATGACCTTGTGACGTTTGGGGGTACTCTACTAGAGTCCCTTTATTGTTAATTGTATATATGTGCCGACACTTACTATAAACTATGTGGTTTCAGAATGATAGAATGGCAGCAGACTGTGCTGTAGAATTGCGGAAGATGGATGTTGCTTTCGTCAGTTTGTGGCCTGGTTTAGTACGAACAGAACAGGTTTTACATTTACTGACAACCAAGGGAGATGAAACTATATCAACATCAGAAGAAGCAAGTTCTAAGTATATGTTTATTGTTTAAAGCTTGAGTAACTTCTACGAAAAAAACATTATCTACAGTATTATGGTTTATCATTTCCTTTCAGAAAGTATAAATTGTAGATCATAATTACAGTTTAGAAAACTTTTTTTAATTTTTTCTGTTGCTTTTCAAGAATTTTGATAAATTATATATTTTTGTAAGAATACAGTAGATATGAGGTATTCATCAATGAAACAGCAACTGTTACACACAGAATAACAAAACACCTCTGAAGGTCAATATACAGTCATCTACTACAGACAAGTGTTTACCATATGTAAAACTCTTAATCCATTCTAGTCTATGTAAAGAATTCTTTTATACATTTTCTGAAAATGCTTATAATGTTTACATTATATTTCTTGTCTCAGGAAGAAAATCAGGGTATATTTTTGTTAACAGATGTTTGTAATGGGAATGTGCAAGCAATGCCATGACAACATACAGGAACTTTTGTTGATATTTACTGTTATAGACAGTCAGCAATGTACCCGGTAGCTGAAATTTTATGTTTTAGTTTATTGAAAAATATATGAAATTATTCTTAAAAAATAAATTTTGTGTAACATTGCAAACTAATATTAACTTTCTATTGCAGACAATGAAGCTAGATCCTTCTATGTTTGAAAATGCAGAAACAACTGAATATTCAGGAAAAGCAATTGTTGCCCTGGCAACAGGTATTTCATTCAAGCAAACTCTTATTTACTGGTTCACATGGTAAAAACATTCATTCTAAATCCTTCTAAAAAACATCAATATTTCTTCTAAAAAACATCAATATTTCTTCTAAACACATCAATATTTCTTTAATATTTGATTCTGTCTACTGTTCTTTAAAATTTCCAATAAACTTCCTCATCTGATGCTCATTAAAATAATGTTTAACCTTAATTCTTATGTGTTTTAGATTCAAATATTATGAAAAAGTCTGGTCGAGTTTTCTTCACCGCAGACCTTGGCTATGAATATGGATTTAAAGACATTAATGGTATATTAATTATAATATTCAAAATAAATATGCAGGTGTTTAAGGTGCATGACTCAGTGGTTATTCGGGAATATACAGAACAAATTAAATGTTTAGATATCAGAAATATGAATAAAAGAGATGTCATGGAACAAGTCAGAGAGACAGAAAAACAAATATTTCTATAATTCATCATGAAAGTCATCATGTAGTCTTCAACAATAGACAGGTGTCTAAACAATATGTCATGCTCTAAATTGCCACGAGTTGAAAAAAAGTTGCGAATAAATTTAAGAAAGAACTACCATCTTTAAGATTTTAAGTAGAGAGGCTTACTCTAGATACAATCTTGTTATTCAAAGCTAGTTTGACTGATAAATGTTTAATCATCAGCATTGATATGTACCTACAGAATTCAGAAATTTTGAGGTCATGCATATATTGTTCTAAGTAACTTACTATACAGTAGATTTTCACCTATTATTTGGTCTTGCTTTCACATAAATAATATGAGAATTGAATACTGAAAACTTCATTATTTTTACCAAGGATTACTTTACATCATATAGACCACTTGTTTTCCTGGATACATATTTGTGTGTTCAGTCCATTCTTGCAAATTGTTTTTGTGATTTACTTAGTTGATGGCTTCAAATAAGAGAAGATATAAGTTTGATATATTCAAATTGTTTTTCTATTTGTGAAAGTTGGCTAAATAAATTGCTTGCTTAAATTAGTTGGTTAACAGTATATAGATAAATCAACTTTAACAAATTTTACATTAATTGAATTATCAATGAAACAGATCTGTAGGTAGGTAGAAAGGCAACAGAATTTTAAACATCATTTTTGTTGTTGAATTATGATATAACTTTTAAAATTTTGCATCAATACATATCCTTAAAAAAATCTCTTTAAATTGTAGGTAAAGTACCTGTAAATCCTAGACAGTTGAACAATGCTCTACAGTTTTTTCCAAAGACAAAATGGATGGCTAAATTTGTTCCAAATTTTGTATATATTCCTAAATGGGTGATGGCTGCAGCTGGTAATAAGTTTTGATGACCAGCCAAACTCAATTGCTACCTAGTCCTATTTATAGAATATATAAATGTACAGGATTTTTACAAATGTTGTATTTTTCTATTTCATTTATTACTTACTTTCTCTTGTTTATTAAAACAATAAACAAATATAAATGTTTCCTTTTATTTTGCAACATACCAATTCAATGACCAAGAGTCTGGAAACAGTCATATTTACCACCTATGACTGATTTAAAACACAAATGATTGACCTGAAATGCCTAATTTCAGTCAGCAGTTATTTGTTTTAAAGGATTTAGTAAAGCCATACTCATCATTTTCATCTGGAAACCACAAAATAACAATTTTAATATATTAAATGGGCTTAACTCTTGCAACTGTAAAATAAAAAAAATGAAATAATTGAATTTGTATTTTATGGATTATGCCATTGTATATATATAAAGAGATTTGATCAAGCAGTATTTATTTTAAACAAGAGTGCACATGCTGAAATGTCTCTCCTGTTTTACTTATCATTGAATTTATGTTGAAAGTCTGTAACATGACGGTTTTTTGTTGCACTTCTGTGTTCTGTTATTTCGTTGTTTTCCTCTTACAGTTGATGTGTTTCCCTCAGTTTTAGTTTGTAACCTGGATTTGTTTTTTTCTCAATCGATTTATGACTTTTGAACAGCGGTGTACTACTGTTGCCTTTATTTACTACAAGTATCACATAAACTTAACACCATACATAGTTGACCTGTTGCTAACAGCATCTGATAAACTGACAAAATTTAGAAAACTTATCATTGACCAATGAACCATGAAATTGAGGTCAAGGTCAGATAAAAACCTGCCATACAGACATGTACATTTAACATTTATTCCATGCACCAAATATAGCTGACATATTGCTTATACATGTAGTACTTGAAAAACAGACCAAAACACAAAAACTTAAAGAGACCAATGAACCATGAAAATGAGGTCAAGGTTAGATGAAACCTGCCAGACTGACATGTAATCATTACAATAATTCCATATACCACATTTAGTTGTCCTACTGCTTATAGTGTCTGAGAAACGGACCTAATCACATAACTTTTAACCTTGATCACTGATCCATTACATGAGGTTGAGGTCAGGTGAACCCTGTCTGACGGACATGTAGGTGTTGCAAGGAACCCATATACCAAATATAGTTATCATATTACTCATAATAAGTGAGAAAAACATATGACCAAAAAAATGTTATTTTTTTTCAAGCAGTCGCTGAACCATGAAAATGAGGTCAAGGACAATGGACAGACTGAAACTTCGTAACATAAGGTATCTGCATATAAGGTATGAAGCATCCAGGTCTTCTAGCTTCTGAAATATGAAGCTTTATACAAATAGTTTATGCCACCAGATAGTAATACACATGTCTGCTGCTACTTTTGTCACAGGCAAGACAATGAATTGAGTGAGATGGACAGACAGACGGACAGACATATGCATCACAATATATTCCCACTGTATTTAGGCGGGGAATAAAAAATGCCTGGAAAACAACAAACTTGTTATTCCTCTCTTAGATACTAGTATACAACATAAAAGTACTTATGGTCTTTAAAGAACTTCAACAATGGATAAGATTTTTGTTCTTGAGTCTGTTTTCCCATAGAAACAACTTACATCCTTATTAAAATGTCTCATGATTTGGTATCTTGTCTTGATTTAATTTGAGCCAAATAAACATGTATTTTTGTGGATATCAAGACCTCACAAGTAAGGTAAAATAAAAGATATCTATAATATCTACAAAACATAATATGAAACAGGCTGCAGTAAACATTCAGAACTACAACAAAAATTCCTACTACTTATACACAAAATCTTGACACTGATCTATGTGTTGTCCTTAAGGAAAGCGCTATTATTAGGTATTTTTTTGTCATATAGCTCTTCAACTGTTTCAGTTCTTGTACATCCTCTGCTTTCAAATATTCAGCTTTGGGCGTTCCTGATGACGGTAAATCCGTTAAAGCGCTTCAGACACATGAAATTATTTAACTTGTTATTTTCATTTTCTATTAGTGATCATCAAAACATTTATTTCATTCAGTTATCCAACAAAGGATAAAAACTCCACTTGTGAAATCCTTCCATAATAATTGATAGCCAAAGCAAATATTTCTGGTTTGCAAACCTGTCAGATGGACTTAAAAAACAAAGGAAAATAAAATTAGATGTTTTCTTTTAATAGTCAGATATACACATAATTTATTATATACATCACAAGTACACATGTAAAAATAAGTTATCACAGCTCTCTCTCTAAAGACAGTCAATTCTTAAAATATAAAATTGGTACAAAGTTCATGATTTGACATCATATTTCAATAAGGTTGTTATCTATTTGGATGGAATGGCTACTATCTTTGAAACAGTAATTTATGAAGGGGCCGACACTAGTCCAGCAGGTCCTTGTCCCAAAGCTTGTCCTCCAACGGTACTCTCTAATGGTTTGAATCCTAATTCTTCTGTTGGTATACCAAACTGTGTTAACTTGGCCTCATACGTTCTTAACAAATCATTGTGTGCCTGTAAGAGAGGGAAAAAACATCAAAATCTGTACTTGTAAATAAAATAAACTGTGTCTGGAATCTGGACAATGGAATATTTTAAATTATCCTAAAGCTTCATTATATTCATTCTAGAACACAACCAAAACTCAAATGTCTTAATGAAGTAGCTTTAAAAATTTTAATATACAAAGGTATCCTAAATTTATTTATGTGTTTCACTGAGTCCTTTTTTCACACAACTATAATTTTACCAACTGTATAAACATGATAAAGTTAAAAACATTAGACGTCACTTATTATTCTAAAATCAGTAGGTAAACAGTTGAGAAAAATTGCATTTGTCTGAGTAAAAGTTTATAACCACTGTCCCAGGTTAGGGGAGGGTTTGGCTCCAGCAAACATGTTTAACCCTGCCACATTCTGTATGTGCCTATCATAAGTCATGAGCCTATAATTCAGTGATTGCAGTTTATTACTGTATATCAAATTTGTTTTTCATTTATTGTTTTGTACATAAATCAGGCCATTAGTTTTCTCGTTTGAATTGTTTTACATCTGTCATTTCCGTGCATTTAATAGCTTACTATGCGGTATGGGTTTTGCTCATTAATGAAGGTCCAATTGTGACCTATAGTTGCTAACCTTCCTCATCATTTGGTCTCTGGTGGAGAGTTGTCTCATTGGCAATCATACCACATCTTCCTATTTTTAAATTTACAAAATAAACATTTCTTCTTGTTCTTTAATTTAAAATAAGTGACAAAATATAGTTACCTTACAAACTCTAGCTAACTCATATTGCAGGTCTTTAATAGCACTGTTCTTGGAGTCCAATACATCCTAAAGAAGAATAAAAATTCTTGTTTAATATAGGGAGGACAAAAATCAAACTGTGCAATAACAGAACCAAGGAAAAAAACTTTATGCACAACTTCAATAAATATATTCCATTTACATGTTATCAACAAAAGGCAACAGACTGTGATTGTAGTGAATCAAAGACCATATTCTAGATTGAAAATACAAAACTGTATACAAAAAGAGATTTATCTTGCCTGCTTTGTAGCATATTAAAAATAATTATATGGACTGCCAATTCATTGCAAGATTCATACTCTTCCATGACTGGCCTGATGCAACAGCAGACCAAATTAAAAAAATTCAGTAAACCCACCTATTCAGAAAACTTAGCCACTGGAGCATGACTTAAAACTCAAATTCAGCTTGGCATCGAATAAAACTGCACATCAAATATGAAAGGTTAAATATTTTGAAAAGAACCTCAAAAGTAATCCCTTTTTCTCGCTTTCCAGAAAAATTAGGAATAAGTATTTCAAAATGTTTTATCAATATGTTTTCCTATATGCCATGTCAATACTAGTTTTGAAAACTTGTTTTGTTTGTTGCTTTATGTTATCTTTTTAATATCAATATTTTTTTATGTTCTCAATCTTTTTTATCCCACAAAATGTCCATTATAATATTTCATGGAATTTTTTTATTTATTTTATTAACAAAACGAGTCACGTCAGATTAACACTTACCTCTAATTTTCTTGTGACAACTGTGAGTGCAGTTGGGTCAAGATTTGATGCTGATAAGACTTCATTCAACTGGGCTTCCTTCTTTTCAAGAGTGTCAGCCAGTGCTCCCAGTTTCTTCTCCAGTAAGAAGTTCTTGAAGTTGCTTTTTTGTTGAACTTCATGAATAGCTTTAACAAATTTCTTGTACAAATCATCTCTCTCCATTTGTGTCTGAAAAAATTCCAAAGATAAAAATATAGACTACTATTCAGAATAAAAACAGTTATAACTTTTTTCAATGTTGTAATGGAGTGTTTTGATATGCAAACAAGCAAACCAGTAAGAATGTCTCATTTGAAGTATACACATACCTTCGTACATGCTGATGTTAACAATACAATGACTGACAACATGTCAATGTTAATTATTGCAGCCTTTGTAATTATTGAGTGTTCCAGTAATTGATTTAAAATTATGTTGATCATGAATTTGTGTTCATTGTCCAATGGCAAATATTACATGCATTTTTAACTGAGAAATTTCAATGTGATATGAATATGACCCCTGCCTTGTACTAGAACAAAACTCTGAGCAGGATTTTTAATGTGCTAGTTCAAAAGGTAACAGTCCACAGAGAGACATGCTAAGCAGAGAAGCAGCTAATAATAATAGAAAAACAAAGGATACAGGATACTAATTTTTCAAGTCCTTTGTTAGAACTGGCCAGGGATTCATATCCATAACCTCTAGCCCTTAAGGCTTGAATGTTACTAGATTACCAAGGTGATATTTGATTTCAAAATTTACTCTGAGAGTCACTTAGTCTTTTTCATAATAATATGTTATTGTAATACTTTACAAAATTATTAAAATTGAAGTCTAATGGAATATTTGAGGTTTATCCATTTTAATTGGTAACAATAAATTAAAAAACTAAATTATCAAAGCTGTCTGAATACCTTTTCAAATCTTTGTTCAAGAACCTCATGTTCCCATTTCAATGCTCTAAATTCATCCTCTGTGACCTTCAACCTTGCTTTAGTCATCTGAAATAGTTCAAAAAGTAAAATCATGACACCTGAACCACATGTCATCAATTTTTTCTCAAGTCACTTATATCATATCATTTTTCATGTGTTAAATAATATTTTACAAAAGACAAATAATGATAACATACTCATTTTATGCCATTAAAATTTAAAAAAAAATACAATCTCATTCTCTTTTTTCAAAACTTTATACAATGTTGGTAACATAGTCATACTGTGATGATGATTGATTGTTGTTTATTTAACATTTAGTGACAAATGTCTCTTATGAAAATGAACATTGGCACTCATACCACATCTTCTTATATCTATGTGATTGAAATATCCCAGTATTCTGAAATTATTGAGTGCCCCAGTACTTACTCTGAGTGTTTCTTTGTCTTTTTCATAATTAGCAAGTTGTTTCTGTAATACTGCTAGTTCTTCTTTCACTCTCTCTAATGGTTCTTTCATTCTTCTATTTTCATTCTGTATCTCATTCATCTGTTTTTCCATTCTTTCTTTTTCTTTTCTCATTTCCTCTACTTGTTCCTATAATATAAAAGAAAAACATTGTGTTAGCCACATTATTACGACTTCAATATTTTATCACTGATCTCTATCTTAGTCTTTTTGTAATATATATAGTACTATGAATTTTGATTTAATGGAAAATATGTATTTTGCTGGGTACTATATTTCCTGTTAGGATAATACCATGAAATCCACAAAAACGGTACCCTATGAACAATAATACTGTCATTGCATGGTCTACATGTAAGTTCATGTTATTCCGAAAAAGTTTTGAGATGATTTTTAACAATTTAAAAGAGAGTATATACAAAACGTCTTTCCTTGATATTTTGCTGTTGTTGGGTTTGTGTCTCATTGACATATACCAAAATACAACTCCTTTCATTGACACTTAACAACATACTATTTTCATTTACAACATTGTTTTATGAATAATCATGATAAAAAATATAGCTAATTCATAGGTCATATGCACTTTTGATTATTTTCTATTTATTTATTACCATGTAAATTCACATAGCAATCAGTACCAATTTGGATTATTGAAAGATGGCAGTTATTTTAAATATCAATTAATACTATCATAAACTCCAAAAAACTATTAAGTAAACATATATTTAAGAACAACCTAATCTAACACTTACCTTTAATGTATTGATAAGTGCCAGATTATTGATTGTAATATCATTGTAATAGTTCTTAATTTCACTGAAAGCTTTTTCATGATTTCTCATCAAATCATGAATCTGTCCATTTTTCCTTTCTTCTATTTCGTGTATTTCTGTCTTTCTCCTTAAATCCAGTTCATCTCTCAATGCTCTCATCTTCTTTTCATACTTTGATTCAATTTCATGAGCCTGTCTCTCAAAGTCTGCTCGTAACCTTGATATTTCTTCATCATTTGTCTAAAAATAAATATAAAAAAGTTGTTTGATCAATAAATTGGGGTACAAATTAAGATTTTTTTTAATACTCATGTATGGTCTAAAAAGACAAAGGGGGAGGTTTGAGCACATGTTAAAATTGGTTAAATCACACCTTATTTGGGCCTGTACTAAGTCAAGACTATTTGGACCATGTGTTGTTTTTTGTTGTTTGTTTTTCTAGGTTTTTTTTGTTTGTTGGTGATTAAAGTAATCTGTTGTACTTTGCAGTATTTTTGGCCATTGCTGTTTTCACTTTTTATGATCTTTTATGTTTAATATAGTTTTAAATGCCTACCCTTATCCTTTAAACTAACTTAACTATACTGATCATCTAACAAAATTTCCAACACAGTAATAATCTATTTTCAAAGAAAATCCGGAAATATTTTAATGGAAATGTTTTGTAAAGGGCTTATATGATGTGTATTCAGAGATTGATCTGACCTCTGACAGCCCTTTTTAGGCAATTCTTCTCAGTTGCAATATAACTAATTCTTACCTAACTTATATTACATAAGGATTGTGTATTTTACTATTTTTCCTTTTATTCTTATGAGTACTGGTATCCCCTTTAAACCACATGTTTTAATTGTGCTTGATATTCTTACCTTTTTCAAATTTTTAATGTATGTTTCATGAGAAAGTTCCTCTTCTTTGATTTGTGTGGTAAGGGCTCGTTTATCTTTCTTCAGGTTCTTCTCACTTTTCGATTGATCATTTTGTGCCAATTTAAGGGCGGATACATTTTGTGACTTTATTGTTGTTATATTCTTCTGGTGTTCATACAGTAAATGCTTCACTTTTTGTTTGTAAACCTGAAACGATAAAAAGGTAAATCAGTGAAAAAATATTTTCATTTAGATATGAAGTTCACTGATAAAATCTTATTCATCAGATATCAAACATAAATCTGTGATAATTAAATATATTATTCTGCATGTACAGATTCTAATATATTTTTAGATTTTAATAAGAATATTTGAAAAAGATATAAAAAGTTTAAATTCAGAAATTTCTGTTGGCATTTATTAATTCAATTATTGAACAAAGAACAAAAATGAGACTATTTTTACTATGATTCAGGAAATGCTGCACACAAATTATGTCAGTATTAGTTTTAGTGAAAGCTATCGGGTCACATTACGACAATATCTGAATTTAGCATGTTTCATTTCAATTTATTTCTACAAGGTTGTATGAACATTACAAAAGAAACAAAAATGAGGAACAAATACATGCATATCAATATTCTTGTAAATTCATTTGTTTCAGAATCTAAAACCTACATTTTGATGACTACATCCGTTTTTTTCATACAATTGTTCTAAAATACTGAACATTTATAATTCACAAAAACAATTAATAGGTAATTAAAGAATATGATGAAAAAAGGTTTTTTAAAATTACTTTAATTTCAGTCTGATGTCTTTCTTCTGAGTCTTCCATTTCTCTGTCTTTATTTCTAAGTTCTGCTTTCTTTTCTTCTAACTGTCTTTTTGTGATTTCCCAGAATGTGTTGACCTTGTCTCTTTCCAATTGGAAGTAGTTTCTCTCTTCTCTTTCACGTTCCAATTCCTCACGTAATCTTTGTATGTGTTCTTCCAACTGTAATTAAAACATTTCACTTTTTTGTAATGTTTCTAGTATAAAAAAATGTTTTTTTAAGGAATGAAGTAAAAATTTTGCATTTTATAAATGATGTAAACAAGTTGCATTTTATAAACTTGTGCAACAACACAATTTGTGTTTAAAGATAATAAATCATCCAGAACTAGAGATAAAGAAAATATAAATTATTCCAGCTACAAACTAAAAATATTGCAGGTATTTGTTAGGGTTTTTGTTGTTCTCTTTTTTTAATTCTATTTTAGCTTTGAATAAGGCTTTAATCATTTTTATTGCTAACCCTTCCAGAGCACCTGATATCATTCTCAGTTTTTGGATAGGTTCATAGTGCTCATTCTTCCAAATTTGTTTTCTCTGTTGTGTTTTGTATGTGACATTGTCAGTTTGTTGATAACTTATGAGTTAGATTTTCCTTGTATCTTCTGCCTCTCTTTCTTAAGCACCAGTCTATACCTGTTCTTTGGACATTTCTTCTGTTGAGATTCCATCTATAACTGTTGGTGATTTGGCCTTTCCAGATTTCTTCCCTTTCTTTCCCTTCTTTCCGCTCTTCTTTTTAGGTGGCTGTTAATTGAAAATCGAAATTTAAATATAAAGATATTCAGAATGAAAACAAAATAATTAATTCCCCATTATATGGTGCAGTTCTGTAAGTCTTATCTTAAAATAAAAACAATAAATTATATTAGGTTTTAGTTAATTTTATATACAGTTGCGACCTATAGGAACATGTGATTTTAGTACAAGTGTGAAGATTTTTTTTAACTCAAAGACGTTTTACATTCCATGAGTAACCATCAAGTGTCAAGAGCGACACCAGTATCAGGTCTGTTAGCTCCATTAACAGGTTGGCATCCTGGGTTCTTTAGCACCTTATTTTATTCAAATACAGGTTGAATTAATAAATGTTTTAGATGTATATATCAAAATATTCATATTTTCAAGAATAGTAATTCTTTAATTTTTTTGATATATTTTTTTTTTTTGCGACTAGTTGATCAAATATCCATCGATTACTCTTCATTGGTATTTCCAAGCTATTTTGATATTTTTGTTTTTTTTTGAAATATTCATGAATGAACTTGGCCTCAAGATCATCATGACAATATCTTATATTCATTTTGTCAAAATAATTCACAAAACACTAAAGAAAACCTGTTTATGTTTTTAGAATGTCTAACTAAAACCTTCAAAAAGGGTGTGAACATGATTTTTTGACAATAGGACCCTGATTCAGCGACACCTGGGAATAGTATACTCAATATATTATGTCCCATGCGACACCTACAGAATACATAATATGAGGGTCTGGATGGGGTATCCTTCATTTCTTCTTTAGACCATTTTTCTGTATTCTTTATTTACCATTAGGCCAAATATACATATCTGTTTAAGGTTACATCAGAAAAAAAATAGGGTAGGTAGGTCAGTATTTCCATTTTATATTTAATTTTTCATTTTTTTTTTTTGCGACATGATTTTTGAGATGTGCGGTCTGAGTTGTCCATGGGCCGAGTTTACCAATATTTTTAATGATCGGATTATTTCCCTTGGTTATTAGTTGGAACAAAATGGTGACAAAGTGTTTACTTCATTACACGAGTCGAGTCGCTAGTTTCCTAAAAACAGCTGTCATATTCACGATTGTGAACATTGTGATGTAACAGGCAATTGATTAAATATATTGGCAATTCCTACTTCACTTTTGACACGAGTTCAGTTAATTTTTCACTTTACGACAGAAATTAAATGACTTTGGTTCGATCAGGTAATCGTAAACAGACATTTATTCTTATTTGGCCTTATTCTCTATATTCCTTATATCTAATCTTAGCACACCATTATTCTCTATCTATTTTTGCTAGATCATCCTCAACCAACGTTCGAATCAATTAGTTATTTTCCTAGGATATAAGGGATTGTAGTACCATCTGAAGGATAGAGGGGTAAATTGTTTTGTATATCCAATAAGTAGACAGGGTGAATTTTTATGTACATAGGTCGACAGATCAACATAAATCTATTTGCAATAAATCCTCTTAACGAATTATTTAATAAATGTTCAAATAAAGAGGGAAGAAACTTATTGATTTAACCGTTGGTTTAGGATATTCTAGTCCAAGTTCTGGTTAAATGTATCTGCAAAACAACATTACAGGTTTAAATTTCATGTTGTTTTGTCGTTTATGTGTTGTTGAATTTAAAAAAAAACGATTAAGATAGGTAGAGGGGTAGAATATTTAACTAGTAGTCATCCATAAACCTACCATTTTTTCAGTTTGTTCCTGGTATTTTTGTTTTCAAAAGGTGTAATGTATGTTCCCCTTTTCTGATGTACTTGTTGTCCAGGTGACGGTCCCCGGATGTAAATAAACTCAAAATCTCGTACAAGACAACGAGATAAATAATTAGATGTACAGTTTATTCGATTTTTTTGGCTAAGTGAAATATCAAAGCATGTGAAAAATAATTATATTATCATAAGTTATTTGAGAAATAAAAAAATCGCAAAAACATAATACTGGTTTTCTAAAAAAAATAAATAACAGTTTTAAAGAAAATACTAAAACACGTATTTATTTTCTGGTGACGGTACCTATTAAACGTTAGACGCAAAAAGAACGTAATTGTACATTTATTTAGGTTGTTTGTATAATTCATGTTTCCAATAAACTTGTTTGCTTCTGCGTGAAGGATAAGATACAAGGGTTTACCCTCTACTTTAAGTTGAAAAACAAATATAAAAATAAGAAGATGTAATATGATTGCCAATAAGACAACTCTCCACAAGAGACCAAATGACACAGAAATTAACAACTATAGGTCACCGTACGGCCTCCAACAATGAGCAAAGCCCATACCGCATAGTAAGATATAACAGGCCCCGAGATGACAAATGGAAAACAATTCAAACGAGAAAACTAACGGCCTAATTAATGTACAAAATAATGAACGAAAAACAAATATGTTACACAGCAACAAACGACAACCACTGAATTGCAGGCTCCTGAAATCGTTTGAAGGCGCCAATGGTGTAACAGTACAGCATAAGAACAGACTATTAAAATCAGTTGAAAAAGGCTGAACTCATCAGATGGATACAAATAGAAATACTTCTAACCGAAAAAACAGAGTGGACGTGGACGGGTACTTATACATCCACACAGCAGAAAGACATTAAGTACATATCTGAGAGTACTCGCAGTTACTGACAGCTAGTTCAAAACCAATAACAACTAATGAAAAAAATCATGCATCTAAGACTAAAATATACTGAAATCATTACACATCCAACATCCAATGGATTTAGTGTAAAGACGTCATAAACAGTCAGAGAAAAACATGACCTTGTGCAATGCCAAGATACAGGTATCGACAGATTGTAGAGCCATGAATGTGCATATCATGTATATAAGAATAATATTTAGTTTGATTTTAATTTACTGATGACAAAATCAAAATTAATACCAATAAAAGCAATATTCAAAGAACTAATTACAGTGTTGAATTGGTAACCTTTTAGAATAAGTTTATTTAAAGGATCGATAAGTTTACCCGGATCGTTTCCAAATTTCTGGGCTCGGTAAACAACATCTCCGTAAAAATGAGGATGTGCTATCCCGTTTGAAATAAGTTTTCTACAGGTACAACCAAACTTCAAAATCTATGGAAGAATTTAGTAATGGTTAAAGTAATTTGTGGTAACGAAATTCCTGACTTAATAATTTACCAGTAATACATAGATTACGGTCATTGAAATCCAAAACGTTACAACAGACACGGGCATATAGCGAACGAGTTGTGATATATAAACACCGTAAGATGGTGCCAAAGGAACATTACCGTCCAAAAAAGGAAAATTAACAATAGGGAACGAAAAATCGTCCCTTTTGTCGTAATTTTTAGTGTAGAGTTTCGTATGTAAAACTAAAATATCTACGTCTAGGAAAGGACAGTTATTACCGTTTATATTTGATTTATTTTAAGTAAGTTCCTTTGGGTAATTTTCGGCAGTATATTTAGAAAATTCTTGATTATTTAAAAAAAATATCATCAAGATAACGGTAAGTGTTGTTGAATTTATCAATTAAATGCAATTTAGACGGGTCTTTACTAAGTTTGGTCATAAACTGTGATTCATAACAGTACAAGAACAAGTCTGCTATTAAAGGGGCGCAATTGGTGCCCATAGGAATACCTACAACCTGTCGATAAACTTTATTGCCGAAACATACATGAATATTATCAAGGAGAAAATTAACAGCTTCGATCATCTCATCACACCTCCAGTAAATATAAGCCGTTTGAAAACAGAATACACAAAAGCAGAATCTGAGGAACAATTAATGATGATTAGTAAAATTTCGTATATTTTTGTCCTTCGAAACCGCTTGTACCAATTCAGGTCCATATGGATCAATCCAAACTGAAGAGATTTTGCAAACTTGTAAAAAAAAATGTGTACGGAATACATTGATTTCCGAAGGATCTTGGACTATTTGACAAGTGAAAAATCTGTTATTTGATACTATTGAAGAACTCATTAAAAAAAAAGCGATAGGTTCCAATCATTTCCCTTTGCATGCTGTTTATTCTGGAATACAACATAAGTTACCATTATAATTCTTAAAAATTGGAAATAATTAGATGGAAGAAGATACTTTGTGTGATATATGTCAACTGGTGTTACAAATACTTTATTTTAAGAGGGTAGCACAGTTAGCATCAATATAAATCGTAAAAATCTACACTATATACAGTTTGTGAACAAATGCGTTTCCATTATTTGATGTTTTCAACTAAAGAATATTTTCACATAAATTTAGCACACGTAGAAAAAGATATTTCATAAATATGCAGGCGGATTATCATCCATACTCTTAGACGTCAAATACTCCTATCTGATATTCAGTCAGTCTAAGACGAATCGTTCATTACTAGCCCACTTTTCGACATATTTGTAGTGATGAAAAATCTTGTTGAGCATAAAGAATAATTCTTGTTACACGCTTTTGTAATATGAATAGTTTATCAATATAGCAGAAGTCCATTGGACGTATAATCAAAGTTTCTCCACATAAAGAGCAAGTACTCTTAGAACGATACTTTTTGTCTCTTGTTTTTCTGTATGTTGATTTTTGTCCTTAGTGTAAATCTAATGAGACAGACGCTTTCTAACTAATTGTTACAGTTTGTTCTTACGTTGGGCGGTTACACCACTTTCTGAGGTTTGGACGAGGGTTGATCGCTAACAAAAATGTTTAATCCCGCCACATTCTGTATGTGCCTTTCCCAAATCAGGAGTTCGTTATAAAGTGGTTGTCGTTGGTTGCTGTCTGTCATGATTTGTTTTTCGTTTTGTCATCAATCAGGTCGTTGATTTTCTCGTTTGAAATGTTTGAGTTAGTCATGTCGGAGCTTTTTATAGCTGACTATACAACATGGTAGAATGTTGTACGGTGATTTATCATAGTTGCTTGTTGTCTCATTGATAATCATACCATATCCCCTTATTTAAAAAGAGGTAAAAACGTTACAGTTTAACAGCAAAACCATTCTGTAAATTTCTGTGAAATTGGAAGTTTGGATCCCTCACCCGGACGGCAAGCCATGCACCCCCTAAAAAAAATAACAAAAAACAAAACAAAACAATACAAAACGAAACGAAAGGAAACGATACGAACGAAAACCTTGGCTTGAAATCTAGATCTATTTTGATTTCCCGTATATTAAGCTGTCATTACCAAAGAGTCATTTGGCTGAAGCCATGGGAGGATACATTTTGAAAATCTGTAATCAAATTTAAACTGTACATTTCATGTGATATATTGTATAAAGTTTGGATCCCTCATCAAGACGGAAAGCCATCCCCGCCTATACTCTTTATTATAAAAATGTAAAATAAAAAGACAGAATCTTTAAAAAGCAAAAATGATCAGCAAGATAATTGATTGATTATTGGTTGCTTAACATCCAGTGGCAAATATTTCATACATGTTCAGGACGATAACAAATTATCAATAAATACAATAGGTATAGGTCGTGTAATAGAGGCCGTCCGGGATGAAGGTCAGGGAAATTTGGACTGCCACTGGAAAATTACGGTATATTGGATAGGGAAAGAAATTTAGCTTTACAACAGGCCACCTACGGACCCTAAAAGAGTTGTTGGCTTGCAATGGTTCTTAACTTGCAGAGAGCATGTCACTCTCTTTACACGAGGTATCGGATTTAACGTCCCAATTCTGACCGTACGTGGCTGCGTACTTGTACATCCTGCACAGTCAAACGGAAGCCCTTAAGAAAGGGTTTTTACTGACAGTCGGAAGAAGACCTAAGTGAACATATTTCTATTCAGGCGGAAACCAGGTTGAAATAAAACAAGAGAAATGGAACTATTTGTTAGAGAAGTTAAAAAAGGCCAAGTTGGTAAATTTGAATTGCTTACATCTGTTTCTATGGGATTTAACAGTTTAATGAATGTGCATAATTTAGGATTTTATGCATCTTATATATGCGTTTTTACTTAAATTATGGTATAGAGCTTTGAGACATTTGTAAACTTTTAAATTATAGACACATTGTCATAAAACAGTCGATTGGGGTAGGTGCAAACAGAGACACATAATAATTGTATTATATGTCTCTGGTGCAAATAATGTGAATCTTTTTTGTGCATAAGCATAAATTCCGCCGAAAAAAAATCCAAAGAAAGATAATAGATTGACCTTTTTAAAGCATTCATTTGCATCTCTGCCCCCAGCGACAGTTTTTTGGGAAAAAATCCCCAAAATGGCCAATAATTTCATGGAAAAGAGAAAGTCGAGTACACCTTTTTATGTTCAGGCGTGTTTGAGTTGACTATTCTGTCTTTAAAACGTATAAAAGAAAAATATTTGATACATCATCTCGCTTCAGATTGTATTATTTTTATATATTTAGGCTAAATTTTACTAAAAGTACTTGACGAAAGACTACAAGTGAATCTTAAAAAATGCATAACTTAAAAAAAAATCATTTTTGTGTGTTATCTAGGGTAAATTAGTCCTCAACCTCTGAAATTATTTAGTCTGCCCTTCCACGAAATATTTAATTAGATTTTTTTAAATATTTTTTGCATTTTTGCCTATTACCTTGAAAACCAGTGGCGGATCCAGAACTTTTTATAAAGGGGGGGGGGGGGGGTACTGACTGTCATAAGAGGGGGCCCGCTACAGTCATGCTTCAGTGATTCCCCACATGGCAAGAATACAAGTAAATAGATATTGTTGAAATTGTTGGTCAACTGAGGTTTTAAAAGAGTTAGTGCCCTTAAATGACAGATTTTATCATTTTTGTTTGCATTATTTATAATAAACATATAAACTATAATAGATATATATCGAAACTTGATACAGAAAAAATAATCAGCAAGACAAGATCTACAAATAATCCACCTTCTTCTTTATTCTTCCCTCCACTATCTGGAGTACCACTACTTTTGTAGTGTAATATGGATAAGCAACTGTGTGCATGTGCAGGAAACAATGAGAATTTCAATGCACAAACCAGTATAATTACGCCTATAACTCAATTGTTCTAGATACAAGTTAAAATTGCAAAGGCAGATTGTCACATCCAATTATAATCTAGGGATTCTATCCCAGCAGGGTCCTCATTCAAAACATGAAGCACAAGTAGCATAAAACTATATAAATCACTATTTTATGTGCAGGATCTGTTCCATCACCATACTATATACATTTAGACTGTCCATTTAAAGCACAAAAGTTATAACGTTAATAAGGCACTAATCTATGTACATCACTGTAAGAGTCTATACACATTTGCTAAAATCTAAATGCACCTCACGTGCCGCTAAGATATCAATGTTACTGTCACAATCTGTTACTTGATACACACATCAATAGGGAATTGCAGAATATAGGTTCTTACTTTCTATTGTTCATTCTTAGCCAATACAACACCTTCATAAGTACTTTTCATTAGTCGCATTACACTCAACAGTAAACTTATAAATCTTATTACAATAAAGAGAAATTGTCGAAATCCTTAGTCGACTATTTATTGGAGTTATTGCCCTTTAATGAAGTTTTTTCCAATCTTTTAAAGCCATATATCTTTAAAACTATAATAAATAGATAGAAACTTTAAATAACAAAAATGATAAGCAAGACACGATCTACAAATGAGTTGATTTTGCCAAAATCTTCAGCTGTAACTCTTTGTAGGAGTTATTGCCATAAAATAACGATTTGTTTTGCATTTATTTATTTTATTGCTTATTATTTTGAACTATAATAGTTTGAGATAAGCTTAAATAGCAAAACCGAGGCAAGATCTAGCAAGTAGATATTGTTGAAATCTTTGGTCAACTCTTTATAGGAGTTAGTGACCTTGAATAGAAAATTTAAAAGCAAAAAATTATTAGCAAGACCGATCAGCATAGATGAAATTGTCAGTTGTCTTCTTATAGCAGTTATTGCCTTTGAATGACGATTTTTACCCTTTTTGTGTTTTGGACAAAAACGATAGTAGATGGGGAGAAACTTTAAACAGAAAAAATATCAGCAATACAAGTTCAACAAAAGAGATTTTAGTCATGAATTATATTCTAGTCTTCAACGTTGGAGTGTGTCCATTGTTAAACATGCACATATACCTAGGAGAGCAATAGAGGCTCTAAAGAGCCTCTAGTTCTTGTGGTGAACAAAAACAATGCCCTAATCAATTTTCATCCAAAACTTGTTATTAAAATTTACCTAGAAAAGCAAATGCATCCCACTGATATTTGAATTAATATGAAATCATTCAAATTATAAAGTTGGTAGTTAGTAATAAATGTTCTGATTTTTTTTCTTCATATTTACTATGTTTAAATGACTGAATATATTATCAAACTAAAAACTTGTGGAAGTCAAGTTAGATTGAGCTTTATGTTCTATTGGAAAAGAATGTGTGTAGTTTCTGTTGAAATTGTTTTTTTGTTTTACAATATTTCAGTCTTAACTGGGTTTTGATATTGTGTAAAAAAATTTATATATTTACCGTAGGAGTTTAATTCATACAATGGCTGATCTTTTATTGGGTGAAAGACTAATTGTTTGTTTCCCGTTATATGCTTTCATTTTGTATGAAAGCAACCCAAGATTATAGAATTATGGAGTTGTGAATACTTGTAAATATTACTGAGCATAGACTGTTTTTAGACTGGATTTTACAATTCATCAAAACCATAAGTACCTTCTTATTTATTACCCCGGTAGCAAAATTTTCAATGATTTTAAATAATCAAAAACCAAATCAACAAATTAAACAATTAAGCAAAAATATTTACTGACTTAATCATAGACAAACCAACTTGCAACCACAAATAAAATTGAAAGACAAAATGGGGTCACCATATTTTTTTTTCTTTAATACAAAATAGAAACAAGAGGCTTTCAGATTGACAGCAAACCGGATTTTCCTGCATTAAAATGATATTTGCAAATCTGGACCAACAAAAAGGATCAAGCAAAAAAAAATAATATGAATCAATTTTTGAAGGGTTCAGAGATGGAAAGGCCAAAATCAATCCTTACCTCCTATTTATCATAAGTGACATAATATTGGAATTTAAGAGAGTATATAAGTACACACACATTTTTTCAGCAGAGGTTGGTAGGCAGAAATCATGAAGTCAATAATGAAAGAAATATGTTAATGAGATTATAACCTTATTCAATATGAAACCATAGAATCTTGTGGTCACTCCAATGACTTTCCAGAAACCCACTTTCATACAGTTGTTGTCTTGTTTCTTCAAAATATCACAAGCTTTTCATCTAAGCTTTTTCAAGTTATCATATGGACAACACTCCACTTTACTCTACTTAAAGGTCTATGACTCATCAACAATAAAAGCAAAAATCATGAAATTCCAACTTGACCTTCTTTTAGTCACAGGAAACAACATATTTAAATTTTAAAAGATTTCGTCAAAGCAATTTCAAGTTATTGCATGGACAACGCTCTAAGTATCACTTTTCGCTACTAAAAGGTCTACAACTCCACAACGATAAAAGCTAAAATCTAAAATACGAACTTAACCTCCATTTAGTCACAGGAAACAACATACCGGTATCTAAATTTTAAAAGATTTCGTCAAAGCAAATTCAAGTTATAACAAGGACAATGCTCTAAGTATCACTTTTCTCTACCTAAAGGTCTAGATCTACAACGCATCAACGATTAAACCTAAAATCGTGAAAATAGAACTTGACCTTTATTTAGTCAAAGGAAACAACATATCTTAATCTTAAAAAATTTGTCAAAGTGTTTTCAAGTTATTGCACGGACACTGTTTGGCAGCCGCCCGCCCCGCCGTACATCACTAAATTAATAACCAATATTTACCTTTGGAATTAGTGTACAATCCTTTATAAAATAAAAATTTTTGAGTTATTTACCCTAAAAAAGTAAAACAACATATCTACATTTTAAAAGATTTCGTCAAAGCGTTTTCAATTTATTGCATGGACAATGCTCTATGTATCACTTTTCCCTACTAAATGGTCTACAACTCAACAACGATAAAAGCTAAAATCTGAAAATCGAACTTAACCTTTATTTAGTCACAGGAAACAACATATCTAAATGTAAAAAGATTTCATCAAAGCATTTTCCAGTTATTGCAAGGACACTGTTTGGCAGCCACCCGCCTGGCCGCCCCTCCGTACATCAACAAATTAATAAACCGATATTTGTCTTTGGAAATCGGGTTAAAAATTAGTGTACATTCCTTTATAAAATCAAATAATTTGATTTATTTACCCTAAAAAGCCTAAGTTTGATTATTGTTTGATCCATTACAAAGTATTCTATAAAGGGGGAGAGTTGTTGTCTCATTAACCAACATCTCCTTTTAATATTTTAAACTATCATCATGCATAAAAATATACAACAACCTCAAAGTTTATTTATTAATATTTTTTTCCAATCTTTTGTAGTAATAATTGCATTGGCAGTAAGCCATTTTTCTTTTGTAGTGATGGGTGAAATACATTAAAGTCAACTTTTTGTAGCTGTTTTAAATATTTATCACAGATAACCTGAAAAGAGAAAAAAGACACCTATAAAATATATGAAATAAATAATAACAAAGTGGATTCAAAAGTAGTTGAAGTGTAGTTTCAATCTGATTTTAAAACAGATCCTGTGTGCAAGCTTTGCTTACAAGCAATTAACCTTGTAAGCAAAGCTTGGACACTGTATTTTAATCAGGTTGAGTGTAGTTTGTTCATCATAGAATATTTCATAGTTGTTCCAAGGTAGTAATCTTCATTTTTGTCAGGATTTATTATTTTAAATAATTTGGAAAGTGCTCTCAGTACAATGATTTTATTTACCCTCAGGCTTGTACTACTCAAATATAACCATCATCTCTTGTTATTGTCTCAACATACTTATATTTCTTGTCTGGCGATGAAAAACATGCAATTGTTAGAAAGCTTAAAAATTATTTATGTAATGCATTGTTAACTTGAACCTTTTTAGCTCTTATAAAGAGATTTCTAATGATAACTTGAGCATCTTTAGTTCTTCTGAAGAGATTTCTAGTGATAACTTGAGCATTTTTAGTTCTTCTGAAGAGATTTCTAGTAATAACTTGAGCTTCTTTAGTTCTTTTGAAGAGATTTCTAGTGATAACTTGAGCTTCTTTAGTTCTTCTGAAGAGATGTCTAGTGATAATCAGTGAATTGCAAAAGAATCTTTATCTATCTGTAAACATTTTCTGAAAACTTTCAAGTGACTCAAGATGAAGAATGGCAATAAAATCATAAAATGGAACTTTTTTCACAAGTATATCCTTCGATTAACAGCTTCATAAATTATTGACTGTAAACATTACAGTTTACCCGGTAGTCATTTTTAAACAGAAAAAAAAATGTTACAACTACATTAAATGTAACTTACAGAATTCAAGAACAGTGGAAGAACTGTTGAAGGTACATCCTTCTTCATAGACCTTGCCTAAAAATAGAATATTGAATTAAAGCTTTGATTCTTTAACGTTCTCCTCCCATTGCTTTAAAAAAAATATTTGCATTCAGTCTTTAAAATGGCAAAAATATTTTACAGAACCTTATCTTCTGCAAATAGTCTTGCAAAAAGGCTATGGCTTTTTTTCTGATTGAAAAGAAGGGATTTTTAAGGGAAAAACATCATAAATTTGTTACTGTAAATTCAGAAATTTTTGCTTGCGTTCATTATTGCGATTTTTGAAAAATTGTGAAAAAATGTGAGATTATTTTACTGCGATTTCAGGAAAAAGTGAATAGAAATATATGTATTAGATATCATAATGTGAGTTCTTATTATTGCTATACTCGTGCAATCACATTATTCACATTAATAAAAACTTTGCAATAATTTCTGAATACAGCAGTTATATGACCTTGTATACTTTGGTGATAGTAATCCATTATTGTAGAAAATTTAAAAATTACCAATATATTGTTTCATAATTTTCCAAATTGTTCTAAATACCTTGGGAGCAGGTACTGCTTACCACTTTGGAAGCAACTGAGTACCCCCCCCCCCCCCCCCCCCCCCCCCCCCCCCCCCCTTTTTTTTAAGTGGGTTTTTTGCTGAATCTTTAGTTTTTTGTGTAGTGTTTTGTAGTTGTCTTTTCCTGTGTTGTAGTCTATTTTTATTTCTTTTTGCTCTCTTGATATCTTCTCCTTTTTACATCGGATGACCGTGAGGGCATTCCGGTGTATTGTTGCCACAGAAATTTCTACTCACGTAACTTTTGTTTTTGACTGGTAACCAATCGTTTAAATATGCGGACATTATCGAGTGCAAAATAACATTCCTTATCGCTTGTAATTTCATCAATAAATATTCATGAAAGTAATTTTTACGAACATAGATAAATGATATGACAATATTTTGTCGTGAGAAATATATATATCAGAAAATATGTGTTAACGCATGCGGAAGAATATCTCGAGACCGTTTTGCAACAAAAGCGGGAAAAAATGAATGAGTACTCAAATCCAATCTATTAGAAAAACGAATTATTACAGAAGAGTGTCCACCATGCACTTGCACTGCACTATCATTAGAATAGTAGAATAGAATGATCTACAGATGGATGAAAATTTGCCTGTAGAGTTATTAAGATGATCTGCTATATACATGTATATAACTGCTATACAAATATTAATACAACAGATCTATATACATGTAACAACAAAACAGAGTATACAGATAACAAATGATTATATCACTTCAATGTAATAGTTATTACGGTGAGGTTGAATTCCCTGTCATTTATTCATTATCCACACACGAACTTGTCTCAGAAAAAAATATATCTATGAACCTTAACTTAACTTTCAGGTATAGTGATATGATTTTTTTCTGAGGCAAGTGTTTGTGATCCACCATAATTTGCGGTCATCCTATGTTCAGTACTTCAGTACTTTGATTATCTGATGTTGACATAGGGTGGTTTTGATTGTAGTTTCTACTTTTTTTTTTTTTACTTACCAATATTTTAATTGAATAAAGAAAGAATATACGTTAGTATGGATGTACATAAGAGCAGAAACAGAGTGTACCATAATAGGTTAATTTAACAAATAACTGTTGACAGACCCATATGTGTTTTACTCTGATGAAATTTTGATAGAAAAGGGCAAATGTTGGAATTAAAATGGCAATATTTGAACATGTAATCTATGCAAAACATTCAAAGTCAATGAACCATGACTAAAGGTGCAGGATCACATAACCTCAATGGAAATGAGAGTTGCAAATTTGAATACAACTGCGTGCCAATTATCATTGACATAACAGTAGTGGTTCATCTTAAACTGACCTAATCACCAACTTATACATTGTTGATGTAGCCGCCGGAGACAGCAAAACTGGGTCTCACTTTTTCTACCTTTGTTAATATGAGACAAAAAATCTATGGCTAAACTTAAAAACTTTACCGTTTCTAAATGCTGCTTGGCAACACTAGCTACTTCAAATACGATATCACAGATTTCTTTTTGTTTTCTTCCTCTCATCACATCCTCTCCTGAGATTTTGAACTGAAATGAAAATTAACACATTCAAGTTTATGAAATACGAAAATTTCATTTACATATATATATAAAAGATATTTATACCGTGATTACAAAATGGAACAACCACAAAAATTATTTTCTTTTTCTTTATCAGCAATAAAAAAGTAGTCAGGTTAAAATAAAAGAGTCTGTTTGGTACTCAGAACTAAATTATTTCATTCTTTTTTAACATACTACCAATAGAACAAGATTGCAATGAATTGTTGATTCATGTTTATCAGATAAATATGCAAACCAAATATTAAACCAGAAGAAAAAATGCTGAGTTTCTGTTGCCAAGATAGAAAAACAGATAGATCCAACATGTAAGGTGTTTTCAAATCAAGATTTTTAAAAAAAATCAGTGCCTCTTAAAATTAAATGAAAACAAAACTAATAACTGGCATTTCAGATATGAATACATTTTATTTCATGCACTTTGATCTTTGCTTGATAGTCATTTCATTCAAAATCATACAAAGCAGATCTCCATTTCTTTAAAAGAAATTCAGACATCATGTTCCACTCAAAATACAAACCTTTAACAGAGATTCTCTTGGCAGGTAGATTCTACCTTTACTAGAATTATACGGTAATCCCCTTAGTAATGTGACCACACCCTGTGATTTACCAATATGACTAGCTACATGATGAACCTGCTTGTCTGTTATACCTGTAAAAATTGAATGCAATGTTATATACAGTAGTCAATATGTAAATTGTTGAACTTTCTACGTAAGACAACCAGGTATTCTCTTTATATATAATGTCAAACCTACCATTGGTCAGAATTTCAAATAAACTGCAATATGTGGTGCAACACTTTAAATACATCAAGCTATAGTAATTGTAAAAACTAAACCCCTTGCAAACATTTCCAGCTTTACAATATTTCCACAGGGTTATATTTATAAAACAAAATTCTTCAATAAAGCATGCACATTATAATAGAAAAATGAGTAGATGTGGTATGATTGCCAATGAGACATCAACCCGAGTTCAAATGATGAATGATGTTTTAAAAACATGAATACTTATTGAATATGTTGAATCAGTCATATTTGAAATTTTCCATGACTTGTAAGAGCAATCCTTATTCTGGAAAGCTGCTTTTTGTTGTTTGTGTTTTATTTAAGCATTTTATCTCATTCAAAAGGGGATGACAAATAATAAACATAGAATAAATTAATACTGGTATAAATAAACTACAACCTTTACCTTCAGATTCTAAAAATAAATACAGTATAGATGCCTTTGTGTCTTCAGAATAATCTTCTATGTCTTTTATGTTCTTGTAAAAATCTGCATTTAATTTTGAATACTGCAAATGAATAGATTGTACTGTATGAGTAGAAAAACTCAGATATCAATCAAATTTTATGACTATATTGTATTAATTTCTGAATAATTCAGTGTTATTTAATATTTCTAATTTGCATTTTCTCCCCATGTCTTATTTTCTATAGAAATATTAGGGGAGGGTAGAGTCTTGAAAACATGTTAAACCCCACCACATTCCATGTGTGCCTGTCCAAAGTCAGGAGCCAGTAATTCAGTGGTTGTCCCTGGTTTCTTTCAATTATATATGGTTTTTTTTGTAGACTGAAAGGACTTTTTTCTGCATTGAAATTTGTACAGATTTTCTCTGGGCATAGCATTTGATTGTGTTTTTCTGAACATTTTATGACATACTTTGATTGATTGGTGTAAAACGCCTCTTTTAGCATTATTGCACTGTTTCGTGATGGTCAGTTTTTAATGGTGGAGTAAGCTTGAGTTCCCAGACAAAACCACCTTCTGTAGGAAATTTGACAATCCTAATCAATTACAGATTGGAGTCCAACACACCTGCCATGTGCCCAATTTTTGCTCTGCTTGATCAAAACATGTTTGCAAAATAATCATTTTAGGTCTGTGACTTCAAAAATTTTCTAATATAATGCTAAAAATCACAGGAAAACGTTTTATTTCCTTCAATATCACACACCTTTGAGATTTGTGTATTGTATTTTGTTTTGTAAAGGAGTAGGTCCGGTAAGGGCCGATTTTGGCCTCAAAATTTAGGTTCATTTGATGAAAGATTTTGGACACTTTTTAAACACTCAAGTGTCTACTTCAATCGATTCAATTAGTTTATGTGAAAGATTTGAACTGATTTAGTCATTAAAGACGCTCAAATTCAAGCTTAGATATGAAAAATCTATCAAATATGCCATAATATGTCACTTTTCAAATGGTTTTTATCAAAAATGAAAGTGGCCGCATCCGTGTTCATTCTCAACCTTTATATATGTTATGTATTATCATCAAATACAACTTACATTTAAATATTAAGAATGAACACAAATGCGGCCACTTCCATTTCAGACGGAAACCGTCAAAAAATTAACCAAAATGCTAAAATTTAGTAGATTTTAGTTATTTAACATGACTTAATGATGCTAGTACCTGATACATGTGCATTGTATTGTCAAAAACAGCCTATATTTATGTAACAGAAGTGTTCTTCTTTACAATAAATAGCTAAAAATTTACATTTTAACAATTTTGTAAAACTGCTATATTTTGGGGCCAAAAAGGGCTCTTACTGGGCCTACTCCTTTGTTATTGAACTTGTTTACATTAAACAAGGCAGTGTAAAGATCTCGAAAAGTATTTTAACCTTGCCAAATAGCTAAAAATGTGCTTCGTCAAGTGCAGCTGGATACGACTGCAGAGGTCCAACCCTGAACAGTTGGGGCAAAAATGGACACAATATTCCAAGCTTGATACAGGTCTGAATTTGGATTGTAATTAAATATTTGACACATTATAGGTTTCTGACACAGAATAAATGTAGTCAAAGAACTTGAAATTGGTTTAATATATGATTTGAATTTATATTCAATTGAAGATTTCTTGCTGCTGTGCAATACACTGTGCTTTTGCGCAATACTTAGTAAATCTGTTTTCAGACTATATTTACCCCCCCCCCCCGTCCAAAAAAAATAAAATTTGAAGAAATTTTCTTTTTGTAAAATGTGGTACAATTTAAGAGACATCCATACACTTAAACACGAACGGTTTGGGCAATTACCCCAAAATGAATCCCAACCTTCTACTTGTAGTATTGAACCTTGTGGTACAATTTCAGAGCAATCAAAATACTTATACACAAGTTATGGTCCTGAAACTAGAAAAATGCTTGTTTTGGGCCCCTTTTTGGCCCCTAATTCCTAAACGGTTGGGGCCATCACCCCAAAAAACAATCCTAACCTTCCTTTAGTGGTATTGAACCTTTTGGTTAAATTTCAGAGATTCATACACTTAAACTAAAGTTCTTGTCTGGAAACCAAATGTCTTTGGACAACAAAGACAACGGCGTAATAGCATTATATACGAATGCATATATTTTGCGGTCGTATAATAAAACTACAATGTTTTGATGAATACTTACTCTTGCATCAATTATTTTAAAAAACAAATCTTTGGAAAGTTTCTTCTTTCTTATACACTGCAAAAAAAAAACCTTTGATTAATAATTTTGGAGATAAATCATAAATGTTGACATTTTTATTTACATTACTTTATTTGATGTCTTATTGATAATAGTGGAATGAGAACTATTTTAAACTCTTTTGGTAAATCTTCTGTCAAAAAGAAATCAATAATTCAAGGAAATGTTGAGAGAACCCTAACCTAAAGTACATAGGTCTAAACGTTTCATCAATATGTACATCCTGTAGTGAAAAGATAAATGCATATGAACCTAAGACTATATTACTATCAAGGCTGTTCCTTCAGTCCATTATACGTTTGGAATTCACAGACATTAGAATCATGTTACCACTAACCCATTTCCCTCAAATCACCATGGAAAACATATCAAATTATACAAAACATAATTCATTTTGATGAATATTTGCTGCACTTATTTAATATTTAAGTTTACAACTTAAAAATTTCTTGCCCAGAATGTGGGACATATAATTATGTCAGTATTAGGCACCAAAACTAACAAGGAATTCCACAATTAAGTTAAGGCTTAAAAATGATCATCTGTATAATATATGTCAATCAAATTGAGAAAAATGAGGTTTTGAATTATTTTCGTTTTCTTAAACCTTACCTGTGACAAGGCTAAAGCTGTAGGTGTGTGAGGTGGAGAGCCCTGCAAGTAAAATATTACAACAACTTACCTAAACTAATAATTTACAATGTTAACAACAGTTTATAATTTGGCACTGGCTACGGTTACATGGAAATGTAACAATAATAAAATAATTATTGTTACATTGGAGACTAATTGCCGGAATGCAGGGCTGGATAAGGAACCGGTTATTTATGAATGTAACAATAATATTTGTGTCTACGGTTACATTGCGTTATTGTTACACGAAAGACTGCAATGTATGCTAGATTTATGAAACTTAAACCTTCTATAGTTTTGTTGCAAAATTCTATGATATGTACTAGATGATATTTGAAGTAATGATAATAATAACAATATTATTATTCAACAAATAGTGTTTAAATAGTTTTAATTATTTATTGCCAAGTTTTGATGTTCTTAAAGATACTACTGCAGTTTAGTAGTTTCAAAGGCGAAAAATATAGTTCAATGGTTCGTTGTTAAGAACTTGGGATGTGAAACGTGCTCACTTCTTAGTATTTAAATGCACACCTACCCTTATTACTGTCATTATACTTTGAATAATGGATGAAGAGATTCATATTACCAAATTTGTTTTGGGTGAAAAATTTAAAAATTTTGAATCAAAACTTAAACAATATCAAGACACACATTTTATACAGTTATACAAACGCAGTTCTAAAAAAAATTGATACATCATGACGACAATGAAATTATATTGAAAGAAAACATGAAATAACCTCACATGCTTCCAACAAAAACATTGAACGAAAATATAAACATCGCTAGTGTAAAAAAATATTTTTCACCTGAAGCATGGCAGACATTGAAAGTTTCTTTAACTTCAAAAAGGGATAGTGTAGAATATGGAATTGCAGTACAGTATGCAATACAGACGTGCACAATGTCGCATCTCTGGTTTGTGATGGCTGCTTTGAGTGGTTTCACCAAAAATGTGTCGCACTAAAACATTCTCCAAAAACAACTTACTGGATTTGTAGAAACTTTCATTGTAAATTAAAATAATAAAATGTATGCAATATTGTAAATATCAAATAAAAGTTTTCAAGTTTTATTTTAATGCACATTACTAGTCCCATCGTACGTTGCAGTCTTTCATGTAACAATAACGCAATGTAACCGTAGACACAAATATTATTGTTACATTCGTAATTAATCGGTTCCTTACCCAACCCTGCATTCCGGCAATTAGTCTCCAATGTAACATTTATTTTTTTATTATTGTTACATTTCCATGTAACCGTAGCCAGTGCCTTATAATTTTTAAGACATATTAAACTTGATTTAAACATCCCCATTATGTACCGTTAGTATATGCCTTTTTCCTAACAAGATTGCACATCAGGTAATAGTAAATAAAACTTTATTATAAAAATAAGAAAATGTGGTATGATTGCTAATGAGATAACTCTTCACAAGGTACCAAATGACATAGAGTTAATAACTATAGGTCACCATACGACCTTTGACAATGAGCAAAATGTATGTTAAAAGAAAATGTATCTATTTCAAAAGTTTAAACAATTGAGCACATGATGAAATATCTTTTCTACTTTGCTGATTATGGCTTAAGTTTTATTTTAATGATCTTTAATATCACTTACAACAGGTATCCCATGGAATTAACATTAATGATATTAAAACGATAATAAAGACAACAACAACAACACCCATCAATTACCACATGGTATGATTTTATTCTGGTCGACATGTTTCGCAATCAAGCCTGGGGTCTTCAGCACGTGTGATATTAAGGGAGTTACCATTTGATTTTTATGGGGGGGAGGGGGGCTAGGATGAAATTTGAAAAAAATAGTCAGGACAGGAGTTTTGAGTAAAAAAAAATGCAGGATGAGATTATTTGCAAAAAAAAAAAGGCAGGATGACAATTTATGTAAAAAAAAAAAGTCAGGATAAACTAAAAAAAAAGGCAGGACAGAATAGAGTGAATAATAAAAAGGTAGGACCGAATAGGGGGAAAAATAAAAAGGCAGGACAAAATTTTTCATCCTAGCCCCCTCATAAAAATCAAATGGTAGCTCCCTAAGGTATATAGGGAAAAAAAATTCTGAGACAAGTGCCTGTGGTCTTCAGGACAATATTACATATGAAATCAAATAGTGAAGTACAAATTTGGCGGTTCATGCGGTTCGCCAGAAGTAATGTTACAATAATGGTTGTTATGACGACGTTATAGATATAAATAGAAGGTGAAAGTGAAATAAGAATTTAGTTAAGTTAATTTATTGATTTAATTTAAAGTGAAAGTTAGTCAATAAAGTTATTAGTGATGTGGTTAGCTGCTATTCACACAAGTCTGTGTAGTTATTCTCATGGAGGTTTCTAGTGGTATTGTTGTAGAAATGATGAAAGTAGATCATAAAATGTCGGTTCATTTCCAAATGGACAACACCTCACTGGTCATCCCGTACCAATTCAACTGGCTTCGCTCTGAGGGAGGTACTGCTTCCAATTGCGTTGGGAATAGTGTGAAGTGTATGATCGCCGCAAATTTTGGGAATTGTAAATCTTAGAAGATTCTTTAATATTTACTTTGTTAATAACTTGAAGTGTCCATGGATCAAGCTTTTCTTTATAAATATTTTTTGTGGTTCCTGTGGTTGATTTCGTTTCTGGTTCCTTCCTCTTTTCTCTGAGTGGATTGTCTGGTATTCCAAATAATTTTGACTTTGTGTACTTATGTAATGTATGTTAATCTTCAGTAATGGACTGCTCCTTATTATTAACAAAGTAAATATTAACAAACTTCCAAAATTTGCGGCGATCATACACTTCACACTATTCCTAACACAATTGGAAGCAGTACCTCCCTCTGAGCAAAGCCAGTTGAATTGGTACAGGATGACCAGTGAGGTGTTGTCCAATTTGGAAATGAACTGACATTTTATGATCTACTTTCATCATTTCTACAACAATACCACTAGAAACCTCCATGAGAATAACTACACAGACGTGTGTGAATAGCAGCTAACCACATCGTTAATAACTTTATTGACTAACTTTCACTTTTAACTTAACTATATTCTTATTTCACTTTCACTTTCTATTTATATCTATAATGTCGTCATATCCCAACAATTATTGTAACATTATTTCCGGCAAACCGCATGAACCGCCAAATTTGTATTTCACTATTTGATTTCATATGTAGTATTGTCCTGAAGACGCCAGGCTTGATGGCGAAACATGTCGACCAGAATAAAATCTTACTATGCGGTAATTGATGGGTGTTGTTGTCTTAATTATCGTTTTATTTTACTTATCTAGTGAAAGACAACTGTGAATACCTTTCGGTATCCACCCACTATTACTCAACCGCAAGATTACTACTTCAGGTGTTGGTTCACCATATATAAATTAATGATATTAGTAACAGACATGACTACCTTAAAATGATTATATATACTAAAAAATAGTTGTTCTCATAATTATTGAAAATTCATCTGATAGTTTTTTTAAGCAGTCACTGAACCATGAAAATAAGGTCAAGAACAACCAACATATCTATAACAAAAACATAAGACCAGAAGACATTACTTTGCTGATTTGGCTTATATAGCTTATTTACCTTCTAAAATATGGTGGGTACATGTATATGTAAAGCTAACATGCCCTCATGACTAGTATTATCATCTCTCACATAATGCAACATTCAACATGTTCTTGGAAGGAGACACATCTTTTTTTAAAATCTAAAACAATAGTGCCTGTCCTGTTCTTTATCCTATCTACATATCAATTTGAAGGATTCAATACTTTTAGTAGTAAACTCAATGCATTTTGAATAGAAACATTTCAATCCTTATAATAAATGTATGTAGTTATACCTCATATATCTTTTCAATGCTATCCTTCCAAAACTGCATTCTTATTAGACCTGTTTTAATATCAGATGCAAAATGTATGTCTCCAATCTGAAACATACAGTAAGGAGATTCAAATAGTTTATTACAGCTTCAATGATTGTAATTCATATGTATTTTTCTGTGAAATATTAAGGATTCTTATAATAAGATCTTACTTAAAAAATATTTAGTATCAATCAGTCTTTTTACTTCAATTAAAAAGTGCCACTAGAAAAAAAAACAGAGATGTGGGAAAAATATTGCATTTAAAATGTTTTTTGTCTGAATAAACACAGCAAAGATATGATATACTGACAAATTATGAATAATGGAGTGGATTTGAATTAGGCATTTCAGTGTGTACGGAACTGCATAACTCTTTAAAGCATTTAAGTTGAATGTTTTCTTTGGTGTAAGGAGGTATTTAGAATGTTATAAAAGTTTCACAATTTAAGAAACAAACAAGAGGCTCCTAAGAGCCTGAATCGCTCACCTGATAAAGATATGCCATTTTGATATAAATTTTAGTCTTTATTGCAATCAGTTGTGTAATTTTCGGAAATTTGATACTGCTCATAATTTTTGCATATACAGTTTGTACCTAACTATTACAGTTTTTGAGACAATTCAAAAACACAAAAATTAATAATGTTTGCCTTAAAAAGTTTTTACTTATTTACATAGTTTTTAAGTTTATTTGCAAAAACAGGAAAAATAACCAAAAATCTTCATGTAAGGCCTAAAGGAATCATTGGATATTTTTGGTGCAAACAGAAAATAGGGAGATCCTGACTTTCTGAGCATGTTTGCCCCTAGTAGATTTTCTTGATCTTTTATAGTTTTTTAGATATAAGACAATTAATGCATTTTACTCTTATATTCTATTTTTAGTTATGGCTGTCATGTTTGTTGACTGACTGAGGGGAAAACACTAACTTAATACTAGATACTATTAGAATCATTCACCCCAAATTTGGTTAAAATTGGTTCAACAGTTTCAAAGAAGGTCTTTGAAAAAGTTTACAATGGTGACGATGACGTACACAAAGTGATGGCAATAGCTCACATGCCCCTATGGGCCAGATGAGCTAATAATACTGTAATACAAAGACAAGTAGGAGTTTAAAAATTACAGGTATACCTGAGCTGTTTCCACATTAAATGCTTGTATAGCAAAAGCTATTGGCATTAAAGATGGTGGATATAACCTTGCACATAGGTAATTCTCATAATCATATTTCCTGGAAAATATCAAACAATAATTAAAATCAAAGAGTAAATAAAAATAACATTAATTCTAACATCAATCTTTTTAATTGATAAATTGCTGTTTAATATCTAGCAGCAAATTTTACAAACTTATCCATGACAATAACAAAGTATTCTGAAATTAAGATACTCTTTTTTTTCTATTTAATTGATGAGCTGAGTTGGATTTATAATAGACTATTTTCATATTACCGACTTTTGACTCCGGATTATATAATTTGTTGATTAGTTACCTTGGACATCATGGTACTCGGTTAAGTAAGAGCAACCAAAATAAGTAAAATCAAACATATAATCGGTGTAATTTGAGGGGAAAGTTTACTGTTTTCCGATGATTTTGTAGTGAGAAAAAAAATATTAGCCAGGTAATTTTCCCCCAAAATTGTACCGATTGAAAGCTTGGTTTTACTTCTTTAGCTTGCTCTTATCTGACTTGGTACCATGATGTCCAAGGTAACCAGTCGACAAATAATATAATCCGGAGTCAAAAGTCGGTAATATGAAAATAGTCTATTTGGCAACTCTTAAGTTAAATGTCTGCAAAAAACATGTCATTCTACTTAGACCCATTATTCTGACTCGTAGCCAATGGTAGCCAGATGATTAGCTCTTACTCCTAAATGCAGCATGCTTAAGAGGAGAAGATAAAAAAAGTTTTAAATTACTTAGGTTAATAAGGAAAGTGATAAATTCTTTAACTTTCCACGTAAAGGAAAAGCACTCTACCACAAAAATGGTTTAACTGCAATTTACTGGTTATTTTTATTCAGTTAATCAATAAATATGATAATCTTCTTTGCTAAACAACTTTATATATACATGTATCTTTATCTTATTATATATTATTTGTTATATTGTTAATTATAAACCAATTATTAACCACACTTGAAATTGTGTATTATAATAGCTTGAGCTGCTTAAATGTTTACTAATTTAATAAAAAAAAATGTATCATATCACTTGATTTTATTGAATGTTATTTGTTTTGATCTTGAATTAATAATGTTATTTTCATGTAAAATGTTTATGCCCCATCAGGGCCAAACTGACAAAAAATAATCTGCAGGTCAGTCAGTGATCATTCAAAATATTACAAGTGCCAATTTTACAATATTTTTTAGGAAAGTATTAATCATAGGACTATGTTCTACCTTCAAACTCTGATTAGGTGATAAGAATTTTAACCACCTCAAGGAGTATTATCTATCAAACGAATGTATATTTTAAAATAAATTTCAAATGGATATTAAAAGAAGCATTTGAAAAGCGGGAGATTTTGACTCCCACTGGAAGAATCACATGTATGGTATTTAAAGTTGATGAACATTACTATACCTATTTAACTTGGTTTTTGTTTGCTATAATCAATAAAATAAAAAACTTTGATATAATTTACCAAAATGTTAATTTCTATAACCTCCCTTTAATGAGACAAAATTTCACAACAATCAATTTATAAAATATTGTCTTGATATATAGACAAAATATTACTATGGATTTAACAATTGAACATTTCATAAATATCAAACTGTAAAATATTGTCAAAATATAGACAAATTCTCAGGACATTAGTTCAAAGATTGGGACAACATATCACGAAATTAGTCCTTGTTGACATTAATAGGACAATATTTTGCTTTACATTTACAGACCTTTTTTTGTATATATATAATTGAAATAAGATAAAATTTCGCAAAAACTGATAAAATGCTAGATAATGAAACATGCAGCTACGAGTGCAAGACAACTCGTCCGAAGACATCTCTGACTGTATACAAAAAAAGACAACTTGAAGAGTCAAAAAGTAAACTCAGACCGTCTGTAAAGTCAACTCAACGGACTATAATCACAATTCAGACAAAGAACCAGTATTAAAGGAGAATTTTGACTATAGATATAATGATTGAATTAGTGTATAGGAAAGTCAACTTGGACCTTCTATGGAGACAATTTAGAGCTTGACATTTTGTGTAGACTGTAGTATCTGTATATTGTTGAAGTATTGAATAACTAAATTTACACTACGATTGTTAATTAAATCTAATTCAATTATGATTTTAAGTAAAAATGCAATGAGATTATATAATAAACAAATATAATTGATAATGAATTCAGTTTACAGATAAATTAATAGATATAAGAAGATGTGGTATGAGTGCCAATGAGACAACTCTCCATCCATGTTTGTTTAACGAATTAATGAAGATCTTATAAAAAATATTGATGTGAAATAGAAATAATAAATAACACAAAATTAGTCTAAGTTAGATGGTCTGAGTTGACATTAAAGATGGTCCGAGTTGATTTTCTTGTGGAATTTAGGTAAAATATTAAATAAATGTGCAATGAGATTAAAATAGAAAATATAATAAAACATATTCAGCACCAATTTTTTTTTTTTTGTTAAAGTATAAATTAAGTTTTGTAATAAATAAATAAAGATAAGTAGAAAATCTGTAATAACATTTTTTTACAAATTCAGCAATATTTAAAGGATACTTTCATGTGAAACATAACAATTAATCATTTATAATCATCCAAACAGTCTAAACTTTCTTTAATTATTTTGTCTGTCATTAAAGATGGTCCATGTTGACTTTATAAACGGTTTCAGTTGATTTCATAGATGGTCTGGAAAATTTTATGAAGTTATGTGGGGGGGGGGGCTAAATAAAATACGAATTACTGGTCTATGACAACTGCAGCAATTAACTATTTTAGTACCAACTTTTCAAATTTAATTATTCAATGTGTATTATGTTTCCTAATATTAAACATTGGAATGACAAAGGGTACATAATTTTACCCTTAATAAATCTAATGAGCTGTTATTTGTACCTTACAAGGTCAACACAGTATTGAAAGTTTGATTGGCGACTGCTTTCCTTTGTTTTACTACTTTTTGAGAATTTCCTTATATCAGAGGAGTTAACTACATTATACAAGCGTCCTTTTAAACACTTTGAGCAGTTAAAAAGCATGAAAGTCATCTTTTCGGCTGCTAACATGTTGACTGATTACTTCCCTTGAACAAGTGCCCGTTTTAATTTCTAAACCGTAATCGGTGAGGAACAAGCTTTCATTTTCACATTTTGATTCATAACCGAATTAGCGCTTTTATTAATCTGCCTCCTGATCATTGTTGTTCTGTGAAAAAATAGCATTGTTTCTTATCTATTAAGTATAAAGTTGAGCGTTGTAATCTCATCAATGCTATTAGTTTACAATGTCCTAATTTTACCCAATTACAAAATTCTGAAAATTTAATTTGGATGATGAGTAATGAAGATAATGAAACTTTATGTAAAATTTTTTGCCTTATAGCCAAACATGAACATTAGGAGCATTGGGACTTCACTTGCACCTGCTACTGCTATGCTAGAGTGTTGAATATGTATATATATGCATATGTATGTATAATTATATACTGTTTACAGCTATACATTAATGTTATGATCTCAAATAATATTTTATTTTGGTCAGTTAAAAGTTTTTAGCATTATATCTAAAAATATTCAATATAAATTTTGTGGATTTCTGCCACTGCTGAATGTAGTAAATACTTCCATGAATGCTTTTGAGAAAAGTATGTTTTTTTAAAAAAGTAATCATTATATTGAGACAAACACTCGGGTGCCTAAACCTTTTAATATCATCCCTTGTTGATTTTTGCATTAAAGTGATAGAAAAAATTACTTTTGTGCACTAGTCACGAGGAGGTTAAGACGGTATCTAAAATCACACTTGCTATCAATCATGTCCAAGTGCATTTGCCCTTGGTCTCTTTTCCATTCACGTGACTTGTATTATTTATTCCTTCAACTTGCTTTTCTGGATAAGAGACAAGGTGGACCTCTGTTAGCAAACTATATGATGAAATTATCATATTATTTGTATTGGCTCCGGTATGTCAGTAAAATCAAAGATATGAAACTTTGAAAGAACTAAACTAACTTATAAAAAAAAATAATAATAACATGTTTTATGTTGTGATATTTTATATGATTATATATATTCTATGATAGACGTGATAATCTCATTCAATTTATGTGAATTTTAATTTTATCTTCATTTATATATGTTTATGTGTTATGAATGAGAATGTATCGTGTATCGTTGTCATTATGTCCCGTCAGGGGCAGTTGATTGGAAATAAAGAACTTTGGACTTTATCTTGAACAGCATGAAAAACCTATTGAAAAAAATACTGTTCAAGATTAGAAACACTGCCATAGGTCTGTTTTTCATTTTTTATCACCAAAATCGATATAAATAGCTGACGGAAAATCATGATTTTAATTTTCAGGAATAAAATCATCATAATGAAAATATCGAAGATCTATATTGCCTAAGGAATACCGAAAAGGACATACACTTTACCGAAAAGGACATAAACTTTAACAAAAAGGGGGCATACTCAGTATTGAAATGAAAGTTACAGAAGGTTGATGATGGGAGTTTTTAACTACCTTGACTGGCTATACAGCCCTCGCACGGTCGGCTTACAGAAGGTCCCAAAGCTCCAGGGGTTTTATAGCACCGAGCTGAGACAACTAGTGGTCAACTCAAACACGTCTGAACGTAAATAGGTGAATCCGACTTTTTCCTTTTCGAAATATCAATTTATAAGACCCCCCCCCCCCCCCCCAAAAAAAAAAAGTTGCCGGGGGCAAAGACGTAAATGAATGTCTCAAAAAGATGAATCTTTTATTTTCTGTAGATTTTTTATCGGTGGAATTTATACTTATGAATTTTAAAGATCCAAATCTATTTTCACCTTCGATAATTGACTGTTTTGTGAAAATTTGTCTTTAATGTTCCTCACAACAACTAGACAAAAATAGCTGTGTTTTCACCTCAAAAACTACTCTGAGTATAGACTAACCTGTGCAGCTAGAAAAGTTTTAAGGCCTGGTATCCACTAGACATATAAGTTAAGTGCATTTTGTGTTTCAGAAAGATAAAATCTCTTTTTTTTTTATTTTGATTTTGATGGCCATTTTTTCCAGATGTTGGTGTAAAAATAAACAAACACCTGAATTACATTTGATACTGTCCACTCAGTTATACCCCGGAGTTTATAAAATCAATCTTTTAAACAAATTATCGTCGACCTATTACTTGTAATACCATGGAAATAGACCTATACTGATCATGGAAACTTCACGTTGGTCACTGAACCATGAAATGAGGCCACGATCAAATAAACTGTATCTGATGGAAATGTATATCACACATGTATAAATAAACAAAAACAGTTGTCTCGTTACTCATAGCAACTGGAAAATGAAGTAATACAAATTATATAATTTTTAAACAGTTACTGGACCATTAAAATGAGGTCACGGATAATTGGAAAATGCAGGACGGAGACCTTACACCTTCTATATACACGCTATGGATTATCCAGTATTCTTCCTTCTGAAATAAAAAGCAATATAGAAATAGCTTATACTGTTGCCCGAGCCCAATTAGCACCACAACGTCTTGTATTCTGGGACATTTTTTGCAGGCAAGACAGAATAAAACTATTGTTCTGATCTGCTTGTACATAACCAAAGTGCACACCAACAAATCTCTTAAAGTTTGAAAGGTAAAGCATTTTGCCCTACAGTTTCAGGATTCTATTCAAAATCCTCCCATCAAAGAACTGCTGTGTATAGATTGGGACAAAATCACTGAGAAATAGTCTGAAGGACCTTCGGTATATTATTAAAGCCTTTTCAGTGAAGTAGTTTCTGAGAGAACTATGTTTCTTTATAAATCAATGGGAACCTGTGTGGCACAATTGCTGACCTGCATGCCAATCCACAAGCTTGACATACGATTACCTTGTATTTGAGCACCAAACCATTATTCAGATGAGGGTTGACAATATAAAATAAATATTGCATGTGGACCATGATATTTAGCAAAAAATGGATTTAAGTTGATGATCATCCTATACCAAAACAAGGAGATGTGCTTTGATTGTCATTGAGAAAACAATCCACAAGAGTTATAATAATGTGGATATCAGCAATTATAGGTCACCTTACAGTCTCCTCCAATGAGAAGGAAAACACATATAGTCATGCAGGTTAAATTTTATTGTGTGTATAACTTTTTCATTATACGGTCTAGATCAGGGAAGAGAATTTATAAGCCCGGAAAACTGGTGTAACGACCAGGTTTTGTGCCCTTTACAAAGTCAGTCTATCTGTACCATGTGTTGTCTGGTGCCAATTTTCTTTCTTTGTAAACAGCTCAGTACTTTTTCTCTCTCAGAGAAATCGGTTCTTGGTAGTTGGTGTGGTTGCTGTCATATGAAATACTATTTTTGTTGTTGTATTTTCTGTAATACTCTGTATGCATTTATTATTGTTCCGATAGGTCATACAGTAAGAAGCGAACAATTCAAATTATATTTGTCATATATTGTATTTCAACGGGAACTTATGTGACATAATATAACAGCAATTGATTGCGAATGGAGAAAAATGGCATCGTATCTCTTGATGTATGAAATTTTTGTCCCAAAATCCCTTAAAAAATACTCATCATGTAGTTCGTGCTCTTATGTCAAATATCAAATTACCTTAACCTGCAGCACTGACACCTCTGTTTGCGCTACTTGCTAACCAAATATTATGGTCTTGTCACTCCCAGCTACCATTGCCTTATTTCCTTTATTGTAACAACATTGAGTGCTACTTTCTACTATTTTTTTCTTACAATGAGTCTCACAACAGGAGCCAATAGTCAAGCAGAATCTGCTAACCCTTTTGGAGCCCCAGAGTTTAAGTTTTTGGCAGTGTTTTTTGTTAAAAAGTCTTGACTTTTATGTGTTGTGTTTTGTGGGCGCTTGCTTACCCGAGTTCACCTGTGGTTTGTTTAAAGGGATGTCTCTTGCTTTTCTTTAGTTTTCAGTATTGTCATTTACGCTTATTTGGATAAAATGTTAGTTACAATATGGATTCATCCCAGATATAATTAACATTTTATCAAAATATTCACTTTTGAATTTTTTGAATAGCTATATGTTTACGGGCAGATTCCCTACCAAATTTCAGTGGAAAAACATTAATGTCAATAGTGCGATTAACCTAAATGAGAGACTTCAAAAGGAAGAGCGAATGCGTAGTGACAACGATTTTTTAAGATTTCTAAGATTGTCCGAGAACAATGGCTATGATTTACTGTGGCAATTTACAAAAATTACTGGCAGACTTGTAACCGAGAAACATGTAGCCAAACTTTGGACTACTCCCCCGACTAGCGGAAACTGCAACTTGTGTGGACACTTTGTTCAAGATACACTTAACCATCAAAGTAGTCGGTGCACAGAACTTCAAACACAGAGACTCTTGTTATATAATAGATTAACAGAATTGACTAGTGACAATGTCGTATACACACTGGTTTCAAAATCAGACGAGAGCATTTCTGGCTTTCTGCTTGGCAATCAGGAAGCTCTCTAGGACTTTTTAACACCAGATCATTGTTAAGAAGTCCTTAAGGAAGGATTTTCCTTTCTAAAATACTGTATACTGTAAATACTTTTCCATCCAAAATATTAAGTGACATTTCTTTTTTTACTATTTCAAAACTTTATAATTGTACATAATATATGCATGTTGCCTTTTGTCAATCTCCTGTAGGAGGAAATAAAGTATGATGATGATGATGATAATGTGTTTATCCTATGTCCTAGAAAATCCTTTTAAAATGCACTGCAAACTTCATTTTCACCCATGTTTTGGGATTCCTGCACCTTGCAAAAATTATATAATTTTCTTGACAAGTATAACATCAATTTGTGACTTAAATATCTGAGTGTTTATTTCATTGATAAATTTCTGGAAATGTTCATGGATGTGATGTATAGAATGTTTTATTATACTTCATGTCAATATGCCAGATTTTGATTGGTTAATACGAGGAAGACAATTTACTCTATCCCATGACAAATACTCTATTACCCTTCACGGAGACGCTTGCTCAAGTGTGCGCTTTATTGAATACGGATGATTGGTATGTACAAGACGACATAGTTTATTACTTTGAATTTGAAATTTAATAGACAGTTATAACAGAACATTCAGTATAATAAATTAAATAACACATATCTGAGAGGATGAATAACACATATATATAAATAACACATAGCTGAGAGGGTGATAGAGCAGATTGTTACCCTGAGAAAACATTGTCAACTGAGGCGAAGCCAAAGTTGACAATGTCTTTTCGAAGGGTAACAATCTGCTCTATCACCCTCTCAGCTATGTGTTATTTATATAATGATCAATGCACTATATTTTGTGTATCTCAAAAGTAGTGATAAACCTTGGAAGATTTAGATATCAAGTCAGTAACATAGGGTTTTGATTGCATTTCATGCAATCTTAACCAAAAAAGTTGTTTAATTAACACGAGTTACAAGGCACGGATGTCACAAGTGAAGTAAGAACTGCTTACCCTACAAAATCACCTGAGTTCATCCATGGCTTTTGGTGGAGTTCCTGTTGCACAATCTTAAATTTTCTGTGCAATGGTTTGTTAAACTTGTTGGTCTTTTTCATCTTTTTCTTTGATGCCGTTGTGTAGTGTTTTTAATTTTGATTGCCTCCTTGGTATCTTTTACTACTTACTGATTATCAATCAATTGGTTAAAACAGGCAATTCTGCCTATATGGCAAATGTCAAAATTCAAAAGCCTTTGACACAATCTACATTTATGTTAACATAGTTTCAAGACTCTGCAATATGTGATTGCTTAGATTATCCTGATCATAACATGCAAAGATGCATACTTTTGTACAACAATAGAAGGGTTGCAGTGAGCACCATGAGAGTTTGACCAGACTGCAGAATAGATCATAGGATGGCTTTTACCCATGTTTCCAAAAACATAGCAATTAAATAATGAGAAACCAGCTATTTAAATAATTTATATAATCGTAGATATAAGTGTACAATTAGGAAAAATAACATAGTAAATATGCAAAAGAATATCTTGCAATACAATCTTATGTACAAAAAATTTACAAAACTATTACAAAAAACAGGCTATTATTTCAACTTGGAATTATTTTTAATTATGGAATTTGCATAATTTCTTGTGCTTGAAATTTTTAATAAATTCCATGTTTATTCTGTATTTTAATGTTCTGTGTGGCGCACAACACTTTCTATTACAAAGAAGATAGCACATTTTCAATAGAATGTACTGTGCGGCGCACAACACTATCTATACAAAATACATTGTATGGAAAGTGTTATGCACCGCTCAAAACATTATAATACAGATTAAACATGGAATTTATTAAGAATTTCAAGCACAAGAAATTATGGAAATTCCATAATTAAAAATAATTCCAAGTTAAAATAATAGCCTCTTAAATGTGCATTGAGCAAATCTAATCATTCTTATTCCTCTTGAAGTTCCAAAATAACTGTGAATACCAATTAGAAAGTGCTATTGGAAAATAAAAAAAGTTTCAACAAAAATGAACCAATAAGTATAAAATGGAATAATCTATCATCAACATCATAAGCTACTATTCATAATCTGTAATGGTCTACTAGAATACACTGCAATGGATTGGTTGCAGATGGAAGATGTAATGTTCCTATTGAAAAGATGAAAAAAAATTGGGGACCTATTTCCTATACATTTTTCTGCTAATTGCATTTATTGTCCATAATAATGCATTTAATCCCTTTCATGAGTATACAATATTAACTATGCCATATGCATGTCTCCTAAATTTCAACAACTCCAGAACAACAAATTTGAAAATATAAAAAAGTAGCATCATTTACATGTTGTAACAGGGTTTAAGATGTATATTGGGATAAGGTTAAACGAGATATTCAACAGGAAACATATGTGCCCACCTACAGCCTCATTTTAAATATACCTTACTGGGATGTCATATGAAAAAGTAGGTAAATCAGGGACAAACACTGGCAACACTGTGTTCATGGGCTTACTGTACAGATAACATGACAAAACAGAAAAACATATGTTTTTGTTCAATTGATCTTAAGTCACAGATCTGCAGACATTTCAAAGGAATATTAGGACAAGTACAATTTTTATCATTTTTTGTTTAGTCCTTGCATGCCTACGAACATGCCAATACAAACTTATAAGTAAGTTATACCACCGAAAAACGAAAAAAAAAAGGCAAATTGAGGGAAGGACAGAAACAAAAGAATGGATAACACTGTATGTACATGTATAAATAACAATGAAAACACTTGATCATTAACATTCTTAATTAAATGAATATTTGTTATAAAAGAGGAACGAAAGATACCAGAGGGACAGTCAAACTCATAGATCGAAAACAAACTGACAACGCCATGGCCAAAAATAATAAAAAGACAAACAGACAAATACAACTTGTTTCAAAAATTTCTTATAATTGTATTTTTTGAAGCAATTTCAAATAACAGTAAATGTAATAATTATTATTATTTGTTCACAAAAATAGGCAGAGGAATTTCCTCTATTTTATATGGGCCTACGAAGGAAATTACTTATTGCATCTAGATGGAAAACTGAAATGATAAAACCGTTTAAGATAACATAAAACTTTGAACATTTTCCAACTAAGAATCAACCAGATCTGTAGAAATATGATATTAGATAACATTCAATGGTATAAAACACATGTTTTTGCATTTAATAAAACCATTCATTTTATTTTGATGATTGTCTCATTAAAGTATTTCAAAGAACAATTATTTTTTTTAGTGTTAACAAAAAATATTATTTTAGTAGACAATATCCATTAAATAAGTAATCAGTGCTTATTGTGAACACATGTAAAATGAACTTTTTGGGCAACTCAAGAAATAAATTTCACAATAAACCCATAATATGTTAAAAAATAAATCAATCAACAGATCTCAATATATAATAAATAGCACTAAGAAATAATTTACATAAGCAAATTTACACATATAATACATTTTACTGACCTCTAAAATCAGTTTTCAAAGAAAAAGGTGTTAAAGGTAGATATTGAATTAAACATATTTGCCTCTAAAAATTTTTTTTCCTTTTGCTTGTCTGTGTTTTATTGTTTTGTTGATTTGCTGCTTTTATTAATTTTTATAACCCCATTTCCGTGCATTCATAGATGGAAAGATGATTATGGTGAGGTTCAAGAGTTTTAGGATTTTACTATTTAATATCATGATGAATTATCTCCCTTTACACACTGATTCTTTTGCCCTATTTTCTATTTCATTGATTCCATTTCATTTAAATTTAAAGATATCTAGGTAATAAATTATGTTAGACATTATATAATGGCTACACAGTAATCTTTAAATCAATGAAATATGTTTTATAAACATTAACCTTTTAACCTCTTTGGGATTATTAGTAAATATATCACCACTAAAATTTAAGGTTGTAATACATTGCCAAACTGTTGATATGTATAAACATGTGATACTGGTTGATATGTTTACTTTGTACCAAAATGTATGTCTAAGAAAAATCTAAATTAAGAAGCCATTAGAATAAACAAATAAATTATATCTAAATGTTTTGGTCTTATTTAAATTACACTACAGTTTTTTTTTTCTTTCTCTTTTTTCCATAAACATGATAAAAGTCATTTATTTTCCAAATGAAAACTACGCCATTTCAGATGATTTCTTCCATATTATATCTTCATGATAAATGTGTGATTTATTTGAACTATGATACAAACCATAATTTAGACAAAAATATAAAAAATACAATGAAATAAATTGATTACATTTCATCGTGAAAGAATAAATAGACAGTTAACTTTTTTCAAGCAGAACTCTTAGGAGGTTTCAAAAAACCAATTCTTCTTAAATATCGAACTATTAAAGGCACAGAAGTCAAGGTAATAGCTATTCTAACTGGAGCAAATACTTTATGTACAGCATAAGCTACTACAAAGGTACTGGCCCCAGTAGTCAGTTTGGACTGGAGTAGACTTTCACCAACTCCTATCCTTGTCAGCAACGCTACCATATCAATTCCGCTGAAAAATAAAACAGAAAGTATTCTTAAAACCATAAAATACAAGAAAAGTGATTCTATATGTTTTTTCAATAACAATTTATCTCTTAACTCTTTTTAATGTTAAACTGTTATGCATAATAATAAACAAGAATATAGGAAACCTCCACTCACACTATCACATTTTTCGTGTTCAGTGAACCCTGAAATCTAGACCAAAATACTACCGGTAATCTTGTAAAAGTTATCAAAATAAACAAGCATTCTGAGAGTATTGCATGGCAATACATAGTCCCCTACCAGTTAAAAAATCATTGTACTGGAACAAAATGCTAACTTGATCTATAACTTGTCATGGTGTAAACTTTATAACAAATATCAAGTCAATATCTTCAAGCATGACGAAAAAAATTGTGGAAAACTGATTATTTAAGTGAATTTTCTAAGTCCAAGGACCATAACTGTGCACAAAATCATCAAACCGGAACAAAATTCAAACTTGATTTGTTACTTATCACGATAAAACTATATACCAATTATCCATTCAATATCTTCAAACATGATGAAAAAAAAGGTTAGGAAAACTGATTATTTGAGTGAATTTTCTAAGTCCAAGGACCATAACTCTGCACAAAATCATCAAACTGGAACAAAATTTCAACATGATCTGTAACTTGTCATGATAAAACTATATACCAATTATCCATTCAATATCTTTAAGCATGACGAACAAAAGTGAGGAAAACTGATTATTTGAGTGAATTTTATGGTCCAAGGACCATAACTCTGCATAAAATCATCAGACCGGAACAAAATTTGAAGCTGATCTTTAACTTAGGGGATTAAAAAGAGAAGTATATTTAATTATGACACAAATCAAAACATGCACTTGATATCAGTTTTTAACATATTTATAGATTATTAATGAAAAAGAAGTTATGAATAAAGTTAACAGAGAGTCAGACCATCAAAAGTCGGGCATCAACTACAAGTTCTCCAAATTAATAATTAAAATTTTGAAAGATAAGTTTGTCATGTACAAATGTACTGTACTTGTAGTAAAATTGAAGAAAATAAATGGGGAATGTGTCCATGGGACACAGATGATGCCCCCGCTTGCATATCATATCAAGTTATAAAGGGACATAACTGAAGAACGGTAAAAGTGACGCTACCCAAATTTGTTATTGATCTGAGTTTTGTAGGAATAAGTATTGTGTATAAGTTTCATAACATTTGTTAGGGAAACTTAAGTAAGAGAACAGAAACGAAAAATTCAGCAATTTTTCCATTGTAAAGGGGCATAACTCTAGAACGGTTAAAGTGACACCACCAAAATTCAATCTTGATTTGTATTTTGTGGTAATAAGCATTGTGTATAAGTTTCATAACATTTGGTTGAGGCAAACTAAAGTTAGAGAACGGAAACCAACTTTGGGATGTACGTATGTACCTGTGTACAGACGGACGGACGGACAAGGGTAAAACTCAATGCCCCCTCCGCCACGGCGGGGGCATAAAAATTTGCAATACTAGGTGACAAGAATAACTATAAATGACACAGAGACTATTGAAGACCAGGCCAGTAATATTCAATTTTGATAAAGAAATAGTGCATCTAATCTATTTCATAAGTACATCTACACTCTGTAAGCTTCAGTCTGATTTATTAATCATGGAAAAACACTGACCCAGACACAGATAACATTGACATGATCATTCACTGATAAAATCTGTCATGACATTGTATCAAATGTTATTTAATAGTACATATAAAGGTACATGACTATTTGAAACTCTCTCTCTGCATCAACAAATGAAATGATTGAAATTAACATGTTTCCATCACAATTCAAACCAATGTCAATTGCCCTTTGACCAAATTTGGACCAAAGTAAAACTATATATATTGTATGAAGGAAAATTTACATACAGGTAGTTATGTGATGTAAAATATTATTTCTTCAACTGCAAGTATTTCTTGCATATTCAAGACACGAATAACAGTCAGGGGACTTACATACATGAGTGATTTTTAAATCAATGATTCAAGTAACATTTTGTCCACAGATGTTGAAAGTTAGAGTTGTCTTTCTTTAATAATCACCTATTTAAGTAGTACAAATAAACCACTAGACTAAGTGGTAGCTTTAAATATACAATACTAATGATCCAGGGACTACTTATGTTGCTAAAATTATCAGAACCAACATCTGTGTTGATAGGATGACCAGTCATGTCAGGTGATGACCTTGTACTAAATCTGGGATAATGACATGAAAATCACTTGTTTAAGTACCATACCTCTATTTTCTTCCAAAAAATCACTTCTTTTAAGTATTATTATTGTAATTACCCCTACTAATTTCAACACCCCTGCACAGTGAAATTTTATTACATAATCTGTAAGATGAAACCTTGAATTTTACAGGAAATTTACCCCCACTGCTGGGAAAAATCTGTTAAGAGAGCAGAAAGTATCAGTTCATTATGTAAAGCTTTCCTGGCATTTTTTCAACAAATATAGAATTTACAGCTAAATGATTGCATCAAAGGCATAAACCTTTCTATTTAAAAGAAGAAAAAGGTTCAATTTTTCCAATTTAACTAATAATAAGATATAATCTAAACCTATATGTTTAAAATTTTGGTAAAACTATAAAATCACAATTTGTGACAAAATTTCGAATTTGCTACTTAAATAAGTGATTTTATAAATCACTAATTTCAGTAATTCCCCTGACTGAACAAAGGAGTTGGTTCACCAACTCATTATTTTGGCCCTTAAAATATGAAAATTTTAAACTGCAATAATTGATTAAAATATATATATTAAAATTTCATGATGTACATGACTGTATTTGTCATGTCATAAATGGAAGGGATTTGTTAAAACCTGATTTTTTCCCTTAATTTGTCAAAATTTAATATGGTTTCCTGAAAAATTAGGCACCACCCCATGCCCACAAATATTCTCTTTACATCATTTTCTTTACTTTTCAACCAAAATTTCAATGAGCAAGAGGTGGCGCCACATATAAAATTATGAACAAAGGTTGAAAAAGGTGAAACATTTCTAGAAAAATGGACTAAAATGAAACTATCCTTTTTTCAGGCTAATATATTTATAAATATGATTTGATTGATTGATTGGTGTTTCACACCACTTTCAACACTATTGTGCTATTTTGTGGCGGTCAGTTTTTTATTGGTGGAGGAAGCCAGAGTCCCCAGAGAAAACCACAGACCTTCGGTAGGAAAACTGACAATCCTAGTCTATTAAGATTGGAGTCAAGTGCACCTGCACAAGCCGGCTTCAAACTCACAACCACAGTGTTGACTGGCTAGTGATTACACTAGTTAAACTACTTTAACCACTCGGCCACCGAGGACCATTAATAAAATAATATACAATTATCATACTTTCAAAAATAATACATTTAGCAATACACGCAACAAAAATACACTCAAACAACTGAATTTTAAAAAATACACCTTAACAGGGCCATTTATTGGAGTTACTGGTTCTATTCCTTTAAATTAAAAAAAAAAGGAACAACCATTTTTGTCTATAATCTACAGACAATTAAATCATAAAACAATGAGAGCTTTTACAATCATAAATGACCAATTAATGAATTAGCTAGATTGTGTCCATAACCCCTTATGGTTCAATACCAAATTGAAAAATTCAAATACATTATTAGATTCAGCATATCAAAGAACCCCAAGAATTCAAATTTGATGACATTAAACAGAGTTTAATTTTGGACCCTTTGAACCTAATTGACCATGTGGACCAACTTGAAAACTGGGACCAAAATAAAAATACATGCTTAAATTCAGCATAACAAAGAACCCAATGAATTCAAATTTAGATAAATCAAATGAAGTTAAATTTTGGACTCTTTGAACCTTATGTAGACCAATTTGAAAACTGGGCCCAAAATCAAAAATCTAAATACAGTCAGGTTCAGCATATCAAAGATTCCCAATAATTCAATTTTTGTTGATATCAAACGAAATTTAATTTTAGACCCTTTGGACCTTAATACATGTATATGTATGGACCAATTTGAAAACTGGCCCCAAAATCATAAATCTAAATACACGGTTAGATCATGTAGATTCGGCATATCAAACATTGTCAAAGAACCCAAATTGCAAGAATTCATTTATTTATGAAATCAAACCAGGTTTTATTTTGGACCCTTTAGACCTCAATGTGAACCAATTTAAAAATGGGGTCCAAAATCTCAACACTCAATTAGATTCAGCATACTAAGGAATCCCAAGAATTCAAGACTTTGAATTAAACCCAATTAAATTGGTCAAGAAATAAGCAACTTATACAATTTAAAAGTATTAGAAAAGTATTGTTTTTGATCCCTTTTTCCTTACTGGTTAGGGCAATAACCCCCATAAATCAATCATAACCTTCCTTTTTTGGTATGGGACATTGTGGTACAATTTTATAGATATACATAGAATTATACTAAGTTATTGTCCAGAAACTCCTTGATTTTGGCCCTTTATTCCTAAACGGTTTGGGCCATAACCCCTAAAATCAATCCCAATCTTTCTTTTGTGGTGTGGAACCTTGTAGTATAATTTCATAAAAATTTATACACTTATACTCAAGTTATTGTCTGGAAACCAAATGTCTTCAGATGACAACATCAACATCATACAATTATATGACAGCAAAAAAACAATCATCAGTGTTTCCCATAAAGTTTATGCATACTGTAAATTCAGAAATTATTGCGAGGTTTTTATTAATGCGAATAATGCGACTGGGTGACTATCGCAATAATAAGAACTCACATTCTATATCTGTATGCAGATTTTCATGATATCGCAATAATTAATCTCGCATTTTTGTCCATTTTTGAAAAATCGCAATAATAAATGCACACAATAATTTCTGAATTTACAGTAGTTGGGCCACCATGCTTTAATCATGTTAATCCCTCATCTTTTAAAATGTGTTATCAGTCATTCCCAAGGACACTCAGACAT